TGTTACAGACATGCTTGGATTGCACGCATGGCCTTCAGGCCAGCTGGCGCTACTAAGCGAAGAGATAAACATTTTGGCTCTGGACAATCGGGCACGGAAGGCTTCTTCACAGCCGCACCGGTAGTAAAGTGTTTGGGCCAAGTCTCTCCTTGGCATCACAACGGAGCAGCCGCAGGATCTCTTTTCGCACTGTGCCTGCGAGGCGTCGCAAATCGTGCAACAGCTGATCCGAGGCGAAGCCTACAAGCCATATGGCTATTCAGCAAAGCAGCAGACATCTCAATGCGGAGTGTATACTACAGGCTGATCGACTGCACAGTCGATGTCAGCTTCATTGTGTATGGTGTACAGTTGTCATCACGATCACTTATGTTCCACATCACTGCCAGCCACTTCCATCATGACCATCACGGCGACTCGATGCAGCAACAGCAGCAATTCCACCACGACCACGAGCAGAGAATGATCACAAACATCCGCACGTGTCGGAATCCGTCGCGCTTTTTTGTGCAAATACGCGGTTCGCCACAGCAGGAGCGCATTTTGAGACTGAAAACGATGCCTAAAAAAGCATGTTGTTTTCAGAGCTAGTTTTGTGGAAACGATGGTGGCACTTTGCGAGATTCGGCGTCTTACTTTTTTGGTTCTTTTTCGCATGGCTGAAAGGCCGAAAACACCGCGGACAACGAGGTTCTCGTGATGTCAACACTCAAAACTCAAACATGCGATTTTGCCGTTTACCCCAAAGTTTGTGTTTTCTTCTTGTACGTGGTTTCAACGATGAACAAGCAATGAATTGTTCACCCGCGAATGTGGCAGCAAAGAGAGATCGATGAAAAGACATATTCGTAGCATTATCAAAACAATGGCAATTGCCGCGGATTTGTGCATATCTTCGTGAAAGCTGCATCGGATCATCGCCTGTCGCAGGAAAACTCATCGGATGAACTTCGTCAGATTTGAGAGATTCATCTGAGTTGAGTGGAAGATAGGATAGATTGGAATCAGGACAAAATCATTGGGAGGTCGTATTGATTGAGAAGGATTGATGAATTGTTGTCGCGACAACTGCATCGGATCGTCTTCGTGAGATGTGCCTATCGCAGGGAACTGCATCGGATGAACTTCGTCAGATTTGAGAGATTCATCTGAGTTGAGTGGAAGATAGGATAGATTGGAATCAGGATAAAATCATTGGGAAGTCGTATTGATTGAGAAGGATTGAGGAATCTTTGTCGCGACAACTGCATCGGATCGTCTTCGTGAGATGTGCCTATCGCAGGGAACTGCATCGGATGAACTTCGTCAGATTTGAGAGATTCATCTGAGTTGAGTGGAATATAGGATAGATTGGAATCAGGATAAAAACATTGGGAGGTCGTATTGATTGAGGAGGATTGATGAATTGTTGTCGCGACAACTGCATCGGATCGTCTTCGTGAGATGTGCCTATCGCAGGGAACTGCATCGGATGAACTTCGTCAGATTTGAGAGATTCATCTCAGTGGAAGATAGGATAGATTGGAATCAGGATAAAATCATTGGGAAGTCGTATTGATTGAGAAGGATTGAGGAATCTTTGTCGCGACAACTGCATCGGATCGTCTTCGTGAGATGTGCCTATCGCAGGGAGCTGCATCGGATGAACTTCGTCAGATTTGATAGATTCATCTGAGTTGAGTGGAAGATAGGATAGATTGGAATCAGGATGAAAACATTGGGAAGTCGTATTGATTGAGGAGGATCAACTTTGGCCCACGCTCACGCAGCACGGACGTTATTTATCCCCCCTCTCCAAGACGAATCCAAATCCTCAGAAATGCACGAAAACGCACGACAGTTAACGACCCGTTAGCACAAACATGCTCATTAGTTCTGATCGTCTTCTTCCGGCATTCGTGTATTGCCTTGCCGCTGGCAACAAGTTGAAGCCGTGAAGCCTTCGTCATGACAAACGCTGTTCACAGGATACCCCCTTCGAGCAGCAAAGCCCGTGGCCCAAGACGCCTTCGCAGGAGCACGGGGCATCCACCAGCACCTAGGGCTGAGGTGGCGTGTCGATTCCGGTAGCCCAGCCGCCGTATGCAGCTACGGCAACACAAACACCAGCCGATCCCAGATCCAAGACTCTGAAATCTGCATTGATCGTAACTTCACAGCAGAAGATGCAAGCCTTGCAATATCCAACTTCGGACGTAGCTGCCCCGTCGAAGGCTTCGGGGAAGACTTGTCCAACTTCCCGTCCATCTGCGCAGCTGACGACTTGGCTCCCGGACCCACTTCTCCTGTGCGCACTCGCCTACTCGGCTTGCACCAATGCTCTCGCTCATATGGCTCAATGACCTTCGATTCTTCGGGCTTGACACAGCCATGCGCTCTTGTCACCCGCACGGACATGCCAATGCAGGCAGGCATCAGAAGGTTTCGGTGAAGAATCTCCTAGGTCGCGCAGAGTTGACGATCCACGGAGGGTTTAAACTCACGAAAACTTCGGCACAACGCCCTCACCGTTGAACCATCGTCCTGGCAGCCCTTGCCTGAACGCTTCCGACTAGAGCTACCGGGAGTCGGCGCGCCGAAAGTCGGGCTCGTTGGCAAGGACTGCGCCTCCGCCCTGCCAGTCTGAAGCTTGTCAAGGGACCTGACGAACTAGCCTGCTGTGACAGTTTGGGGCTGGCTTCTCACTCTCATCAAAGAGATCTGCACACGTCGACACCTGGAGACCGGCCGCCAGCTGCGTGGATTTGCCTCAGCTCGTGCTTCCACTCGGCACCTCCCTGAGGGACAAGATCCACTCCTGACTCCTATAGAACAAAGCCCTCTACTTTTCGGCTGCATTCCCGAAGCCCTGGAGATCCGGGGAAATTGAGAACCATGGAAACTTCCAGAGCCTAGTGGTGTCCAACTCAAGCTCAACGGCTGCCCGGAGCGGCACACAGGTCGAGCAGCAGCAAACCGGTCCTTGGTTTGCTTTGGTCGATAGACTGCTGGGATACTTGGAACAAGCTCAGCAGCTTCGCACTCCGATGGCTTCAGAAACATGCATACGACATGAGGCCTGCCCTTCAGGGATTACAAGCGGGATTATGGCGTTCAGGATGTTCAGCCGAGAGAATCCCAGATCTGCAAGACAGGTGTGCGGTCCTTCGGCTTCGTGTGAGAAAGGAAATCTTATACCCGGTGTCAGATTCTCAATTGGATCTGATATGGAACAGGGGGCATGGTCCGTCGGCCGGATGTCTGCATGAAGCACTCCAGAGCCCGCAGCAACACCTGCCAAGATTTTTACAGGTGCACGAGCTTGCTCAGCACAGCTTTAAACCAAAGGCTCATGTAAAGGACGCTGGACTTCAAGGTCTCAGAAGGCCCCCGACTCCTCAACGGCAAGTTTGCGCTGTCCTCACATCCAACGGATTTATCGAAGCGTGACATGTGTCACAGCACGACGTTGCCCGACCAATCTCGAAGGCACAAGGTATAAACAAAACGTACTATACAATAACATACTGGCAATTCACGACTCATGCAGCGGCCTCCGCTGGAAGCATGGATGTGGCTTCTTGGAAATACCTGATCTCAATCTTTCCAATGCCGCTAGCAGCCTGGAATGTTTGGGACCTCTTGCAGCTGAAAATGCTTCTGCCAGAAGTTCTTACGTCTCCAGGAATCAACCAGCAATCAACAGCCATCGTACTTTTTTTCAACATGGGGGCTGTTGGCATCCTGACCAGGCTTGAAAGCCACGGCACACCTCGCCAGTCACATGAGGCGGACTTCCGCCGACTGCGGTAGCACCCTGGGCGAGGAACCCATCAGCCAGCCAGGGAAGCGGGCTGACCTTGCATGGTTTGGTCTCATCCGCCAGCCGGTGCACGCCGAGATGACAGCCGCCTCCCAGCCATCGCCAAGGCGAGCCAGCAGCGAAGAAGTCGCTTTCAACCGCGAGGCACGGAAGCTGCGCTGCAGTGGCCTGGAAAATCTGAGGCGGTGCACGGCAGAGGTCACCCAAAAAGAAACGCATCTGACGGGATGGACTGTGCGTGCGTGTGTCTCTTCGCGTATGTGCGGGAAATCACAGTATCGTTAATTAGGTTAATGACTATACAGTACTATACAATTGCAGGTTCATGCACGGTTCAAGACAGGACCGCGCACTCTGGAAGCTGAATTTGCTTCAAAAGGCTTACATCAGCGTGTAGCACTGGCGCCAATCGAGCCATGACTCAGTTTTGAACTGAAGTCCGGTCCTGGCACAAGCGCGCAGAAAGCGGCGCAGCGAAAGACCCCGCAGCCCCTGCAAAAGTCAGGGTGCATCAGGAGTCGGGAGCCGGTTTCGAAGAGGAGTACTTTACGGCCATCGCGTCGAAGCAAGCTGGGCTCTCTCCGTCTGTGATCGTCCAGCACAGCCGTTGGCGCTACTCGACAGTTGGACTGGCTTGTCACTGGCTTGTCTGAAATGCTAGAGTTGCAATATCATTTGTCCAAGCTTCATGGAACCTCACTGCACTTCCGAGAAGTAGTAAATCCTGGAAAGCGGCTCGTGCCAGCACAGATCTCTTCCTCAGACACCAGCTCAGGCCACAGCCGAGCAATTACCTGCTGAACTGGCCTCTGCAACCAGCGGCTTAATGAGCTGGAAGAAATCATTGGATGCATACCTGAGTTTCGACTCGCACAGTCGCTCAGGCGCGGGTGCAGGATGATAGGGCTCGGCTGAGTTTACATACGTGTGACTCAGGATGGGCGCTCATTGCTCTTCCGAACGGGCGGATACGGTGGAGACGATGCGACAACCTTTAAGGACAAAGTTGTTGTCAGGTCTCAAAACCGATCTCCTTCCCCTCCTGCGAGACTTCCACACGCTCGTTCTCGACAGGTCTCCAAACTGTCTATAGAAATGTGGGCTGCGCAGCATCCGTCTGAAGGCTTGTCGCATCTTGAGCCGCTTACCCCCAAACCTTTGTTTATCCTCGTCGTAGGAACCCTAAATTCTGCAAACACTACACCATCAATGCTTTGCATGTGACTTCAAACAAACGCATCCGCACAACACGAACCAAGCCCGACACCTCGCATATAAAGGTTGTAGACATCCTTTCGACATTTGAGAACGGCGGCGGCTTTCGCCGCAGCCGCCGGGATCCAGTCGAGCCGAGAGCTAGCTTCCTGGGCCAGCGGTCTCGCAAACTCAGACGCATGAGGGTCACAGGGTTACACCTCAGAGTCTGACCAAGAATAGAACATTGAACGATCAGCTATCGGAACCTGAAGGCCTTCCTCCCGAGGTACAGTCGCCCTTGAAGACACCGTACCGGTTAGCGCGGCAAGTCGCCAAGCAGACATCCGAAGGTGCAAAGCTTCTGCAAAAAGGGAAAACGGACTCAGATGTTTTTGGTCGACGAGGTCTTCGAGCATGAGCCGTGTAGTAACTAACGCAATCTAACCCATTGACTTAACCATTGACAAACGCACCATTCCTCAAGACCAGCTTCTCGTCCACCAGCTCCCGGACAATGCCGAATCGCGCCTCTATGACTCTATGCTCATTGAGGATGCATGGCTTCCATCTCGAGAAAATCAGCGGCTCTCTTTTGCTTCCACGTGATGCATGTCCGAAATTTGATGCTAGGCTTGCAGGATTTGACTTTTGAGTTTAAGTTGTGTATAATGGAAATTAACTTTGGAGGGAGGCTTCACGAACAAAACAATGCCCGTTCAGTATGTGCAAGAACTCAGTGTCCAGACAGCAGCAGCTAGCCCTGAACAGGTTGAAGAGCCCAAACCCCAAACCCATGACCGCCCGCTCAATTGTGCTCAACCAAAGACTTTCAAGCTCCTAACTCTTTCTGCTGCTAGACACTTGCCTGCCCGACCTTGCGGCTAGAACGAAGAACAACATGGAGCAGCGATGTCCAAATACGTCAGTACGTCGTCCTTGTGTTGGCTTGCTGACCAGTCGCATCATCCTCACTCAGCACATCCTCGAACGCAAAGATGCAGGAATTGAAACCTCGATTCACACAGGGCAGACGAACGGCCGGCTTGCTGTCGACAAATGCTACCAGCAGTGCGACAGTCAAGCAGTCAAGCCAGTGTCTCTTGATCTATGTGCCTTCCAAGCAGATCGAGCTGGAGCCCAACTACGACTAGATCCTGGTGGACAGCAAGTCAAGGTCGATGCCAGGCCAGGTGACTGATCACATCTGGCTGCAGTTCCTGTGGGCCGTCGAAACGTGAACTACGCCGTAACTACGCTCGGCGGAGAAATGCAGCCCCACTGCAGTGCAGCGACTCCAGCTGCGCCTGGTCGGCCATCTGCCGAAGCCAAGCCAGGGCAGGTCGCCACTCCGCACCGCGGGCACAGGCGTAGATGACGGCATTGAGCATCCTGACTCCGCGTATAAGGCCTCTAAACGCACCGAAAACCGCACTTCTGCATTAAACCCTTCGTATACGGCCCCAAAGATGCACGAGTCCCACGAGTTCGGCGGGCACGGTTCTGCACTTCAAGCAGGGCTGCAGCTGCTACTGGCTGCCATGATCATGGCAAAGTGACTTCAAAACCCCATCGGCACTGCAGCTTCTTCCTCATCATGTTCAGCTTCTAGATGAGATTCAAATTCAGCGGTGGTCTGTGGTTGTCAATCTGGTATTCCACTTTGGGCTGCCAAGCAGCGTGCTGGATGCTTGCTGCATCCTCGGCCCCTCGAAAAACCTGCGGTCTGCTTTCGAGTCTTTAAGTCTTTGGCATATCTCGTACGCAATCGGGTAGCTCCAGCTGCAGTACTTGCTGTCCTGTTTGCTACAGTAGAGTCAGGCTGCAAAGTACAAGGGTTAGAACCCCTTGTATTCGACCAAAGTACTGCGCTCCAGATCACAATCGAGATGCTGCTCCATCAGCGTCACAGCTCGCTGCCACTGCACCGCTCGTGCACATGCGGAGATGGTCGCTCCTCTTCGAGCAGAGCTTCCGAAGAGCTAAGGCGACCCTCATACAGGGAGTAAGGCTCGTGAGGCCTGAATGCCCAGAGTCGAGCCCGAGAGGTGCGAATTGTGAACGATCGTTACCGGTATCATCGATAATCCAGGGAGGATCTGATGAGTTTTGATGGCTAATTGGAGCTCTTGGTTTCAGGCAGCCAGAGAGACCCACTGAAGGCCACAACCTCACAGACTAGCCGTTTAAGGAACAGAGTGACCCGGATCGTCTCGTAAGTTGTGCTTTCAAACCCTGGCCCACCGTATGTGACGAGATTGGCACTCAGTGACCGTCCCGGCAGAGCCTTAGAAAACACATCAGCTGGACATGTGACAAGGCGATGCTGCAGCACTCCATACGCACACTGTCACAAGCGAGTCAGCTCAATTCCGTCTCTGCGGCCAGGCAACTGCAAAGAGGCACAGTGCTTGCTGCCAAGCTCCCCCGGAGGCACAAGCCTTTTACTGGCAAGTGAGGTTTTTTCCAAATGAGCCATGGGCCATGCGGCCTTCAAGTACAGTACACACCGTACACAGGGAGCAGAAATGGACCGGTCGTTGCACAGCCCAAGCCAAAGTTTAAAGGACTTACCGTGGCTGACATCCCCAAACCCTTGCCAATCGAACTCGGCGAAGAAGGAGAGCTACAGCAATGAATGTGGTTGCGAGCGTACGAATATCCGTGCACACATGTCAACCTTTATATGAGTACGAACACCTTCCAAGCGGCACTGATCAAGGACGTGCATGAAATTATGTTGGAGCTCACGCTCTGCTGCTCCATGCTTCGAAGCAACCTCAGGCAAGCTAAGACAATCCTAGTGTGAAGACCAACAGCAAACAAAAGCTCATTAACTCGTCGTCTGCTGGTCCGTAACCGTAACCGCATTCTGTATCCGATGCGCGGTTGACCTGCAGTGAGAAACGTCGAAAAGTTGCTGTCGAATAATGCCGGCCGCTGAAGCGTCGCAAGTGGTATGCTGGGAATCTGGTCGCCACATATGCCTTCTGCTTTGCTTGAATCCAGATTCACATGGACTCCACGAACCCACGCATCGCATGTATCGCCTCAAAATGGTCAGAGCCGAGATACTCCAACGCCGTGCACCACTCAGCTGCTCTCTCACATGTGCTGATGGCCACACCTTTCGGTGGTGGCTTGTGTTGCAGTGCTCTGTCTGACCGTTGCATGCACAGCACACACGACCGATTGCTTCGCGGCAAGGCGCAACAAGGACCCGCCGACCTAGTAAAGAAACATCCAAAATCGGATGCATCCTGCAGCCAGGCCAACCTCTCACCTTTAGAGGCCAGTTGCTGTAGGAGATGACGTCGGGCAGAACGAAGCTCGCCTGCATCTCCTGTGGAGAGCGGAAGGGCGGAATCTCTTTTCGCCTCGCCTTCGCCTTCGCCTCATTCGCCGGCCTCCAGGAGACGGCTGGAGCTATCCCAAAGCCCGGGCAATTCCAGGGCCCCAAGCATTGCATTCGCGAGCACGAGCCCCAACTGCAGGGGAAAGCGTTTGAGAGGAAGACCCTCTTCTAGCCGCTAGCCCCCGCAAAAAACGAGCGAGTTCTCAGGCTTGGATTTCAATGTTTGCCTTTCACGCGGAGGGTCACGAGGTCTGGCCCGGGGCTCTCCTGTAACGCTTTAAGATTTCACGCAGGAGCTCAAACCACGAAGCTTTCACTGATCCAGAATCCAATTTTGCATCTCGAAGTCGAGACTCGAGCAGTCTCAGAAAATGCCACACACTAAAGTCCTTGAGCCGTGCGTCGGTCTATGCACGGGGCTCCACGCGAATGGACGAAAGACTTGCATAATCCACCGATCCCGCCCCTCCCTTTCAACCCTTCAGGCCCCTTGGTGCACAATGGCGGCACATAGCAGTGACAGCGCAGGGGCCCAAGAGCTGCATTTTACCTCAGTCCGCTATCAGAGAGGCATCGTAGCTCTGGCTCAGGATGCTTGTTGGAAGAACTTGTGGTTGCGGAGCTTGGCATCTCTGCGATCATTCCTCTACGGACGTTTCGAAAGCAGGGACGATGAGGACTTGCAAATCAACATGCAGAAACTGAACATCAACACGAGCGCAATGGAGTCGTGTTGACCAACTTGGCAGGATCATGTTCGAACTGCGTTTTTATGGGTTGATTCCGACTTACCATGGGTACTGCCGCCTGATCTGCAAGAGACTTGAATGTAGAAGCTGGCATTTATCACGCCTAAGAAGCTAAGGGCCCGAAGGGTTACAGCAAATGTCTTGATGGCCTGGGCTTCAGCGCATAGGGCGCTGCCCGGACCCCGGACCCTACAGTATGCGGAGAGAGAGATCACTGTCTGGAATCTTCCTTCCGTGCCGCATTGCGGTCGAAGCTGAATCAAGGCCGGAGGTTCGCAAGCGCTGGCGACTGCGCTGTAGCAGATAGCATCAGGCTCCAGGCGTCGCTGGAGCATGTCCCGGAGTAGCTCCAACCTCGATGCGGCACGGGACAGGAGGGGCAGCGGCTCCATAAAACAAACGCTTACCGCAGTCTCCGAGCCATCTCACCCCAAGGATGGTGCAAAGCGGAGTTTGTTGATGTCAAAAAGCCCTAGCTGTCCCATAATATGAGGACAACTTTGCCTGCGTAGGCTCCAACATATATTTGTACTGATAACAGCGGCAGTGAAAGATCACACATGATGTAAGCCAAGAAGAATGGGCAAAATCCAATGTGCGACTCGTGACGCCAAATGCATCGCCTGAATCGCCTGTGTTCGTGTTCATGTCTGCTTGTCTTGCTCCTCATGGGTGCAGAATGGGAGACGCGGAACTGCTGTGCGCGCCTCCGCTCTTGCCTAGCACTCTGCACACCCTGAGAGCTGAGTTTTGGAAATTTACAAACGCCAGGATCCGCTCTCCATGGCCCCGGCGAGTGGGACCACGCCTCGGGAAGTCCGCAGGCGCGGATGGCTGCGCTATAGACGAATCCATTCGGCTGCAGCCTTGTGCAGCGGGCTTTGGTGAGGTGAGGGAGTCAGGAAACGGCTTCAAGCTTCTGTGTTGGATGTGTTTCGATGTTCAAAAAGCCGGGTCCCGGGATTTGGCCGCAAACTTTCCAGGAGCATCAGAATGTCGTTAGTTTGTGTAACCTTCAGGAACGGCAACCCCTTCGCATCATGTTTTCAAGCTGCTGATTCCAAGTGGTCGTGTTGGTGCTCAACAAGATCCAGCGCCAACAGGTTCACACTGCACCACGGTCACATCACCTGGCAACTTCAACTCGAACGACTTTCCGTCCTTTCCGGGAGATCCAGCTGGCGTCTGAGTTAGTCGATACGCATTCGTGGTCTGGGTGACAAAAACACGCTACTGAGAAGAGGAACAGACGAGCTCTGGAACTCACCCCTTATTAGGATCTGGTCTCTCTCTTCCTTCCTTCCTTCCTTCTTCTGGGGTCAGGCCCGCCCTCCCTACCTTGTTGGTGGAAGGAGGCTTCGGGGTCGTTGGTAGGGGTTGTTGCCCGCGGCTTTTGCAACAGGTGGAGTGTCCCCGGCGAAAAAATCCCTCCCTGACCTTGTACTCTATCCCGCGTACCGGCCGTTCCGCGCAGGGCACTAACCCCCATGTGCTACTCTCCGGCCGGCAGTCTCCCGCTATGTTCGAAGCAACAACTGAGTACGGAATCATCACGACCATGATCAAAATTATGGTATTTCTCCCCGTTGTGTCAAGAAAGCAACAAAGAGTAGGATGCTCTCTCTCGCTCGCTCGCTCGCTAGCATCCGGGGCAAGGTCCGAAGACCCGGGCCGGGGCCCCCCCTCCCTGTTTTGTTTGTGGGAGAGGGCTTTGGGGTCGAGAGCTAGGGGTTGTTTCCCCCCGGTCAGTGTGGAAGGTAGAGATCGCCTGGTGATCAAACCCCCCCAAACCCTGTACTCTCTCTCTCTCTCTCTCTCGCTGAAAAGGCCTTCACTGCAGCCGTCACACTGTCCAGCCACGGGACGGCTCTGGATACAAGGACACTTCTACCACGCCCGCTGTGCTCTCAACACCCGCATCTGACACAGGGCACGTTTCACGAAATCACCGAAACAAACCATTACTGCCACATATACAAAGATTCTGAGACACAAAAGTTGCGAGGCAATTCTCCAAGACGGCTCGCACTGCGGTGTCCAATCGGGCCTTCACCTGTTCACGACGACCCAGCAGGATCCACCGCTCTTGTCACTTGTTCAACAAGCCAACACTTAGGTGCCTTGACTTCTCGCCAGTCGGACCGGTAACGCAAGTAACTCGCTTACTGAAAAGCCCTTTCCAGAAGCCAGCACATTCAAGGACCAGCAGCAGTTCCACACGTGCGGAGGGCCAAAATAGCTCAGCTTGACCCTGAGTAACGTTCTGTGGACCCGGCCGACACGGCACTCCCGTGCCCGTCTGCGGGAAGATGCAGCGCTGAGCCAGTGGGTCGTACCAGCCACATCTCAACACACGACGACACAAAACCCCGAACTGTGACAGGCAACAGCTCATCCCAGAACATATATCCACGGCATGCCATAGCCTGGGATGTTCCTGCCGGGTGCGTGCTGCAATGCACGGAACAATATGCATCCATCCATCCGACCGATTTTGCCTGCATCACAAGTCTACAGAAGGCTGGGATGGTGAAGAGTTGAACTCGACCAAGGAGTCAACGAATCCGAAGCCTGGGGATGCTTCGAGAGCGCTGCATTGCAGAAGCTTCTATTGAATCCTACTATATATTCCAGCAACTTATCAAGCTGCTGAGCATCCACAAGCTGAGACTTGGAGAACCACGCCCACATAATCCCCTGTCGGGCATCAGAATGAACGGAAGAAGTTATCAGTCGTCTTTTGCCGTCTGTCGTCACACCAGAAAGGTGTCTGCCACACGACAACTGAACGGCGCTGGGGAGTGTGTGGCTCCATGGTCCATGCTGCGTCCCAGCCTTCTGTCTGGAATGGAAGCAGAGGTTGCTCGAGGAAAGCACATGTGCAAGTAGAAGAGGCTACCCAACGTCCGGACACCACCTTTCCAAGCATCCACCCCAGACACGCACTGATCTTCAGGCTATCATATACAGTACTCCTGAAGTGTCAAGCTTGTAAATCACCAGAGGGGCACCCGCAGTAACTGATTCCTGCAAAGCAGCACTAACTAGAAAGGAATGCCGCATCTGCGTGTCCTTTCCCTTTCCTGCCGGCAAAGCAACTCTTTACATCAGGCCAAGTCGGCAACACTCTGAGGGATTTGTCAACACCTTCAACACATCTCACCCAGCACGCTTGACCTCAGCATGATAGCGTCTTCGACTTTGGGGCCTCTTTGACAGCAGCACAAGCCAACCAACAAGTCAGTACTAGAGAGCTCCGCTGGTGCATTCACGATGTCAACAAAAATGGCCGTCCGCGCACGCCCTGAGAACTGTTTGGAAATGCCCCACTGGCCTTGTGGCCTCGCCGTTTTTCTGCATCCGTACTAAAATCACCAGATCTAACCGGCTCTCCAAAAAGGAGAGGACCTCTTATCCACCCCGCCCTCAAGCGAAGAAACCCGACATCAAAGAACTGCTTAACGTCGGTCTGCGACTAGGAGACTGCTCAGTATCCAGATGGAACATGAGCTGGGCAGCTGCACGCCACTCCAAAGCCTGCAGCACCAGCGATCTTGTGATCAAGGTGCGTGGCAACGTAATCTCGTCTAAACGAGTCGAAACGCAGCTCATGAAACCCTTCAGCTCTCTTGGAAGGCTCAAGAACCTGAAACCGCATCAGCGGGCGGGACCTTGCTACAGGCTGTGATGGCTGCACCCACAGCAACGACATCAGGGCCCAAAGTGCCCGCTGTAGCTTGGCCTCAACTTCGGACTCAGCGATCTGGGCGGGAAGTGCTGCAAGTGCTGAGCATTCAACAAGTGGCGACGGCATCGGAACCCTGTCTTTGCACCACCGATTGCTCAAGCTCAAGACCGCTACGCCGCTACGACCTTCAAAGACCTTTGCAGGCTAGCAGGTAGTCCAGGGGCGGAGTAGCTCAAGGCTATCCGTCCACTGCGCCGCTTCGCGAATGCGCTTTGTCACGCCACGAAGGTCCGGCTGCTTCCTGCTACTAGTCTCTTCGATTTGGGGCCCATTTGGGGCCAGATGATGGAAACCATCAGACGCTGGACTCCTTTGTCTACACGAGCCTTCCATGGAAAGGTGCTGCCGATGGTGGCTCTGAAAATGCCCGACTGTTCGAAGTAACAGGCTAATTCGTAGACTGCCTGGGGAAAGTTGACTAAACTTTACGCTAAATTGCCCGCTCCATACTACCACCTCGTTGCAAATTCGAGCACACTTCCCTGGCCCCAGATGTCAGCTTCATCGACTACTGACTGCATGTGGTATTGTAGGGAATATGAGGGAACAACATCAGTGTGCCGGCCAAGTGTTGGTCGGACGGTAAGACACGAACAAACTCGCAAAATCATCTCAAACTTAGATCTTAGAAGACCTGTTGGCCCCGAATCTGTTGATATGCGTTGGGGCTTCCGGCTGCTATTTACCTCCGTCAAGTCCAAGCGTGCAGTGATGTTGGGCCTGTGTGGTTGAGCACTCACTACCTAACTGCAGAATTTCCGATAACCATCGATCTCCCGTGGTCAGGAATTTGGGTTTGGAGTCCAGAAGATGTAAGGCTCTCCGGCGGCCGGCAGGAAAATATGCGAAGCTTTGACAAAACTGCTGAACTCCGACAGAAAATCTCGAATGTTGGGCGGGGCCTGCTGGTGGCTTGCGGGCCTGGAGCTGCCATGGCAACATGTGTCGCGTTGTGGTGGGTTGTGTGGGGTTGATGGTTGCCGCGAACCGGCATCCTCACAGGAACGTAGGACTACAGTGCGGCTGCAATGAACTTCAGGAGCCGCATGACCGTCGGAATGCTGCAGACCGCAAGCTTCGACATTTAAGGTACTGAGGCACGGGGCTGGAGAGCTCATGAAGGCGGTGCGCGTGTGAGTAATGGAAATTATCATATATTATATATATTCATATATTTGTTGACTACAGCAGGCCGCCCTCCAGGGCTTCAGGCTAAGCGGGAGCTTGAGAAATGCACGAAACACGGCGTTCGCCAACTGGACGGCAGAAGAAACCTGCTAGTGCAGACACCCTTTCACGCCTCCTTCAGGCTCCTGAGTTTCCATCAAGATGCTTTCACGTTCTGAACCTTCTACCACAAAGCGTACCCGCAGCTTAGCGATCGGGCCGTGAAGATATTGCCAAGCCTAGGATTGACGCTGACCTGGAAAAAACTAATGGAGCATGGAAAAAGACCATTAGTTAATTGGCTGAAATCCAATGGCTCCAGGGCGTTGTCAATAACAACCCTTTCGGCACCACCCTCAAGGACTCGACAACTTCACGTCATATCGTTTTCGGCGGTCGTTGAAGGTGGTCTTGCAGCGAGTGCCACTCTTGCGTGGACATCTTGGCCGCTGCTACGGCGGCACGCTGCCCTCCGAAGCATGGGGCAGTCGTGCAATGCAGGATTAGATAGAAAGTTTGAGGCGACTGGCGAATGGCTGGTGTTTAGCATATATAGCTAGACAGACCAAGTCCTGAATGGTTCACCATTGACCCAAACGGCCGGCCTGCCAGCAAGAGGAAGTCCCTCGACAACTCGATTTCGGATTCGACCTGCGGCGCTGCGGAGCGGAAGACCCGTCTCAACAGTGACGCGCAATCTCTTGGGGCGGCGAAGCTTTCTGAGCGCGCGCCTCTCCCCCCAGAAAGATGCCCGGCCGGGCAGCCCGAGACAGGGCCGGGTTCAGGGATGCAGGAAGTTGAGGGAGCCTCAGAAAGACGGCTGAAGATGTATTGCTTGCGAGGCACAATGCCTGCACGATCTTGACCTGCATGCTGAAGGTTGCGAGCTAGCTCAATTGCTACCAATTTCCCTGTGGCAGATGAAACCCGACGTGCTTCGACACATGATGTCCTGGATGTGTGCATGCGAGTATGCTCCGCAGATGCGAGGTGTTTGACCAACGCCGAATGCACAACCCAACATTCATGCAGAGACACATCCACACTCCACCGGAAGTGCTGCGCCACAGAGTGGGCACCTCTCTCGAGGGGTCTTGTAGGATCAGGCTGGGCTTCAAACGCACACAACTCGCACAAGTACTGCCCTGCCTCATGGGGCGTGCACAAAGGGGGCCAGAAGCCCAATTCTGCTCGAGCCTCCGGCAATTCCAGATAGAGGACCAAGTAGCTGGACGACCGAAGGAGTGGAGTCTTGTTCTAGGAATAAGACACTAAGGAACTTCAATAGCACGTGTCTCAGTTTCAGACTCCAGTGTCATGATGCAAACCCTCCATTTCGTAAAGGAGGACACGAATTTGGACAACCTTGCCATCATGGTAAGCCAACGCCTGCCTTCTCTTCTACAGCTCGCCCGTCTGCCTTCGACAGCCTTGCGGCAAAACAGCAGCTAGAATTCGGCAGTTGGCATCAGCAACAATCACCAGTCGCAAGAACTGATCTGGGGGATTAGGATTGAAAGGGTGACCCGGCAACACTATCAAGTCTCGCATCTAGGGATGTTTTCTAAGTTCCACAGGGCACTGCAAGGGGAGGCTCAATTCGAGTTTACGATGTTCCGTTCACGCTGTCGGCGGGACTGCTCAGGCCCAAAGACGCCCGCATCAACTTGAGCCACTTAGCCGGTGAGCCTCTCCAGGTCGAAGCGAGCTGCAAATGCAGCAGTAGACCACGAGCTTGCAGGAACGTCCTGCAAACGTCTGCCGAGCTTGGCATGAAGCGAATCCAGCCACCCGGAACAGGAGCCACAGAGTGGACCAGGAGGTGCAGACTCTTGGTGTCACTCCTGCACCAGCTCCTCTTTGTCCAGCCTCTTCTGAAAGCAGCAGACATAGAACCCCTCTGCATCGAAGGTTTCTGGGAAAATACCTGGCACTGCATTGAGACATGCAAGTATTCTTTAGGCTTCCGGTTGGTGAAAGGCTCAACACTTGGATTTCAGCCCTTGCTATGCAATTCAAGACCTGTACCAAAAAGCTTAGCTCGAGCTTCCGGGATCGTCCTAGTTGTGAAACGGCGGCGAGTTGCGCAATGCGCCAAGCTCCTCCTCCATTGCTCCATTGCCCTCAGCTCGTGCACGAACCTCCTCGGTACGACGATGATGCCGGTTAAGGAAGATTGAAGCAATCGGAATCGGGCGGTTCTGCATGCCCGTGGGCTCTCTGATTGCAGATCCAGACACCGCCTACAGTCGCGTTTCTTCAGATTGCGGTGCTGTGTTGCTTGACGCCCATCATTGTACACATCGCCAACTTCGACTGCCGACAGACGAAGGGCCCCCCTGAATGGGTTCGCAAGGTCCGCATCCGTTGAGAAATCCCCCCCCCCCCCGTATATCTCAACCGCCGCCGGGCCACTGAGACGACCGCAGCTGGAAGCGATAGCAGGGCTGCTGCATCCACGCAGTGAGGAGCTTTGGAGCCGAGGCCCAGGCCGCCCCGCAAAAAGCTGAGGCAGAGTCCTCAGCTTGGGGGCACAGCCGCGGCGGTTGCGAAGTCGATTTTGGTTTTGTTTTTTTCCTTTCTGGCTTCATAACTTATAACTGTCTGTAGCAAACCTCCAGCGCCCAGGACTTTGAGCAAGGCTTTCATTTCTGGTGCCGCCAGCTGGATATTTCTTTGTTGATGCCAGTGTTTGCGGGTTTCGGGGGAATTCTTCGGGAAGTGAGTTTTTCTGCCTGGATCGGGACTTCAATCTGCCACAAAATGCCGAAACCAGAACTTCATGTGGCCGCCTTCGTTCTCGTGGTAGTTGAAGGTGCAGGTGGAGTAGACGAGGCAGCCCCCAGGCCGCAAGGCTCGCCACCCGCTGCGCAACAAGCGGAGCTGCGTCTCAACAACCCGGGCCCTTAGCTATTAATCAACATGTCTCAAGTTTTGGGTGCACGCCCGCATTCAAGTGGCCAGTTCGTCACATGCGACAGACTCCACCTCAATGTGCCTGCGAGATATGCACGAGAACGATAACGATACATCTGTAGAAACAATGGAAACGGAAATAACAGATGACCGTAAACGTAACCCAGTGAAGGCAGCGAACCAACGCAACAGTAAGCGCTGAGATGTAATCGGCAATAGAATAGACAACAACACATGGTGTGCCACAGGCTACCAACATGCTACGATGCGAGGAAAAGAAACTCATGTGAACGCGGGTAACCGCCCAAAAGACTTGAATGTGCTAAGACTGGGAACATGAACAACAACTTAACAAGCAAGACTTAAACGAGAGGTTCAACTGAAAGACAGTAAATGGAAGGGCAAGAATCAACCATGTTCACACACACACACACATGCACCTTTGCAAGAGCAAAGCAGCAATTGCACTTACACTTGTTCGAGCGGAACTTGTTCCCTGCACTCTCTGACCTGGGTTGTTTCACACTTGATTATCTGGCCGTGTGGATGCCAGCAGCTCGCATCAACATCTGAAGTTCGGGCATCCTGACTTCGCCTGTGGTATGGCGGGGGATGGTTTCGGACGTTCGGCGGCGGCATACCTTTGCATGTCAACTAAGTGAGAACGAATATCGTTGGAGCAGCTGCCCCCTGGAGCACTTATGCTAGCTATGCTCGGGAGCCGTTCTCTCGTGACCGTAGCTTATACATGTTGGCAAAGCGCCTAAATAATTAGCGTCGAGCTGCTGTTCATCCCGGTCTGCCTCCAGCAAGGACAAGGGCGACTTGCGGATGTTGCCCTGGCTCAGAGTCGCAGGGTGAGTGAAGCAGAACATGGTGTGATCACGCGTGAACTGAAGCTGTGAAGAGCTACCCTGCCCCGCTCTCACTGCCGATTCCTCGCAAGAGCAGGGTGCATCCACCAGCACGGCATCGAAGACCTCCGTCACCGTCCATGCTTGAGTAATGTGCATTCAATGTGGGTGCTAAATACAGCTGGGCAGCCAACCAGTGTGGTCTGTCACATTTCAAATCGCAAACCCAAGTCTGTCATGCAGGCAACGAACTGGTCGGTGTTTGTGATGGGCGATATGGCGCCTCCGGCAATTCCCGGCCCAGATCCTCCCCCAGGCCGCGCAACTGCAGCCATTGCCTGACTCTGTCCGGTCTTCTCCAGACAAACAGACAGACGGACAAATGGACACACACACACACACCCCTCTACACCTGACTCATGAGGCTACACACGCAATCCAGTCTGCTTACTGCTTGACACGGCCCACGCAACTTTAAATCGACTGCTACAGTGTATATACATGCGCCTGTGCTTCTTCGTGTGTATGTTCAGTGACGCATGCGTAGCATGATACAATTATGCAATGATATGTGTATATATATATATATACATACACCGACGGAGTAATTACCCTTTGCACCTCAAAGGCCTAGCTTGCGTGCAAGCCTTTGTGGGGCGGACGAGGGAGGGGAGACGCCACGCGGCCGAGGCACGTGGACCCCGACTTCAACAAATTCTCCTTGGTTACAGTTCAGAGAGCGACTCTGAACACACAACATGTTATTTAATCTGGTGATTTCCATCCAGAACTTGCTGAGGCAGAGTCTAAAGCGATGTTCTGACCCACTGGATCTGAAGCCGCCCAGATTCATACAGCTTTTGAGATCGATCTGCATCTAGCCTGAGCCAAGAAGGCCAAAGATTCCGGAACGCCATATTGGCCCTGGCCCCTCAAGCAAGTCTGTGCAACCCAGTACGGTACCACCCTTGGGAGGGCTTCCCGAATTCTGAATCTTGATCTGCCTTGCCATGCCCGGCGGCTCATTGACGACTAGGCAGCTGCCGTCGCCCCTCTCAGCCAGCCAGCTCAGCAGCTGCCTGTCCCAGCACTGCCCTCGTCTCCCCGTCTCGAGATCCGTCCCTCGCCGAGGTGCGTGGACTTGCTGCCAGGCGCTGCGCAGAGGTCCAAAGCCAGGAGGGGCATGTTCCTCGCGTCTCGATGCGTTTGAGCGCCGGGCCATAGTTGGGATTTGGAGTCTTCCAGTCTTGAAGCCGAACTAGGTGGAGCACGCACACCTATAGTGGCGTTTGCACACCAAGATCGATCATGAGCACTGAAGACTCGGCTGCACAAGGCCACATGCGGCCGGCGCTACCCCGTGGCTCGCTTGGAGGTTTCAACGAAAGAGCATGCAATGCACCTCTTCTCCAATGGTGCAAGCTGGTCGCAGGCTCTTCGGAGCACCTGTGTAACACGAACTTCAAGCGTCGGGTTTGGCCATTCGGTGAACTCCACAACTTCAAGCCGGCTACCGACGAACCGACGCTGAACCCATCTGAACCCCGTCGGGACCTCGGCGGGCAGCATGGAGGTCGCCTCTTGGAAATACATCGCCCCGCTGAGGTGCTCCTTCATGCCTGAACAATCGCCCCACCCCAAGCCGCCCAAGCCGCCCAAGCCTGCCTGGGACTCTGGGACTGACAGATGATGGTAGATTAGATTCGACGACAGGTCTCATGGAGCCTCCGAGCTTGTCAGCTCCCTCCAGGAAGAAGCCCTCGGAGAGCCAGGGTACGCAGTGAAGTCGGCAGCCGGCCCTGGAAGCACCACACGCGGCGTTCGAAGTGGCAAGGCTTCTGCAGTTCCCTATCATCCACAACGGGTGAAAAATAAGGACATGACAGTCATGACAGGAATTGGACTGGACTCCTAGCTTAAGTAACGTGAACTCTAAAGTTGCTTAAGGCTTAACGTAGGAGGCTTTTCAGATTCGTTGGTGTTTTGTTTGCATTTTTGCCACAGCGCTGCACTTCCTGCTGGGGTTTGCGCTTCTGCGGCTGCATCTGTCTGTCACGTGCGATAGGCTCGCAGCTGCCGCAAGCTCGACAACAACAGCAGCAGCCGCAGCAACAACAGCAACGACAACAGCAACAGCAACAACAACAACAACAATCTGAAAGACCCACCGCTGTGGGTCCCAGCAAATGCAAATGACACCGACCGACGCATAGCACTGATTCTCAAAGACTGACTCTGACATACCTCCCCGTTTTCTTAATCCCACCCATTCGCTGCTTCTCTGACAAACAGGCAACAGGCTGGCTGCTGCGCCAGTTCCAGAATGCCTCTCATTTGGACTCAACTTGCCAACCGCACAATGTGTCTCCCACTCTGAATATCCGCTCCCAAACCCGCAGTGCCAGGCCGTGATATTTGACCTATACTGCAGTCTAGCAGTCTAGCACCGTGTGCCAGTCTGTCGAACCTTCTAAGCGTAGCAAACCACAACAAGTCTTGGCGGTGCGGGCACAGTCAATGCTGGCATTGAAAACCGCCAGCCCAAGCACATCCACTTGCACTACTAAGTCCAAATGTTCTACAGGTGCGCTGCATCAAGTCGAAGCACACCGCGAAATGAAGCACCTTTAACATCCAGACTATGTTCCCTGTTCCCGGATGTGTAAAACCAAACCCGATAAGTTCAGCAGGCACGACACTGGACACCATCTACCCGAAACAGGCCTGACCCCTCTACAACTGCCCGCGACAGCCCTCTCTTCGCCCGGCGAGGCCTCTCAACAAGATCAACACTAGCCCGGAACACCCAAAAAACATATTGGCATGAGTATGAGCAGCAGAGCTTGTTCTGCACGGCCTCTTCAATGCATCCGGCAGTCCATCGGTGGCCTCCACAAGCTCGCGAAGTCTTGATAGGCGTTCGGACGAGAGGACGAAAACTGCATAACCTAGTTCGGCGGGCTGTGGGCTGCACACCTATATGCCCGGGACAGTCCAAGCGAGGCTCCTCTCTCCCATATCTCTGCAAGTTCAGACTGCGTACCACAATACACGTATTGACTATAATGAAGCAATGCCAGTGGGAAGTTTTGCCGCTGCCAGGGTTGAAGCGGGAAAACGCTGTCGGGTGTTTACTGCATGTTTGGAGGTCTGGATTTGCGGGTACATTGAGGCTCCGTGCGCTGCCATGGCCAAGAACATTTCTAGCCACAGTCGACACGAAGCCTTCGGATGCATTTCGGGTTCTCATGGATGCAGGAGTCTGTCACCTCTTTCGGGCCGTTACGTTCGCCGCTGAGTCTCGGCAACTTTCAGGCCGTTGGACAAGAAGTTAAGATATCCCTGCGATGCATCACATGAGCATTTCAACCATGGAAGGAAAGGCACATCATTTGAAAAGGCCTGGAAATGCCTCCGCATCTCCTTGCGCCACAGGACCGACACCAATGCAAGTTCGCTCTCCGAGACCCGCCTTGCCTTAAGCGTGTTGGCGCGAATGCTCCTCTGCAAGGGCCGTGCGGCAGCTCGGAGGAAGCGTCTGCTGGCTAGGCCTCCGGCCAAATCGCAAGATCTGCCAACACGGGGACTTATCATCCTCCGTGTGCCATGTGGCCCCAAGCTACGGGAACACACACACACACACACACACACACACACACACACAAACTCGCACAGGTGCCGCTGCCGCTAAACCCTCGCCACAATGTCCGACAAAGAACAATAAACGACGAAATTTGTTGGCTTTGCTGCCGCACATTAACTTCCAGACTGCGACGGCAGCACCTCTAGCCTTGATTTTCCCATGCGGCCGAAAGCACATTGAGGGAGCTATGGCGAAAAACAAGCCAAGCTGTCGCCTTGATGCCAACACTTCTATTGCAACTCTTCGAATTGGGCCCCTTCGAGTCCAAGTGCGGTCAAGAGCTGGGCCTCCCGAGCGTAGCCGTGACATCCTGACCAATGTTGCGAGAACTAAGGCTGAGCATCACACGGCGGCCATAAACAGGCAGATATGTGCAGGTATGTCGGTTCGTAGATATGATTCCCGTAATTTGTGTAAGATTTCAGAGACTGAGACAACGTTTGGTCACAAATCTCGCGTCTCTCTCGCAAAATCTGAATTCCATCAAAGCCGAGCAGCCGAGAGCTCGTCTCCCAACAAGGACATGCGGCTCTTTGTGCACTTTAGACATGTAGCTTAACTTCCGTGCGACCGGTCCTCGTCAGGAAGTCCCGGGGTGCCAGGGGCGGGCGATCGAGGCGCAAACGCCCAAGGCCTGGTCCGGGTCCCTCCAACCTGGCTCTCAGGCATTTTCATCATCCCTGGCTCTGCTACTAGTAAACGAGTACTCACCGAATTGCTGCCACTGAACCTCTTGCAGTGATGGTCTGCACTCGACTACCTTTGTGTAGCGACCGTAAACAGACTAAGAGCAGGAATCATTGTAGTAGCGCCGGGCCAGTCAACAGTTTGATTGAGGTCCTCGCCATCATAAGTCAACCCCAGATTGCAATGCAGGAAAGCAGGCAGGGCTTCCAGCAATTCCGCTTCAAGAAGTTGGTCACGAGCTGTTGCGGCAAACTTCTCATTTCGGCGAACGGCGATGTTCATGCTGCATGATCTCTTGCAGTTCTCTTGCCTTGCCTCTCACCTGCACTCGCGGATTACACCTCAGGACCTCTTCAAGTCATCCGACAAACACCTCCCTCCTCCCCCTTGCGAGGCAAACGTGTGTTCTTTTGCAGCGGAGATAGGCATCTGCTCGAGGTCCTAGCCCGCAGCCATCATTTTTTCTGTTCCTATTGTCAAAAGACCTAACCTACCCAGCTCAGACACAAAACCCTCCAACTGGTCTCGTTTATAACGATTGGTGGATCGTTGGGGCTCGAATTGAAGTGCTCCAAGTTCGAGAAGAGCCCGCCTCAGCCGTGCGTCCAACAACTGGATCTGTTTCGGCCAGCTCTCGGCGGGAAGACCCAAGCACGCAGAGCTGTACGTGATCTTGTCGGGGCTGACCTGCTGTAAGGATCCGAAGGCTCGTCAATCTCGATTAAGCTTGCCTTCTGCACACGCGGACCTACAATGTCCATTGCTTCTGATTAACTTGCACGGTGTCACCTTGGTGCAGGTGCGATCTTAACGGTGTATACGTGATACCTATGGGTTGCACTGCTGGCTTGCTGAGTGGTAGCTCTACTGGAAGCCCACGTGCAACAGCCGTATGCAAAGTACCAACCATTGGGACCATGCAACAACCATGCCAAGAACTTCTTCACCCATATCGCCGTGCACCTGCACCTGTTGAACTTTTCGATCTGGGGACAGCTAACCATAAAGCAGGCGGACCCACGCATTTGCTTCTGCAAGGTTTGGGTGGGGGGGCTATTATAGCAAGTAGTCCCAAAAGTCCTGCTTTACTTCATGCCTCCGAATCCTATATCATCATAGACAGCACCAGCATCGCGCCATCATCCCCATCATCATCTTCTTCTGTCGACTGGAACCTGCAACACTCCTCAATCTCGAAACTCTGCGTCCCAACTCCTGGAATCTCACGGATGTCACCTCTCTGGAATGCATGTTGCTCACGAGCACGATGGCCTTAGCTGCGTGTACGGATGCAGCCCTGATCATCGCCTACTTCACGCTGCAGATGCCACAACTAACTATGAGTTGTCCCCGAGTGCTCTTGATCCTGGACAACTGGAAATCAACAGTACTCCCGTAGCAAACGTTGCCTGCACAAAAATGAAGTGACCCATTCTCTGCAAATGGAACGAACCCGCACTTACCTCAAAACACTCCCAACCAGAATCTGTCTCCTTGCGACAGCCCAAGTTGGCCAAGCTAGCTTGCGAACTCACAGACGCACAGACGAACACAGCAGAAAGCTAAGCCTAGCCGCATGCTCCCACTGCCTCGCTGTGGAAGTCGCACGCACCGCCGCATTGTAGGTGAAAATGTTTGCTTGGCACCGGCTTTGCCCTTGGTCTTGTCTACTGGTCTACCCAAGGTTTAGAAGGATAAGAACCCAAAAGCGGGCTCCCTGTCTCGAACCAAACTAGCTTCAACCGAAGAAAGGAAACCTGCGGACTTGTTCAGCTTTTTCCGCCGAGGGTCCGAGCCGTTCCAAGAGCTCCAGTGCTCCTTCCCACTGCTGGCCTTTCTCACAAGCGCTGAGAACCGCGCCGAAGGAGATGATGTTGGGCTCGACCTGCTTGGCTTGCGGAGCATTTGGGCCTTCGCCGGTCCCAGAGTGCATTCGGATGATGGACAAGTATGGACCCAATTCACACTCCAAGTCCTACTTAGTCCTACGCGACTCTAGTTCACTTATTACGGACTGGATGTTGGAGAGATTCGAGTCCCAACAGATCAAAGGTGTGGTAGGGAATGCCGTCTCTCGGCTTCAACTGGACCGCAATTGCCTTCTGTCCTACCCCCTGGCAGGGACCTAGAACGGGTTGGAGTTGCATGTTGACGCTGTGCCGTCGCTCAAACAATATCTTTTCCGAGGTACGCCGGATTCCCACAGGACGTCGAAAATGTGCAAGGCCCCTTAGCAGCACCGGTTTCAACATGGTGAGGGAGCGGTGCATGAGCTGCAGGGCTGTTTCAAACCCTCACACGCAACCCTGCTCGGTCTCTCAACTTCTCGAGGCACCTAAGTGCACCTGGTTGCACGCCTTCTCATCCATCGGCAGCACGACACTGGAAAGCAACACACTTCGACAAAGCCATCTTCAAGTCGACCAGTCATTGCGTGTCTCGAAATCCCAAGCTGACCAGAATGCAAGATCCGAGCACCCCCGGGCCCCAACCACTGGACTCGAGAGCTTCCAAAGACCCAACAGCAACCTTTTTGCAGTGGAAGGCGCGACCCCACTCAGAGCCCCGCGCGCAAGCGCTCACCGCCGCACTGCACGTGTACACATTTGGCTCCTGAGTTGATCTGGGCTGCGAGTCAGGGCCGTCTGAACTTCAGTGGTCCGCGTGTAGATCATGATGGCTCACGAAGCATCGAAAGCGCCCTTGACTGGCTCTTGGGACTGCAGCCGAAACCTCCCACATGGGCTGAAATGAACAAGCCCACTCAATCATTCAGGATCATTCGCAAAACCTCCCGCCGAAAAAGAAGAGCTCGAACGCTTCGTCCAACGAAGATTTGAATCGTTCAGCCCTGTTGCGGCTCTCTGTTGCAGCATAAACTGCAGAAGGCTCCACGCAGCAGCCCAGGCCAAGCCTCAGCTGAAAATAGATTTCGTTGGACTTGTTGTTTTTCAGGGGGGCGGGAGCTAAGTTGTCGCGCTGAGCACAAAAAGGCGATTCGAACTTCTAAGGCGAAACAAGCCCGATCAATAGAGGAAGACGCCCCCAAAACGCACATTTCTGACAGAGATGCCCTTTCCACAGGCACTAATGCAGGCAGTGTAGGAAGCCAGCGCAGCGGGCGACTTCTGCTGCCTTCCGTCGGTGCCGAATGTCAATCGGGGTTTTGGTCGACGTATAGAAGATGTTATCACTCCCAGCCGCGGCTGCAGGACATGTTATCATCTTGGCCAAGGCTCTCTTCCGTCCAGAGTAACCAAACAGCGCTCTGCCAAGCAGAATGTTTCCCACATGCACGGATAGCAGGGCCGTACCTGACGGGACAAGCTCAAAGGATCGCGGATGCGTGCTGGGCATAAAGGCTGCTTCCGACGGTGCACTCTGCCAAGCTCTTCAGGGTCCCGCGCGCTTCTTGGCGCAGCTGTTCCTCATTGAAGAACTCTGATGTGACGACGTGTGACATGAGTGGCAGGAGGCTCGCTGGAAGCTCTGAGGACATAAGCAACCTGACGAGTAAGCTCAACCCAAGCTTGCTCAAATCGACCAAAGACGAGTGTGGCCCAGACCAACTTATGCCAAAGGCACCGCGATGGACCCAGCATCCACTGCCTCACGCAGAGCCATGCGGGGCCCGGGGGATACCAGACTTCAAGGGTTCCATATTGGGATGAAGCCCTAGTTTTTTGGTTCCCCGGGTCCAGACCTATACGATTGCAGGTCTGCGGGCTGGCTCGATTGCTCGACGACTTGCCTTGGGTGTCAGAAGGTACGAGTACCGTATGCCTCCATAGTGTGTATAGGAGTGCTGCGACTCCTCAGTTAAGAAGTCAGCTTTCAAGAAGGACACTTGCACATCAGCACGCAAAAATCTATCTTCTCCCCTACTGCAGAAGTCATGCAGCAAGACAGTGGGGGGCCTTGCTCAACTTCTCAAGCAGGCTCCCGCCTACTTCCATAACGCTAGCGGCATTGGTGTTGGACAATGTTAAAGCTGCCGGCTTGCATCTGCAATGTCATTCATTCGGGAGCTGCCCCCGCGGAGAGTGCATTATGGTCATCATAGTCTGTCGCTAGTGCTAGCTGCTAGCCAACAGTCACGATGCACTTCGTTGAGTATGTGAAAGAGGTGCAAGGGCAGACAGCCTATCCAAACCGAGGACGCCTATCCAAGAAATAGAGGAAGTAAGAAACAACAGCCAGAAACAGAATGCCACAAACAGAAACAAGAAACGAAGCACCAGCCGCAAGACATAAAACATCAGCAACCGGAACCAAGACACCAGAAAAAGGAGGCAAGGCGCCAGGAACAAGAAACAGGACACCAGACACAGGAAACAAGACTGAAGCAAGACACAACGAGCCATGACACCAGAAACAGGAAACACAACACCCGAAACAGGATACCGGAAACAAGAAACTGGATACCAGAAACAAGAAGTAGAACGTATCCGACCTGCTCCGCTAAAAGCTTCACTGCGGAGCCAGCTTTCGCGTCCGCCGATCAATGGCATCTGAAACTCTCTCGGCATCTGAAACTAGAACCCTAAACTCTCGCTTACTTCCTGCAGACGTCCTTTTGCAAGCAAGACTGCGCACTCGATGCTCACACCGTTCCAGGAATTGAGGTTGCCAGGCCACAAGAGCTCCATCTTGCAAGCTTATCAAATCTAACCTCGAATATGTCGATAAGTGCGAAGTCGTTGTCGCCACCGTCCCTCCGCCCAGACCCTGCCCTTCCAAATCCATCACAGCTGCTGCAGCCTCACCAGTCCATGTCCACACACCCCATGAATCTGCCTGGACCTCGAGCGCACCGAGTGTAGGACGTTGCATAGCGATCACTCCTTCCGGGTATTGCCAGCTTTCGTGGAACGCTTGACCACGAAGCCCCACACGGCTCGAGCCCAACAAGCGCGAGATTGCACATGTACCAAGTTGAGCACATGCGCATGCGCGCGCTCGCCTTCGGAAAGTGGTGGGCTCGAGCAGTGTGGGGCTTCGTGGGCAATGGGGCCGAGGGCTGTGGACGGGGGCACGCGGCGGGCGGCATGGCACGATGCTGGCAAGTCAAGCGTTCCTCACAGAGCTGGCCATTCCCGGAAGGAGGGATCCTACACTCGGTACGCTCTAGTCCGCAGCAGGTGCTGGTGATGGAAAGCACCAGCACCCGGGCACAGCATCACTACACCTCCGGCAGCCACTCAAGATGCGCTGTAAGAGCTACCAAACAAGTCCGACAGCCGGCTTTCCCAGTTCTCAAACCCAATCATAAGAAATACAAGCGTTCGAACTCGTGGCCTCTCACACTGCAAATAGTCTCAATGGAAGGCAAGTAGAAGCCTCCTAGGCCCTCGTTTCGGGACTAGATCATTCCTGCTACCAGACTTTGGGCAGCAGCTGACGGCTGACGGCCTCGCTAGCGGTTGGAGAGATACGCATTTCCCCAACTTGGGGCCGCCGGCCGGCCGACACCTACAGTCGCTGCGCACTCCCATTTCACAGATTATCTCGCAAGTAGCCTGCATGGTAGCCTGCATCCCAGCCAAGAACCGTCACGAGCCCACAACACCCATGCCAAGCTGAAGTAAATGCCGGCATCTGAAATCATCCACCACTGGTAAGTCTAGATTCTACTAGATGTCAGCTACTCCAACACTCCCCACACAATCGGCAAAGCCTCCGTGCAAGGCTGCGTCTTCCGCCCGAGGATCGTAAACTTAAGACACTCTCGCCACGAGCAAGCGTAGGGTCGTCAGATCAAGTGAAGCACTTCTTCACATCGCCGTTTTGCGTGCACTGCTACTTGCTTTGTTCGCACCACCGACCAGTTGGCTGATGGTTGCAGACCGGTCTCACAAATGAACCGTCGCGAGGCACGAGTGAGCGACCTTGCTACCGCGCTGCCGTGCTCACATCGCAGCCCAACAAGAGACGTTTAAGGCGATGACCCAGGGATGTCCTTGAGATGCCCTGCCAGCTTGCCCGTACTGCGCGGTCCCAAGAAAAATCTCGTCAGATTCCTGGACTGAGCATTCTCACGTGCCAGAGCCTCTCCAGCGCCCGCATTCTGAAGGTGTGGCCAAGCTGGGGCACTGGCGTCGGAAGGTCCTTGACATCCCCCTCGATGTCACCGCTTAACTTGCAGGACGTCAGATTCCTGAGACTGCCACGCGGTCCCATGCAGCTCTCCATGAATGACTCAGCGAATCACGCAGACCGAGGCTTTGGCCGAGGGAGGTCCGCGATGTTCCCCTTGATTCCGTTGCCATGCATCAAGTTCAGGTATCTCAGTTTCCTGAGATGCGACCAGGCAACCCCAAGCAATACAACCACAAAATAGCCGAGGCTGCGACCGAGGGAGATCTTTAATCTCGCCCCTGATCTCGTTGACTCTGTTGACGATTGGCATGTTCAACTTTAAGTATCTAAGGTTCCTGGGGCAGGCGGCATGCACACCGACAGCCACCCCACCCCCTGGCTCCTCTGCAAAATGCGCTAAGGCACTGGCGGTGGGAGGTCCTTCAAGTCTCCAGATATCTCCCAGGCTTTCAGATCCAGGAAAGTCAAGTTCCTCACGAAGGAGAAAAATCGCAAAAGCGCCACCAACCGGTCAGCTGTGGAGCCGGCCGGGGCAGGTCACCAAAGCTTCCTGTAAGGTCGTAGTCCTTTCCGAGGTTGAGGTGCTGCAAAGACCTGCAAAAAGGTCAGGAGGACTGTTTGCATCCATTCTCGGTCACGCATCTGCGGAGAAGCCTTGGCAGCTCCTGGATTTCCCCGATGCATTCACCAGACTGGCTCAGATCCAGGTAGCGCAGGGGCCTCCGAAGCTTCAGCGTGATGGAAAACGAAGGCGGGTCAAAGAAGTGCGTCGCTGCGCAGCAGAGCTTTCTTAGTCTTAGCCTTGACCTTCCATCCAAACATCCCCAGACCTCAAGCCTTGGTAGGGCAGCAACGCTCCCACGGACGTTCATCGCGGATGACAGATCCAAGTGCTGTAGTGTCCTCAGTTGCGGCTGCGGAACACTGACCACATGGCGAAAACAGCAGCTGCATCAACAGCTGGAGATTCGAAGTACAGGGCTCGTTTAGCTGGGTGGCGACGGCAGATCTGACAGGTTCCCTGCAATCTGCAGGTTGTGTCTGAGGTCCAGGTACTCCAGGGAACGTGGCAAGCCTCGTAGCTGTCCCTTGAGCAGATCGTTTCGTGGAAGGCTGAGGTGTGTAAGATTCCGCGGAAGGTCCTTCAGATCTCCTACAGGCAGCTCTCGACTGAGCATGGTCAGATTGCTGAGGGACTTGGGGAGGCCGCTCACGTTCTCGATGGGCCTTCCATCTGCCCTCTCAAATCTGGCGAAGCCCAGCCCAGAGCCTTTCCGGAATGTTTCAATCATGACTTCGCCGCTGGGAAAGAAAATTTCACCAGGCCCATCCACAGGGCTGCCATCGCTGTTCTTGAAGCCTTGCAAGCAGCCTCCATAAATGTCCACCATGGCCGGGACGCAGAATTGCTCGTCCTCAGCCCAGCGTGATCTTGAGGGCACGGGACGTCGGCGAATTCACAGCCCCTGTCTCCCTGTCCCACCTTGCTCTCAAAGGCGTTGGCCGACTCAAACATCCGGGGCGGCTCGAGAGATTTGCGAGCCAAGTACCGCGCAATGGCGATCCTCAAGCTGCTTGGAAACTTTGGGTGAGGCTGTAACGGAAGTGAGGGTCAGAGGCAGGAACCGAGACAGAGCTCGTTGCCTGACGTGCGGGAGGGGTGCAACGTGAAGCCGCAGGCCGCCAGGTAGGCAGGCCAATGAGGCCAATGGAACCCTGGGCCGGGCCGAGAAAGGACATGTCAGATGTCAGCGGCTCTACGGGGCATCTCGGTTCCGGGATGCGCCTGCCCTTCTTTCGACTGTCGGAAACTTGCCCGACATGTCCACTTTCACCTGACACTCAAGATCAGCAGTGAAGGCAGGTACAGCATCTCCGGTTGGCCTTGTCCGCTTGCAGTAGCGGCACCTTTGATGTCCGTTGGCAGCACTACGCAACTGGCAACGAGTCCGCGACTGCTTCTCCACAGTCCTGCTCGGCCCACTTCTCGTGGCCTTCGTCCTCGGCTCGGTTGCATGTATCGCACTTCTTCGACCTGAATGGAAAGATGAACCATCGTCCTCACTCACCAAGCCAATCTCGTGGTCTTGCAAAGCCATGATCGTGATGCGGTGTGATGTCAAATCTCCAACGAGGCCTATAACGGGCCCCCATAATCCTATCTGACCACTGTACATTTACGCGCGTCTCTTCAGGTCTTTTTCATTAAGCCCTCTTTTGTCTAGCCGCGACGCATTAGTCTGCAGTGCCTTCCAAGACGGGTGACGAGGTATGCAAGTTGTGCTGCTCTGTTTTGGATCCATTCCTAGTCCTATTCACATCCTCTGACCCAGGGAGACGACATGGGCATGAAATAAAACCGATTGCGTGCTTCGGAGTCCTGAGCCCATCATTGCCGACGGCTGCGGAAGCCATGTTGGAAAATGCGGCTTGCGACTTGGTCTGGCATGATCTCGAGGGCTACATAGATCCTCAAGGGGCCATGCCATATGTCATGTGTCATGTATATGACTGCGTTTTGCATGGCACTGAGTTCTACACCGAGTCGCAGATGCGGGCACAAACTGCCCATGATGATGACTCCGAGCTTGGAGGAGCAAGCAGAGGTGGTCCATTTTAGCGGCGATGAACCCACGGTTCTATGTACATGTGCACCACAGACAGCTTTATGCGGTTACAGCACAAGCCGGACATCGCAATGTCCATGAATTCGGGTCTGCGGCTCGGATTTCTATCATGCACGAACATAAACCGTAAGGCCGACACATATTTCTGAAAGTCTTCCCAAATGCCGATACCATCAGCACTCTGTACATCCTACAACAGTTTCAAAGAAGCAGTCGTCTTTGACGTGAGCTCCTCGCAACAAGAACTTGCAATGCTGGCAGCACCCACGCCCTTCTCGCAAGCGCTGATAGCCGCGTTGTACGTGACATCCTGGGCTAATTACAAGTTGATGGCAGCGATAGCCAGAAACAAGTCGGACGGACAACGGTGGCAGCTTAATATTTGTCGCTAGCGGTAGGAAGGGGCACGATTGAAGCACATGCCCGACTTGCTCAGTCACCATCTTCCGCAAAATCGTCTACAAACACTGAGTCTGAAGACCTGACACAGCACTTCCCAGGACCAAACGGCCAAGCATCGGAGATTTCTACTGATGCGACGGCCAGATCTGGCAGCAGCTGAAGAGCCAGGGGCCATGCAAGCCCTCTCTCGCACGCTGTTACCTGAAACAAACATCAGAATACCTCTAAGAAGTGACTTAGTCTCATGTTGACGAAACCACCTGATGCCGGCTGAATCCTGGGATTTCGCACCGACATCCCAAATACATCCCCTCGCCGAACACTCGCAAAGTGGTCCCGGAGTTTGCCACGACGCCAGCGCATTGTACATGATGCAATGCCTGCATGCGGAGATCTTACAGACAATCGATCCGATCAACCAAGTGGTTTGTCACCTCGCAGCTGCGTTTCAATGTGCGAATCAACGGCTGCCGTGTCTCCGGTGAGGCATGCTCGTCCCATTGCGCAAAGTCTCCGCTGAAGCATTCTCTAATTGTGCAGCATGCTCCTCTCATTGCGTAATCCGGCCATGCAGCTTCTCTAGCAGGTGGCTCTGTCCATCCACAAGCAGCTGCGCGGCAGCGAGCCACTTGGCGTCCTGTCTTCTACCAGTCTACCACAAATCTTCTAACCCGAGGCATTATAACATGGGTTGGACATATCGAATGGGCGAGAACTCATTTGATGAACTTGGGTTGCAGGCGCTTTCATTTCGTAAGATGCCGGCTGTGGGATTCTGACCCCAACTCCATTCTGCCAACCTGCTAGCCGGCACACCCTCCTTGCTGCAGGCACCCAGTGCTGCACCACAAGCAATGCCGTCGGCACACGGGGAACGGAGCAGGTGCAGCACCTGAGCTGCTGAGAGTTGGATGTATAGCTGCAAGATCGAGCCGAGCATTGCACAAGACCTCTTCGTCCCAACGCATGGAATCGGCCCACGATCTCCTGAAAAGAACCAAACCGAACACCCTCCGGCCTTCCACCACGATGACTTCCTCGTGAAAGGCCAGTTCCACCAACAAGCAGCTACAAGTAGTTCAAGTACTGTAGGTGATCAAGTTTCCAGGCTTTTGGTTCAGGATCTAGGTTTGCATGTCTCGGACTCGCGGTTGCGTCAGTCAAAGCAAACGACTGGCCTCAGACAGGGAATCCCACAGTATGTCTTGCTACGGTATATTGACGTTGAAACACTGGTTGTTGTCCTCTGGCTATCTTGCTATGTCCATCTGAAGACATTGCGTGCCGCACACTACAGATGCTGGGCTCTCACCAGAAGCTCAACAAGCATTCATGATCATTCATGCACCAGTCCTGGCCACACGCAGCAATTGTGTTTTGCACCGTCTTCAGCTTCATCTCTTAAGTTCACAATAAAGCTTGAATAGCTGATGTTGCTCATTTATGATTACTGATGAGTGATGAGGCAGGAACGGTCCACAGGCCACACTATCCCGGACACAACGCTTGGGCAGTTCGGAAGGGCTACAGAGGGCAATTAGGCTCATGACTCGGATTCAAGTGCGGTCTCGTTATTGTCCCGCTTGCTTGGTGGAAGCCACCTGTGTGCTCATGGTTTGGCGCACGCAACAAGGATAGACAACAACGGACACCAAATGCTCTGGACCCCAAAGCCTCCAAGCCTTGCTCCTGCGCCACTGAATTCCTGGCAGCCCGGCGGCTCAGCAGATGCCGCCGCTGAGCATCGCAGGATGTGGGCATCCCGAGACCTGACGTCGCATGAGGAAAAGCTTCATTCTGCGAATATACACAGAAACACATGAAACAGTCACCACAGGGGAGATGCAACGGGTGTGGAGCGAATCTTTCTCGACAATGGCTTTTTGGTGAAGAAAGAAATCAACGTCGGGGAATCGTGAGGGACTGCTGCGGTTTTCTTCACCCCAGCATCGAGGAAGCAGATGAAGAACAAGGACAAGCACAAACACCTGCTTAAACGATCGGCAGACCCAAGCAAGATCATCTACCCGAACACCCAAGCCAAAAAGCCCCAAAATGGCCTGATGTCACGTGCTCAAGCCGGGAAGCTGCAGTGCGCAAAGAGCTCCTGCGACTTGGACAAGCTGTGCGGCCGTTTGCCTCAGAATGACCGGAATTAAGTTTTGCTTTCTGCGAGGCCGGGGCCTGCAGTTTGCAGTTCTATGTGCACGGCTTTCATGGCTTTCGCATGTCGGGGGCTGCCAAAACGGGGAATCGAGATCTCGGTTCATGCGCCGTGAAGTCGGGCTTTGGATGCGATCCAGGAATGTTAGAAGACCGGCTTGAATCGCGCTTGTGGGGCATGGGTCTTTGTTTGCTATCAAAATGCCGGAGTCTTGGACTCAACAGCCGAAGGCACCACTGCGATGCCCGGCTGCAAACATCCGTGACGGCCGTGAAGGTGACCACATCCTCGAAAGGCCAGCCAGTTTGGGACGGGACTCCCCCATTGGTCAGATTAGGACATGTGGCACAGGGCAGTTGGCGCAGCAGCTCCACGGCAGAGGATTCGACGAACTCAGAACTGTTATGCTGAAGACGGAAGACGCCCATGCATTGAAATGGCTGCGAATCGATTGCCGAGCGGATGCGACCACCATCTTTGAATGGTCAAGGTCTCTCGGATGTATCTGGTGGCCTTTTCACTGCATACTCCGTGCCTGACACACGGCAACCTTATTCAATCCAGCGCTAATTCCGCTTATTCCTCAATTTTTAATCAAAGGTCGATCTTCGTTGACTGTAGTGCAACAACCATCTTGCACACCAGACCTCCCTCTGCCCTATGGGTGGGAGAAACAGACAAAGAAACATCTCACAGAAGTTGTGGACTCTATGATCTCGAGGTGCTTGCGATGAAATTTAATTAGTTCTGCCACATCATGGAGGATGACCCGATAAAGCACAACACGTCAGCAAGCGACAGCAAGTAGTATATGTCAGGCAGTCAAGCAGACTCAAAATCAAGCAATGTGCTGAGAGCTGGAGAAACAAGCAGTGAGCCACAACTACACTGTGTATGCGTGTATGTATATTATATATATACACATACATATATATGGGTATTTCTATACATAGATTATCACACACACACACACAAGACATCATTCAAGCAAGCAGGTTATGCAATGACACACACACACACACGGACACATATGCAAACAATACAAACAAGAGCTAATCATTTGCACATGTGAGATTCACTTGCAAACCGACAAACGGGAACAAGGTGCCCAATAGCTCCGGAACAAGATGCTACAGTCCAGAATCCGAGTCGCCGGATCCCGGCCGTGCACCAACAGCTTGCGCAAAGCAGCGAGGGCAGGAAGCCATTCCTGGGATGCGGAATGCGGGCAGGCTGCGAAAGTTTCTCGGACAGAAGCGGGAGGATTCGGTTTCGGAACTGTCAAAGCTGCTGCCGGAGCTCGGCATGAGCTGAACAGGCAGCAGCAGCTGCGTTGACACCGGGTAGTGCGACCTCCACGGCCCAATGCGTCCCATGCGTGCCAAAGCCACAAAAAAAGCAAAGAAGAAAGCAGAAAGCATGCTGCTGCGCAGCACCCTCCGGCCTCCAGAGCGCGCTCTGCGAAAGCGCCGAGGAGAGATGAGACCCGACTCCAGAGCGCGCCCTCCTGGAGAAAGGGCTTCTGGGGCTCGCGGCGGGATTCCGCGAGTTTCGAGACCAGCCAAGCCTACCACAGACACGATGCGTTGCAGGCTCTACATTATAAGTCCTGTGATGCAACAGCCGATGCCGCCAGAGCAGTGTCGGGCTCGGTCGCAGAAGCAGCCAAAGACCGCAAGACCTTCAACTCTCAGCGATGGATGCACGGCGTGGCTTTTGCGCTGCTGCAGCAAGCTGCCCGTGCACGCGGGAAGCGAAGAGGTCGGCGTTCGGCAAGTGTCTTCCACTTCAAGACTCGGGCATCAAGCATAACGGCATAACATTGGCCGTCGTTGCGGCGTCGGCCCAGAACTGCCTTCCTTGATAAGTACTTGGAACTAAATGCCACTAAGGCCAGGGAATAACGAGAATCAATTGAACATTCTGGTGAGATACTTCCCCCATGCGGAACCATCTACGAATCTACGTACTACTGCAGAACCGACTCAATTCACGGGAGCTGCCACGATCCCACCACGGCACATCACTGACTCAGGCCAGGACCTCGCAGGAGTCCTCCCAGCTGCCCTTGTGACGGAGTGCACCCACGACAGCCTGGAAGCACGGAAGGCCGCATCATGTCTTTGACCAAGGCAAGTAGCAAAAGACGCTGAAGACAAAAGGCCCGAGGTGCAGTGCAGTTCAGCCAACTGCCGTCGCTTAAATTGAATGCCATATTTAAAGTACAAGTACCGGGATCAGCGCAGAAATCCTACTAGCTTGGCTGGTCTCTGTGCAAAGCGCAGCTTTGTAAGCCCCTTAGATGGGCATACAAATACTTGTTCGAAACAGGCAGGCTGAGTTCGCAAACACAAGGCCATATGCCCTTCTCGGAACCGGGCATCACTGGCTGGTGTCGAGAACGTTGAGGACACGGCCCTGCAAACACGAAAGAATCCCAGTGCACTTGCAGGTGTTCTTCGAAGGGTTGCTTGCATCCGGCATCGAGAAGTCTCATGTTCCGGGACACTGGATGCCCGGCCGTGAACAGAGAAGAGCAGCTAGGCAGTTCAGTAGTCGGTATCTACAGCTGACAATGTTCTCACAGATAAACAAAACACAACCTCGACGCTCTCTCAAGCTTGGCTTTGGAGAGCAGTGTCCCTTGAATGTTCTTCCTGAATCCTGTAAGAGCTCCCTGATACCAAACGTTGCCGCTGCCTCTCGCGCATCTCGCGCAGCAGGTTCGTGGATTGCACCCAGCGCCCTTCTCCGCGCAATGCCTCAAGTCAAGAGAACTCTGGCTGCAGCTGCTGGCTAGCTTTCTGGTCGGACCCAGCAATGTCCGAAGCATTCACCTGTGAAAACTTCAGAGTTCAGCTGCAAAGAGGGAATCTGATAGGTACCGGTCGTGCGAGATCACGAAAGTGATGCTGCTACCACTATAGATTTCCTCATCGCACATGATACTCCGAACGCAAGAGCGAATTCTGCGGGACGAGGTAAAACGTGCAGCGCAAAGTTGTATGAAGGCGCACCCATTCGCATGGATTTGGGATTGTAGTATAAGTTTTGAGTAAAACAAGGTTCGTATGTAAGCATGTTTCGCAATATTCACTCCAAGCTACATTGTCTTCGCTTTCCCGTGCGTGTCTGTCTGTTTGTCTGTCTGTCTCTTGCTTGCTTCAAACCACGGGCCCTGCTCCTCACACCTAAATACTAAATACTTGTGCCCCTCGCCTCTGCTCCACTAACTCTGACCAATCCCAAGCCACAGCTGCCTGGTGTCTGGTCTGGGGGCTCTCGGTGCTCTCCGCGGTCGTCGTGGTCAACATCACATTACGTGATATATTGTGTGATCTTGATAAATAGTTAGATATACATATATATATATATATATATATACATATGTATATAGGAGGACGGAGAGAGAGAGAGAGAGAGAGAGAGAGAGAGAGAGAGAGAGAGAGAGAGAGAGAGAGAGAGAGAGAGAGCGAGGGAGGGAGGGAGGGAGGGAGGGAGGGAGGCAGGGAGGGAGGGAGGGAGGGAGAGAGCGAGAGAGAGAGAGCGAGAGCGGGAGTGCAACAGCGAGGAAGTCGAGGGAGGGAGGGAGCGAGCGAGACCAAAAACCTGCGCACACAGCATTATCACACGCGGAAAGCTCCATCCAACTTCCCCGCGAACTGCTTGTTCCTATCGGTACGTAGGTGTATAATAACTGTGTGTATGCACGCGCCTTTGCAGCATGTCTACACACACGCACACACTGACACAGACACACGCCAGCCGAGCTATCTGTCGGCACGAACCTGCTTCCGTGAACACAGTCACCGTGAGGCCTAAAGTGCTTGACGAGAACTCTCGCATTTACAAGACCTAAATGCCCGTTGAGGGGGTGGTTCACAAGATAGCTTCTCTGCCCACCAAGGCGTTGTCCAAGTCTCTGCCAAGACTGCAGTGTAGGACGGCAGACTCCTAGGGTCCATCACAAACAATTCCAAGCAGACGACGCAATCCGCAAGCCAAGGCCAGAACCTGCTGCAACCAAGGCTCGGCCGTAGCTGCTGATTGAAGACTTCCAGAAGCGCTCCGGCTCGGCGCCATTGATCCCCGCAGGCCAGGAGCGGCGAAGCTGCAGTGACAGAGGCAGGCATGTGAGGCAACGTGGGCAGTCGCAACGTGTCCTAAACACGTAATGCTCCTGTGAAGGTCGCCCTCCCAGCTAATGAGAGGTCCAAGCAGCTCTGAGCGAGACCGGGTCCTGGCTTACAGGGTTGCCGCTCATAAAACACAAGGAGAGTCCCCAATGCCAACACAAGTCACACTCCAGCGTGCACAACCGCAGCACCACTCGAAAACCTGCTGCTCAAGTCCGGGACTCTGCGTCTCTGCATTTTATAAATCCTGGCTGAATTCCCTCCTTACCCGCCGACTGGCTGAATTGTTGGCTTCGAATTCTAACTCCAACTGTCTGACATCGTGTGCAATCGGCACCGGAAACACCACCAAAGCTTCAGACATGTTTTCCTTGAGTATTCAGATCCCAGAGGTGTTGGACGTCACCAGACTGAACCTCGCAATGTGTGCTTTTCAAGAAGCCCTCGAAAGGATACGAGCTCTAAGCTCCCCATCTTCTCAAGCAGAACTCCTCCAAGACCAGATCTGAAAGCGTCTTGGAAGCTGCCCAACGCTTCGGACCAGCCTCGGGAAAGAACGTAAGGGCCATGCTTTGGAGCATACAAAGGCAGTACACGTGCCGGAGGACTGGGCACTGTAGTCACGATACTTCGCCTGTTGTACTCCGTCAGAAGATACGGGCCTCCTGTTCCTGCGCTAATTTGGCTTGCAGCGTCCCGTCCGCAAACTTCACACGATAGGAGCCAGTTATAGACAGCTAAACTGTTCAACTGCGGCCGCAAAGCTAGGCCCAGGCAGTTTCCCCGATGAGCAGCCTCCATAGTTGAACAGACAAGGAAAGACATGACGATAAAACAGCCTGCCAGATTTTAGCTCTGTCAAGAAGTTTCTGCAACTCCCCATGTAAAGGATCAATTCATCTCAGTGGCGCCGCCCTCGTTCCATTGCGGTGATGACCGTGTTGTAGGAGATCCTCAGCAGGGAAAGCTGCATTGTCCGATGCTTTCCACTCGTCTACACTCGCATCCTCAGCACTCGCCAGCAAGGCAGTGATAAGGTCAATAGACGTGGCCTAGCTGCTACGGTAGCTTCAGGACGCCTCAACGGCCATGTTTTAATGAACGGTCAAAACTTCAGCGGCGGCACACATCCACTTTGAGGCAACGTCGGCTGCAGGCTTCCTGCAACGGCTGCTATAAGAACTTTTTTGCGTGCAGAACGTCAATTTTCTTGCAGAATTTTGATTCACCTGTCCGGAGCCGCCTGCCCTGCATCCACGATTGCACGATTAAGAACTTCAATCAACATCTCAACCAAGCACTGCCAGCAGCATAATTCATGAGTGAACGCGATGAATAATTGTCTGGCCATGTTTTTCCTGCTAGCTGCATGTGGCTAGGGCTGCGTAGCTCAATTTTGGGCAAGGGTCACTAAGCAATCAAATGCCGAATGCTGCGGAAGAGTGGTATACAACAACACAACCCAGCACTCCAGGTCGTGATTGGCAGCTTGCCACTGGCTGCTGCAAGCTGCAGAACCTTCATCTTTATTTCTACAGGGTTTGGGCTGCTGTCGGGGCGAAGGAATCACAATGCCGACTACACTACTACACGCAACCGCTTTTCACAAATGAACTCCAGAGGAGTTACAAGCCCACAGCTTGAAAGCTTTGCTTGACGCTCCAACTGTGCATGGCTGAGGGGCTCAGCTGCGTGTTGCGTACCACCACATCCCTCAGTCAAAATATACGGCGTGGACATTGGTCATGACAGCTCCTTTGCTTGGTGGAAGTTATCTTCTGCTTGTCACGTGTCTGATTCACCAGCGGATCGTGGACGAAGCCGTAAGAACAGAAGCTCTTCCAACTTCCAACACAAGAATCAGAGCGAACAGAAAGCTGGTTCTAACCGAGCCGCAACTCGATGCCGGCAGCCCTTGCTCCGACGACCACCTGCCGGGTCGGAACGAAGGCTCAGTGAGAAGTTCCTGCAAGAAGCCACGGAAACCATCCATGCATCCATGTACACAGCGCACATCAGCTCCAAAGGCCACAACGAAGAGAATTCAAGCCTTGACGCATGCTCCAGCTCTGGAGGCCTCCAAGCCATCAGACCAGGAGCCGCCGCGGACGCAGGAGCTGCTCAGCACCTGCATGGAGCTGACCGCACGTCGCTCTCACAGCACACGACAAGCACCTGTTGTGCCGAGTTACGATCCCTGAATGTTCGTTCTCCGTGGCAAGTGAGACGGACACTTGCAGGATTATCCAGAACAGTTACTCGTTCTTGCCGTAAACAGATGTACTAACGCAGCAGCAAGCTGAAAGATGGGGCGCGTAATGGCTTTCTTGAGGCCAAAGGACAGCAACCGTCACGGGAGAAGCGTCGAGGCGGCAGGCTGCCGAGATGGCCAGCAGCCAGCGTCCATCTGCAGGCCCCCCAAGTATCCCACAGGGGCTTGGCTTCGCTATTTCTGCCAAGCTGGCTGGAAGTTGCCTTTAAGGGCCTGGTGCACACAGGCCTTCTCTCCCCCGACCTGGCTATATAATGAAGTGGTCAGAGCCTGTGAACCCGTGCAGCGAAGCAGCCCTCGGAGAGCCGCTGGCGAAGTGTGAGAGCCAGCTCGTCTCTGAGTGACCTGCGCTAAGACTCGCCTATAGCGACCGAGGCCCCTAGGCCCTCTGCCTTGATTCCTTGCGATCCGCTACTAACATCATCGTATTCACCCCACGATCGCCCCCAACAGCCAAGCCGCCCGCTGCCGGCGAGGTGGAGCGCCTCGGGCCACCTGAAACTGTCATCGAAGCAGGGTGAGAGGCCAAAGCCTGTCCCTATTTCGACGTTCTCTTCTCCTCGACAGCCTATAGTTGGCAGCAGTGGGCAGTCTCAGGTCCCTGCCCTGCAGCAGTTGCCACGCAAGTCCCTGAGCTTGGCTCCAGGCTGAAGCTTCACTAGCAAGCTGAAGCCTTGCCCTGTTGAATTGCCTTCGTTCCGGTTCTGGACGCTTGTGAGGGCAGTTCTGTTGTTCCACACACGCAAAGCTTCCAGCGCGCCCGTGTTTGCAATTCTGTCAAACCATCAAGGCTCTGAAGGGCACGGCGTTGGCTTGGAGTCCCTTCAGCTGTAGCTGCCTCCGTGGAACACGCAACATGGCTGCAGTAGAACTGAGGGCTTGCGGGGCTCGGAGCATCTGCCGCACCTGAGCCAAGATAGCACTGAAGTCCAGCTGGCTCCTGGCGCTGCGGAGAGCGCCTTGGAAGAGCGGCTAAGGTTTCGTGCACACGGCCCGCACGGCCATAGGAGAACTGGAGACACTCAGCGACTGCCCACCGAATCCCAACAACCATACTGCATCCCAGCAGCGGCCAAGGCGACACTGTCTGCACGCACACCTGCATGTCAGGCAGGTAAGCTTCGGCCCCCTTCGAGAAAAAGCCACCGGTTCTCATGTAAATCCAGGACCTCTGAAAGCCGTCGCACGCTGCAGAGACCCTTCTCCGTCCCCGAATGCTTTGTTACCTCCAGCGTGTGCCTCGCTGTAGTCCCTCTTCCAGAAAGTCGACACTGCATTGCCAGGTACGTCCCACCTGAAATCCGTGATTCAATGCCGACCCTCGCAACTTGCACAGGGGCAGGTGATCATGGGGTAATACCAGTCTTCTTCTGATAATGGTCATGGTGTATCCCACAAAACTTCACAGATTTGTGCAGAAGCTTGGGCTCAAGTGGTTGACACAAATCTACAGCTCCACCGTTGTCTCGCAGTTGTGATATTGGCCTGGCGCTGAGAAACAGCATCTCCTCGCCCAAGCCTAAAGCATAGTCTAAGCTCGTGGCCCCGGTGGAAAGTTGCACCCTCGAACCTTCTGAACCTGAATCTTACTGACGCCGCCATGTGAAGCCTTCGTCACGAGGCATGAATATACAGCGGTTCACAGCTATAGGTAGTCACGATACATCCCAGGCCCCAAGCTGCGTAGAGTGCCGCATTGAAGGATATCTCACCAAGCAGGATTGCGGCTCTCCCCATGTCCTCACATACTTTCACGACAAGCATGGCAACCCTGCGCCGGATTTGCGGACCAAACTCACCAGAGGGCTAAGCGGCTAAGCCCGAACACATGCGCTCGGGACTTGCGGCAGCGTCACCCGAAGCAAGCAAGCAGCCCGATGCCAGCGCAGGGGGCTCCTTTCCAAGACATGAAGCATGCGCAGCTTCAGTTTGTAGACGGCCGCTGCACATGCAAAACCGATTTCACATCATCGTCAATTCTGTCAATAATACATGGAACTGCAATGAGCCTGGAACTGAGTTTGCTCACAGTTGCTAAGGGTTGACTGCCGCACGGAGAAGCTGCCCACTTGCCACTTCCCACTGCAAACCATCGGCGACTGCCTGTCCTGCAGCCTCCACATGCTGCGGTGCAGCTCACAGCGTCTGGAAGCATCGTCTGGAGGGTCAGGTCCTGTCGAGCCAGCTTCTTCCATCTCACAAACCAACCCCTTCCCTCCACTCTGCAAATCATCAATCAGTCTCGACCATCCATCACTGCGGACATGCCTGCACAAACACACAGCATTGTGGCCTGCAGAGCATGGAAGACTTCACGCCACCGATGGCAAAGAGCATAGATCTTCATGGCGGAGTTGAACCTATAGCCACCGTGGTTGGAACAAGCGCAACAGTTGCGACAGGAAGCTCCGGCTGCAGGGCCTATACATACTTTCCACCAGTAGCTGCAGCAAACGGACCTGTACTGCATGGCTTGAGTTGCGCAGGCCATCTGATGATGCTTGTAGAGACAACCAAAGCACACTCGGCGAGTCAGACTCAGCACAGCAGGACGGGCAGGAATGTCAATATAAGAAAGGCACACAAACAGACCACACCCAAAGTATTGCTGTGCATGCGCCACACAACACACTGCCTCAAAAACGAAGCACCGATGGTAAACTTATGGGCGTCGCATACAGTAACCAACCCTGGTCTCGCATCTACGCCGCTGCTTTGCGTGTTGCAGTGCCCTGCGTTCCCCATAAGCCATAAGTCTACTGAGAACCTGCTTGGAGCAGGTTGCGAGGCCAGTGTCGCCTCCAGCTGCCACTGCCAGAAGCAAGCGAAAAGGTCCATCGCCAGCCTTGGCTCTTCGTTTTCGTTGGCAATCTCCAGCTTCTTGTTCATCACTGACCCTGAAACACTCCCGCTAGGCAGGGCAACTGGGGCAAGACCAGTGGATTCAAAAATCTCAGCATCGTCTGGGAATTGAAGCTGAAGGGGAGGCCGTCCGGCGATTACGAGAGATCACCTTAAAACTGGCATGTCCTGCAGTCCTTTCTGGGGACCCTTGCGTGGCTCCCTCACTGCAATTTTGCAGAATGAGAACGGCTCACCGGCAGCATGCTACAAAGCCGGCGGGCACCCAAGCTACACAGCCGGGCAACAGCCAGCCTCCTTGTCCCTGGCCACCTGCACCGATCCTGAGATGCTCTGGCAATCAAGCCTGCAAGAAAATTCCAGGATGTCTGTCTCATGACTTGTTGGTGCAGAGCAGTGCATGGGCCAGTGTGACTATAGTTATACGATCATCAGAGCCACAGGACTAGGGTTCAGTAACATAATATTTTTGCATTTATGGTGCGTTTGGTGTTTGCTTTTTTTGGCATGTTTTTTTTTTTGCGTTTTGCTTTTGTATCTTTTTAAGCTTCTTGGTACTGTTGCGTTTGTTTTTGCGTTTTGTTTTTGTTTTCTTTCATGAGCTTGTGTGTATTTGTGCTTCGAGTTCGGTGACGATGCTTTTCCCCAGTGGCCCTACAGGTTTGTTTAGTGCTGGTTCTGTTTCACGAGATGGCTTGGTGTGCGCAGTCCAGTCGCCATGATGTGGCAGGGGCAGCCAGGCCTAAATTGATTCCTAAAATCATTCGTTGATGTTTTGAACCTTGGAGCTGGGCCGTGCCGGAACACCAAACCTTCGTCATGTTTTTGTGATCAAGCCCCTAACGAACAAAGTTTTGGCACCGTTGTCAGCTGTTTGTGTTCAGACAATTTCGAAACATTGCAAAGTCAGCTGCTTCTGGTAATGCTGCTGCTATTTGTTGTCTTCTTTGTTCCATATATATTAACATAGATATAATGATATGAGTACGTGCGCCGCACATGTGCAAGGCCTGAGTCTGACTTGGGTTGGGGGAATTCAGGACCGGGCGTCGCTCAAAAGCAACACTAGCAGCAACCAGCACGCTTTTGGTCCCGGTACACAGAAGAAACCAACCTCAAACACAAGGAGCATGCAATCCCCAAACCTCGCCAAGCTAGTCCGAGTGTGAGCCCCCAACCCCTAATCCCCAAACCCAAACTTCCCCAGGAATCAGGAACACACAATGCGCGGCCCCTCCAACAAGCCCAAAACGCAGGAAAAAACGCAATCCTGGCTTCACCGGCCTCCCCAAACCGCAAAAAAAACGTAACCCCCAACGCAAGAGGCAGCCCGAAACGCAAAAACAACGCAAAAAAATGCAACCCACCGGAGCCCACCAAAACGCACAAAAATGCAAACACCTTGTGTTTTGTTGCATTTTGTTTGCGTTTGGGAGGCTCCGCCGGATTGCGTTTTTTTTGCGTTTGGGGGGTTGGGGGGTGGAGGGGGTTGCGTTCGAGGGTTTGGGGGATTGCGTTTTCTTTGCGTTTCGGGCTGGTTGCCCCGGCCCTGCCCTAGCTGGGTTGGGGGTGGAGGTGAGTGGGGGGTGGGGCGGGGGGCGGGGTGGGTGGGGGTGGGTTGGGTTTCGGGTTTCGTGCAAGTTGCCAAAACCCTCTCATTGTTACTTCTTTCACTGCAATTCCTCCTACTAGTACTACTACTGCTACCACTGCTACTACTACTGGCACTACTGCTACTGCTACTTAATTATTTCTCCTATTCCTACTCCTACTCCTACTGCTACTCGTACTACTACTGCTGTTAGAACCACTACCGGAACCACTGCCACTACCGCCACAACTACCGCTTCCAATAGCAGGACTAAGAGTACAACAACAACTACTGCTGCTACTACTACTACTACGACGACTTCTACTGCTACTACAACTATACTACCACTACTAATACTACTAGTACTACTGCTCTACTGCTGATGCTGTTAGGGCTGCTCGTTCCAATGACTAGGCACGGGTTGGTTTGGGTAAGGCTTTTTCGGTGTCACCTTTGCTATGTAAACTTGGACAACACAAGGTGCTGTTGCAGGACCAGCTACATGCAGGTTCTTTCCTTGCCAGTTTTTGGTAACAGAATTGGGCAGGACACCATTTGCCAATGGTTTCAAGCACTTTTGAATCCCTTTCATATATCGATCGGGACTCGGGACCAGACAAACACACAAAAAAAAAACACAAAAAAATGAAAAACAAAAAAAAAAAAACGCAACCCCAAGAACCGAATGCAAAAAAATCCAAAAAAACGCAAACACCAAACGCAAAAAAATGCAAAAATATTATTTCCATGGATGCCAAGCTGTGGCTTGTAAATGATCTTAGAATCTTATAAGACTATAGGAGCTACCTCATGTCGGAGGCTCATCTGAGCACCTCCCAATCTACCTGTTTGCTCTGTTGCTGATAAGATAAGAATTACTGTAAGAGATGTAATGCCAAGGCTTTTCCACTCACTGCCAAGCGCGCCACTCACACTCGTCTGCAGCTGCGCAGCGCTATGTTGCAGAGGACGGGGTCCAGGCGGATCCCATGAGCGAAGCAGTCCTCACTCGTGGTCGGATAACGGTCATGCCAGGAGTTTGCAGTCTGTGAAGCCTGCCGGAGTTCGAACCATGAAAGGAACGAGGTGAATTCATAAGTATCCAGTTCTGAATGAGTCGCTGTCTACCAAGCTAGAGAAAGGGGGCCAAGTTAGCCGTCCATCTCGACCAAGTCGCGGAAAACAGAAGCATGGCATTCTGCCATTGGCTGGCCTGCAAGATGCAAACCATGTCACGAAGGAGTGCGGCTTATCACGAGTTCCTGTTCGTTGCACGAACATCATGCCAATATCAAATGCAGATGCGAATCTGTGGAAAAGTACCTGTGTTTGGGCAGACGTGGGCAGACGCGAGCATTTAAACAACAAAAAGCCTCTCGCCTGACGATGTGCTGACGCCGAAATGCTACCTTGTTTTGTACCGTCCTCGGTAATTAGACCCAAGCGGGCAGGATTCGAAGGCAGCTGATGCCTGTGAGGATGGGCCGACCAAGGTTATGCGCGTCCGTAGCTAGCTCCTCCGCCGGCCCAAAGCAACCCTCACTCGGGTCCTTGGTTGCGGCACTGGCCGCGCGAGCAGCGGCCAACGCAGCGGGGCCTTTACTAGTCGGATTGCGTAAGGGGCCTTTCGGCCTCCGTGCTGTCGCTCTTCAAATTTGGTGGTCCGGCCTGGAGATTTTTAAGCTTCTTGTCGTTCGTGCCGTATACATTGACCCGAGGACAACTTAATTAAGGTGGCGACCCAAAGAAGTGCTCGAACTCCATGCACTCCAAAGCACAATTGTATCGCTCAAAGCTTCGTGCTCCAATTCCACACCAACTTCCTTAAATCCCAAAGTGTGCGTCATCCACAGGATGTGGAAAATGGTTGGTCCAGCCAGTCAAACCCGAACCTGGCGGACGCATGTCCACCAGTGCGGCCTCAGCTCAGAACACTAGGAAGGCTGCTTGCGGCTGCTTGATCTCGGATCGTAGACGACTCTAGGACTCTGATCAATTATGTAATTCGGAGTTGTGACAGGGAAGCACCGGACATCAATTGGGTGCTCGTGCAGCTCACAGACATGGGCGTACAACCAAGAAGAGCCGAAGCTGGGGCCACTGCGGATCTAGGGCTTCCGAATTCCGGACATGGCGGCTGCCGGCAACGGTCTGAGGCATCACAGCTGATTCAAACACGTTCTCTCTCTGTCTGTCTCTCTCTCTCTCTCTCGCTCACTCTCGTGCCGCTCACTCTCGTGCAGGTGCAGAAGTGCATAACAGGAAGGGTTCTGTATGTTTACCTGTGGACACGGACAGACATCTTTCCTTCAGTGCCTCTAGCCCCTATCAGCCCCATCACACATTTGACATGATTGTACTGGCCGGAAGTCGCCTGTGTTGCCTCCGCAAGATCCCCAAACAGAGTAGCTGCATCTTCGTGTCTTGTGCCATGCCTTGCCAATGCAACCAAGCGTCTGCAAGTCGGCCCATGGCTCCCGGCAAGAGACCACGATCTCGTCCTTGTCAGGATGCTCGGAACCAGCTCGAGGCTCGAGAATCCAAGGGCAGGACCCAATTTCGAATCCCTGACCCAGCGAGCGGTCGGTCACATGGGAACCTTAGCGCAACCTCGGTTTCCTTGACGAAATGCAAACAGGCCTGCAAGGGTAATATTTTCCCGATGTATATACTCTTCAGCATCCCTGTGATGGCCATGCCTTCAACCTGTACACACGACATCGACAGAAGCGGTTCCGATTCCGCAGAGTTGTGGCACGAAGTGCCAACAGAATTCTCCCATTCAACATAGGAAACGATTCGATGCCGGCAGCTAGATCCTGCTTGCTGCAACGCGATTGGAGCAGAAAGACGAAGTAGAATCCACTCAGCGGCCCTGACGCACTCAAGGATGCATTCATGTCTTGTTGCTGTCCGCTGATCTACTGCCGTCCACACGCACGAGGCTCCAAATCCTCCAGACCAAGCATGTAATGAACCCCTTAACCGCAAAGCCTAGAACCCAATTTGGCTCAAACTCTTGGCAGCAGGTCCGACACCGGCTGGTCAGCGGCCCATGCCAGAGGAAAAGAACTGGCCCCGCAAAGGGCTAATTAGGGCCCATGGATGTGCAGGCTTCTACAGGTCACACATATCCTTCTAGGCCCGCGCACCTCGGGTCTGCAAAGGGAGCCCAAGGTTTCAATCATCGAGATTTCTTGGTGCTCAGAAGCCCCGGGGCTCGGCTTGGCTTGAAAATCGTACACTTGGGCTTCATGAAGGGTGTAGTAGAAAGCTGTTGAAGGCAGCCGGCTAGGGCCAAAATCCAGTACGTAAGAACATTTCAGAGCCATGTGAATCAAAGGCAGCTTGAAAGCAGCTCTCTGCGGTCCTTCTTCTCTGCAGATGCGAGCTGCGAGTAGGCAGTGCGACAAACTTCAACTCGGTCGCTTCGTGAACCTAACATCATGCATACTGACTTCTGGCTCCTTGACCCGACTATATGCGCATATGTCATTCCCTCACAGCCTGTACTCGAAAATATCAGATTCGAGACACCTACGCTATGTAGGTTCACTGAACGGTGTGTCGGTGCACAAAGCTTGAACCTGGGTTGAGGTGCCACTCCAGGGGCAAACTGTCCGACCACCCGTCTCGCAGTGGTGCACTGCCCGGATCGCCGAGACCACATGGAGCTTTTGCGAGCTTCAGCGGAGAGTACCATCCTTTTGAAGGTGATTCGTGCAGAGCTCGGAGAAGCTCCAGCTTGAATGAACCCACGCACGTTACAGTTTGTGGGCTAGGCTTACATATTCGTGCGTTGCGCTGATCAACCGATGAGCGGCCATTTGATGCTGAGGGGTTCATTGAAGGGTGGCTCTGTATGTACAAGCGAAGAATCATCCCTGGCTCTCTGGTCTTCGGGCTTGCGCAGGCAAGCGAGAGCTGGACGTTCTTGTGAGGTTCGGTTGGGGAGGGGAAGGGGGGGGTTCGGGGCGCATGGTATGCGGAGAGATCTTCTGGCCCCATGCAGGTCCGAGAGCCCATTGCAGGCGTCATGCCTTCACCCAATCATCTTCTGCATCTTCGGGTGAATCGGTCGGACCTTGGGAACGACATGGAATCGCTGGTCCGGGTCATACTTTCGAGCGGCTTTGCCCGAGCGTGCTTATGGCTTGAGCACAATGCAGAAATGGAGCAACAAGTAACCGCCCAAACTGGCATCCAACCCGTTTCGAACCGATCCCAAGATCTTGTGCTCTGCACCTGAGCGGCCAAAGGCAGGTGGCCAGCCTCCGGAAAGAGACAGTCGCGGTCTCGCCACGGCCTCATCCAAAACCGTTCGGATACTACCTTACCTGTGAGGGTTGCGGCAATGCTGCGGAAGACGACAAGAAACAATCTGTTTCTCTTCCTTCAGCTGATGACCAAAAACCGGAAGGCCGCATGTGTGCGGACAAAACATACACATAGATAGATGCGCAAATACTGATCTCTTGTCTAGAACCGACTGACAGACACACCCTCGAGCCTCTTGCACGTGGGACGAGTCTTCGCCAACCGCCGCACCCAAGGCTCCACCGAACAGCTGCCTGCCAAACTCGAAACAATGTATGCGCAGTACAGGGTCCGGAGCTGGTTTCCGTTCCTGGGCATGAATGGTGCTCTCAGCATGCTCCTTCAAGCACAGGCGAACTGCAGTACCCTGGCGATCTGCCGACTGCCGACCACCCAGCGCAGCTCGAACTCAAGATAGATAGCCTGTCTAAGAACACTCCTGCCGCCTCCACCTCAAACGATTGCGACTTTGCTGTTAAAAACTCTCACCTGAGATCATCACCAGAAGCAGTTTGGCCATGGTAGAGCACCTTGGAGTTGAGCCAACTGAGCAAACGACATGCTAAACCACACATATCGTGCAAGACATACTGCACATCGTCTCATGTGATGTCTGGAAGGTTGGTGACTCTGCATGTCGCTTGTAGTGCACCTTTTTTTCTGCTGGCATGAGGCCGAGAGGAACGCCAGGATGGCAGGGGTGCAAGTGCAAATGAGGATCTTGGACATTATGCTTGGGCGACTTGATTCGGGTCGGGGCTTCCAATGCCAAAGAGCCGTCTCGCTGGGATGCTCGGACCGGCTTATTTCGATCTCGCGGCGCCCTGGAGATTGGATTGGCATCGGAACATTGGAGGGCTTCACCCGTTTGTGGGAATGACTCGAACCGGGATCGGAAAACGTTTGAGGCCCCTGGCGTTTTCGGCACAGCGCCAGAAGCCTGATATCCATGCTCTAGATGCTATACCCACCCCTACTGGTACATGAAGTCAATGCGGCAAGCTCACCCAAGCGACCCAGGACGGTACTCAAGGTGCAAGAAGTGCAAACTTCAACTGCTGAGAGATATCGGAGCCAGGCTCAGCTTTCCGCAAACACCTGTCCTCACAAAACAGGACCCTGGGACCCTTTACTCCTTACTTACAGAAGTTGGCTCCGAAACTCTTAGGGCCCATGTCGCGAACAACGGAAGACTTCAACACAATTCAGCTAGCTTTCACGGCTATCTATCTATGTATCTGTCTGTCCTTGGTTCGGTCAACTCGACCTATACATCCATCTATTCATTGTTCGATGTGTCCAATCTTTCCATTTATCGACCTATCTTGCCGTCTAAGTCTATGTGCGTGTCCGTCTGTCTGTCTGTCTGCCTGCCTGCCTGCCTGCCTGTGTGTCTGTCTGTCTCTGTCTGTCTGTATGTCTGTCTGTCCAACTATCTATCCGTCTATCTATCTACCACCTATCAACGCGTCCGTCCGTCTGCTGTCTATCTGTCATCTACCGATCGATCTATTGAACATTACGGAAGACCCTGCAGCATTTGCCGTGAGTCATGCTCCAGGGTTAAACCGCTAGGCAGATCCAGGTATGGATCCATGTGGTGTGCCTCCGGTGCCCCTCAATAACATTAGAACCATTTTCCAGGGAATCGGTTTCAATATCGGATCCCAAAACAATAACCAAGGGCAAAGGCTACTAAACCAGGTCTGTGAAATTTTGCAATCTATCGGAGTGCTGGCCTGGCACCATCGCCCCGGCTCGTAGGGATGCATTCAAGTGGTCACGACTCACATCCGGAGGATAGGCGAAGACGCGCAGCTGGGGGCCTTAACTGCTCTGGAGCAAACTCCTCCTGTTAAACCAAACTTGTCGAGTTGAGAACAACGTGTCGAGAATAGTGAATGATGTGGGGGCTCTAGGATTCTAGTTGGGTGCCCCGGAAAGCACGCCCGCAGAAGCGAATCACTGCTTAGCCCTTATGAAAGCCGCACCCCAAACCTCGAAAGACTCAGCCCTAAGCCTCAGCCCAAACTCTAGGCCCTGTAGGCGTTTAACCGCCTAAGCCTGAAGCCCTGAAACCTCTCTCTCCCTCCCTCGCCGTGCCATCCCCTGAACGCCAGCAGTTTTGGTAATGATTCGGGCGGCATGTCTAGGTGGGCACACTCGACACACTTCTCTCATCGCGAGTTGTGAAGCGAAGTCTAGCTGCTAGCTTCGGAAGCGACGCAAGGCAGTTGACAACCCGTGTGGGTCCCCGTCCGGTCCCCGTACAACTCCTGGATCCAGCATGGGCACAAAGCCACAGCGGAACTTGGGTGGAGACGTGTGTCGCCTGGGAACACCCGTGGCAGGACATGCCAAACTGCACTCATCGCAGATTCTAGGGAAAAGCCAACGACCAGGGCAAATATCCGTGCTGAAGTAGCCCCACATCACCTGTTGAAAGCGGTTGACTTAGTTTCCTTTGGGCAAACGTCGACCTGCCACCAGTCGGTTCCCAGATCTCTGACATCTAAGCGAAACTCGCTCAACCCACCTCCTTGCACGACCCTTCCGAACGAATCTTCAAGCCTTCAGTGCTGAACCTCTGAAGCAACAACATGTATCTCAATCCAGCGTCTGTCTCTGCGAAGGCAAGCCATTTCGAGACCCCTTCATCGGATCTTGTGGTTGCTGCCGGGCTCAAGTCTCCACCATGCCTCTTCGAACAGCTGCTTGAAAGGTTTTTTGGTTTCCACGAATGTTACATGCTTGCTCACTAGAGCTACAGTGTGTTGCACGACGAGTTTGGTTGCAGCAGCAAACAGCAGCTGTCACCTGAATGTCTATGAATCTTTTGTATGGTTCCCATGCCTGGAGCGCATGCAAGACACACAGATTCATTATCGAAAGAATCGAAAGCATTCATAGTATGACCTGTGCGCTGTACACCTAAAATCTTCTCGCTCGACCGGCTCGACCACGTCGCTGGAGATTGATGCAATCGACATCGGTATGTGCAAGTCCAATCCCAAGTCCTATTCAGCGCTGAGAACCCTCCGACCTCGGGCTGCCGCGCTGGCGCGGGGACGCGGCCGAAGCGGCCCCAGAGCCCGAGCTCCGGGGAGGTCCCGATCCTGTGGTGAAGCACAACATGTAACAACACCTCAGGCGACTGTCTCTCCTCCCTCTTGCTTGCTTGCTTGCAAGGCGTGTGGGAGGCAAGGCACAGGTCCCTGCACCCCCTGCTCCCTCTCTCTCTCTCTCCCCCTCTTGCTTGCTTCTTGCAAGGCATCTGGGGGTGTGAAGCGGCCTGGGGGGAAAGCAGAGGGCTCGGGCAAAGGGACACAGTTGGGGAATCACACATGCTGGGTCCCCGCGCTGCGTGGTGGTGGTGGTGTCGCTGGGCAGGAAGCACGCAGGGCAGGGTAATTCGAAGATAAGGGAACACGACACACGTGACACCGGGGTCCCCGTTCTGTTGTGGATGCTGGTGGTGGCGTGTGTTCTTATTGCCTACTTCGAGGTGAGAGCGCCTGGTGCGCGTCCTGTACGTCCTCTCACTTTTCTTGGGTGGGGGCGGTGGGGGGCGGCTAATTCCGGCCAGTCCCGACCCTGAACTCCCAGAACTGCGGATCTGTGTCGCAGGCAGGCCCAAGCTCTAGTTCTGATCGAAGCCATGTTTCCTTAGGGTTATATGCCGAACACACCGGTAATTACGGTGTGTTCGGCCCTTGCTACAACCCACGTCGCCCAAACCATCCATGGGTGGTCCATGTTATTGACGCAGAGCATCCATGGGTCAACCATGTTAACGTCCACTCAGACCAGATCTCATTGACGCAGAGCATCCATGGTCAACCATATTAACGTCCACTCAGACCAAGGTTGTGCAGCGCTGTGCTTGCAAAAGTGGCTTTTACTGCAGCGTCGCTAAAACGATCGACCTGTCACAGGGATTCTCCGCCTCTCCTAGCACAACTTTTTAGTCATAATACACGTTTTCCCTAGGTTTTAGCACATTGCCTGTTTCAGCTGCGCCACAAAACGCCGGTCACGTACCAGGCGCTCTTACCTAGTTCGACCCCCGTTGCAAAAACTCCTCACAGCAACACAAGCCTAGAGCATGTCAGGGACAAAAACTTCTGGTGAGGATCAGGTGGTGGCTGGCTGTGGCTGCTTCTGGGGGCGATCTGCGCTTGAGTGCTAGCACTTGCTGCCTGGGATTCTGTGGATCAGTGTGGCCATGTGGTGGCCAGGTGGTTTGCCACGCCTCTGTGAACGGATCGTATTCCCTCACATACCGAGGGCGTCCAAGGGTCCAGTCATTGCCGGTCCTGAGCTGCGTCTGTGTGTCTGTTGCTACTCTGCGCCTTTCGGCTGGGATCCCGGTGTCGTGGTAGAGGATGTGGTCTGGTCTTGGTCTCCTGCCGGAGTGTGCTCCTTCCTCGGAGCTGCTATCGGCGAGCTGGTAGTAGGTGACGTTCCGTTGGTCTCCTCGGTGTCGGCTTCCTCGACTTGGGTGCCAGACGTCGTCGGCGGCGATCTTCCGATCGGGTAGTCGGTGGGTCCCGAGGCTCGTGGTAGAGGTTGCGGTCTGGTCTTGGTTTCCTGTCGGAGTGGCCCCATTCTCCGGAGGTGTTGGGAGGCCGGTGCTCCCGTAGGGAACTATGGCCTCGTGGTTCGCTGCTTGTGTAGGTCAGGTGCTCGCGAAGCTTGTGGATCTTCCGGAGGGTCGGGTAGACAGGGCTCCCTTCTGGTACTGGTAGTCGGTTCCGAAGTCGTCCGTGAAGGAGGGTCCCCTTTCTGCTCCTCCGCCTTTGCTTCCAAGCTCGGGCCATGGGCTCACTTGGCGGCGTACTTCGGTTGTTGGAGAAGTGCGCTGGCCGGGTTCTGGTGCCTGTGGCCCCGCCAGCATTGCCAGGCTGCGGTGCTGGTGAGATCCCGTGACGTCGGTGGCTCCCGAAGGTCCAGGTAGAGGTCGTGGTAGTCGCCCGTGTGCCGGCTACAGTACTGGTTCTGGGTTCGCCGCTGGTTCATGTCGCGGGTCTCCAAGTCTCGCGGTCGCCAAGGCCAGGGGGAAGCCTGCTGCGGCCGCCCATGGCATGAGACGGCTCATGGCCGGCAAGGTGCTTTTGCTCACTGGTAGTCGGCTGTTGAGGCTGAGAAGCTGCCATGCATGCAAACGGCGTGCTCGGCAACTCCCCGAAATCTGCTGCAGCTGGTCATCTGTTCGGAGTATGTATATCGGAGGGAGAGACGAGGAAGCGGAGTCGAGAGGGGGGGTATATATAAAAATCGTAGTCAAACCTTCGCTCTCAGCCCCAGGTACAGTCCTGGTCGGGTCCCCGTTCTGGGGCACATGCCCCCGGTGATCGCCAAAAGCTCTGATTCACGGGCATGTTGGATCTCCGCGGGGAGGTTTCCCCGGCTTCGTCCGTTCTTGTTCTTGGGCGCCGTCGGTTTGGCTTGCTTTCTTGCTGGTCGAGGAACTGGTCGAGCAGCCGCTGCCACCCCACTCTGTCTTGGGCTTTCTGCATCCACTCTGGCCCCGCGGCTTTGATGATTTTCCTTTCGTCGTCCAACTGCGAGTTGAATTGATGGGGATGCCTCGCCCCGATGGACTTGTGCAATCTTTGTTGCTCATTCCACCAGCGTTGGTTGCGCCATTGACAATGTCGCGCGTAGGAGACGGGTGGCGCGCGCGACATGCCCCCAGGAGCTGCCAACGCACCCTCAGTATAAAGGTGCTCCATCTGCCACCGCAGCACTTGTTGCGGAACACCTCCATGCGCGCTTCGCGGAGGGTCCGTTGGTGCCAGGACAACCACTCTTCGTTGGGTCCCTGCTTCCCGCCGATGATCTCCCTGATGTAGTGGTACTGGAAGCTGTTGGCCGGAGGAGGTAGTCTGAGATCGGCCACGTCTCACAAGCCCAGAGGGCTGCGCTCCGGATGAGTGTGATCGAGGAGCCGCGATCGTCGAGCTTAGCCTCCTTGCACGTCAGGATGGATTTGTTGGCGTGGACTCCCCGACGGGCGCGGGCTGCTGGCTGGTTGACATGCAAAGGTGATGGGTCAGTGATGGGCGACCCTAAAACCGGCATAACAGACCCCGGTGGTTCGGCTGGCACGGGTTTCTCCCCGATGGTGAACCCGTCCGCTTGCTCGTGACTGCAGATCCATGATTTTTTCGGGTTGATTTCCAGACCACGTTCCCGTAGGCGCGCTTGGGTAGCGTCCAGACACTTCTGGACCCAATCGTGGCACGATCCCCAGATATAGGTATCGTCCATGAAAGCTCCGATGCCATGTGGAGCTGGTGTCAGCTTGGCGTTGGGTCCCTGGCGGGGGACTCCCCGAAGGTCCTCGACGACCTGATCGATAGCTTCGCCCATGCCTGCGAAGAAAAGAGAGGCGAGTCTGGGGAGCCCTGTCGTACTTCATTCGTCTGGGCAATGGGGATGGTGTCGTCCCCGAGTACGACCTTGAAGCCCGGGCGCCAATGAGTTGCAGCCAAACCCTGGATTCCCATGGAAGCGCCGGCCCCAGCTTGTTGGTAATCTCTCTCTCTCTCTCTCTCTCTCTCTCTCTCTCTCTCTCTCTCTCTCTCTCTCGCTTGTTTTAGCTGTGGGGCGTGAATTCGCCCCCACCCACCCCCCTCAGCCGTCAAGCGTCTGGCGCTTTGGTCTCTCTTGCTTGCTTGCTTGCTTGCTTGCTGAGGGGTATGGGTTTCGGGGAGACCCTGGCCCGGAGGCCTACCCCCACAACGGTTCGCGGCGGTCTGTCTTCAAGGCCCCCCAGAACACCACACACTATAACCTAAGACGACCAGGCACATGCAAACCCATCAGGCTGTACCTGGCTTTAAACTCTCTCTCTCTTTCTCTCTCTCTCTCTCTCTCTCTCTCTCTCTCTCTCTCTCTCTCTCTCTCTCTCTCTCTCTCTCTCTCTCTCTCTCTCTCTCTCTCTCTCTCTCTCTGTCTCTCTCTCTTGCACGCTCCAAGTACAGAATGCCACTGACTGCAGGGTGCAGCGCAACGCGAAAGTAACCATGGCCGCATACAGAAGTCATCAAGCGCAGGCATGCTAAGGATATGCGACATACACATGTCGCGGTCTGTATGGACGCATGCAGGCACACACAGAGCCCTAAATGCGTGCCTGTGTTGTTTCTCCGGAGGGATGCAGCTCAGGCGCAGGTAAGGGATCAGGGAGTTGCTTGCTTGCTTGCGCACTCCACTGGGCAACCGTCCTCGTCAAGCTAGTCTCTGGCACCTAAGTGTACCACCTTGTGGGGAACACAACGGCCGATCAAAATTATGAACAGGGAGAAGCAGGCACTGTTGCCTGCATCACTGACATCGCTGCGCTCTGCGCAGAAGCGCGGTAGAGCTGTACGAGCGGGCAAGCAACGGCAAGCAGCCTTCTTGGTGACCAGACTCAGATTGACCTCGTGTCCGATCAGCATGGAGCTGGCGAGCCTGCTCACACACTTTGATCGCCCCATGATTCGCTTCAAACTTGATGGTGGAGTAAGCGATGCTGCAGAGTAGCCTCAAGTCAGCCGCATTCTTGAGGCTCATGCGCGTGACGATCAAGAGGAGTTCCCGCTCAAGGTCCGACTTGCTGCTGGCCACCGCTCGGGTCTTCGCTGGCTTCTCGCCTTCGGGCTGAGGTCGAAGGTGTGCTGCTCACTGATCAGCCATGGCGCTGGAAGTAGTAGTCGAGGCGTGTTCGCCGGAACACCGAGGGCAAGTGCGACGCCAGGTGTGCTTGAGCCTCATCCAGTCGGTGGAGGGGAGCTTCACACACAGCACATTTGCAAGGCAAGTGAGCATGTACTTGATGCACTGTTGCGCTGCCTGCGCTCCGACTGCAGTACCCACGCATAATGCTATCATGCAAATGGTTCCGTGCCACTCGCTTGGAGGCCAAAATGGCCCGGCAAGCACAGCACTGGTTACTGACTGTGAGCAGAGTCGCCAGCGAGCGCCTTTGTGCCACATGCTGCGTGCTGTGCGCCTGGTGTAGTGCAAGGGCGCGAAAGTTTGAGAAAACTTCAGGGCATGGTTGGCCGTCAGCAAGCTGAAGGTCACACACGAAAATTTCATCTTCTGCGCCGGCTTCATGAGAGGGCTCCTGTGCAGGTTGGCATGGCACTGTGGCCTGGAGCGCAAGGTACTTAGCAGTGAGCGCCCCGGGGTCTTGCTGCAGGAAGGCTGCTCGAAAGTCACTATCTGTGAAAAGCAGGAGAGGCTCCAAAGCAGCCGCAAACAAAAGACCACTATCATCCCACTCTGCCAACTGCTGTATGTCTGCACCCAGCTGTTGCATCCAGGCGTGCGATTCATCATAGATGGAACCGTCCGTGTCGAGAGGCGCCGGCGTCCCGGGGATGCGCCCGAAAAAAGTGAACAACAGAGCAAGGTGGTCCGCAGGCTTAGCCACGACACACTTCCACCACTGCAAGCGTTGGGCGGCCAGCTCAACGGCTGTAGGTGCAGCACGCAGCAGACGCCAGACCTGGTCGTTTGAGAGGGCTTTGTACTTGTCGGCACATTTATCGCACGCTGTACCTTGCAAGACTTTCCTCCCGAGCTTGAGCAGCTCCTTATCCAGGGCATGCACATCAGGCACCTGTACAGGTAGAGCAACCAGGCCACTGAGGGCGGCGCCCATAACCATGCTTCTGAAGACTGCCAGCCTCCATCGTCTGACACGGCACTTGGCCTAGAACTTCCCAAGAGCGTAGTACGCGGTTCTTGCTGCCTGTACTCTGCGTGCACGTTCATCATGTAGTTTGCCATCAAAAGCCAGGTACGGGCCCAGATATCGAGCATTCCGTTGAACACTACCAGGGACGATGTCAGGGACCGCGAAAGCATTGCGCAAGTGGCCATTGGCACCTCGTCCTGCAAAGAAGGGCAACACTTCTTGTTTGTCTTCGTTCTGCTCAAAGTCCGGGGCCAATGCACGTGACAGAAGGGCACTAGACAGCGATGCAGTATTGTGAAGGCCCAGCGCGCCGTCCACTCGCATGGTTCTTGCCACATCATCCGCATAAGAGGTAAGCGAGACATCCATTTGAGCTGGCACTGGTGGCAAGCCAGGAAGTTGAGCGCTTTCATCCTGCGTAGGTCTGCCAGCCCTTGTTGCAGCTCCGGACAGATGGCTGTAATCGCCAGCCTTTGCGAGCTCTGCAAATAGGTGTCGAGGCAAGGGTGGTAGGCAGCCAGAAACCATGGGCCAGCAATAGTGTCACCAGGGAGGGTCCCACTCCCAATGTTGCAGCGTAGCGCTCCGTCTGCGCAAGGCAGCACCATCCTGGCCATCCGCAGTCTCTGACGCAGATGTGCGCACTCTGCAGTGGGGGGGGAGTTGCGTCGTGGCGAGGAACGGCTCCAGGGTATGCTGATGGCTGGCACTGGCGAAAGCATTTGCGAGGTCATAGAAGGCCGTGAAGTGGGAAGCACGGCCTTGCCGCAACCTGTCCCGCAAAAGACATTTTGTTGCAGGATGGCTTGCTCGCGCCTGCGACACGGTAGGTAGCCTGAAGCGTAGTGCCGCTTGTAAGTGGCAGGCACGCGCTTCCACACTTGTGCGTAGTAAGCTTTGCCCAGTGACTAATAAAGCGAATGTAGCAGTCGCAAGCCCGCGGGTCCGCTTTTGGCATTCTTCTTTGCGATGGTAAAAGCTCTTGTTTCGTGCCAGCATCGCGGACTGCGGAGAGATGCCTGTATGCTGGCATGTCAGGCATGTAACATGTGAAAGCCGGTACGCACATTGGAATTGGGCACTTGCACATCAGAAAAGCGCCCAATCCCTGTCGTTTGCGACGCTTCCTTCGGCCTGGCTCCACACAGCGGCCGGAAATGACCACGGCGATGGAGTCTTGCGGAGCTTGCTGTAACGCAGTTCGCGTTGAGTCCTCCACGCTGACACGCGCCCGTCGTACAAGTCCCTGCTGGAAACTGGCACTTCAATGCTTGGGCAAACGTCACCTTCCGAGCATAACGTGGCTGATACTCCGCCATATGTGGCCCCTTCTGCACCAGGAACCGAAACCACTCAGACTTGTCGAAGAGTGGGGCTGCTGGCGCGGCCATTTGCCGTCGCTTTGGAGCCATATTCTTCCCTGCCAGTGTACGAGAAAGCTTCCAGGCGGCAGCGAAGTCTCGCTTCTTCCAGGCCTCCGTGACTTCAGCGACAAGGGCAGCTTGCTGAGCGTGGTAAAGGCGCCGCTTAATCCGACGGACTGCTCGTGTGGCTTCCCTGCAGCTGTCGATTGCAGAACTAACCTCCGGACAAGTTTGGGGTTGATCCTTGAGCCTTCGCAAAGCGAGCCGTGCTTCGTGCCGTTTCTCTGCCGCAGCAGAGAGGTCTGCATCCTCACGACCCCGATGTCTGTCGACGACGTCTTTGGAGAAGTGCCGGAGTGCTTGCGCCATGATGGGTTTATGATGGTTTATGCAATGCCTCGTGCACTGCATCGGGACCCTGTGCTGCCAACGAGTGCCAGTCAACGTCATGCAGCTGCGATTCCACGGGCTGAACGAAATCAGGGAGTCCATCTCCACGCAAACATCGGTACAGCTTGCCATGATCCCACACAACTCGTCGATGCTCCTCCTCCCCGTACCGGAGTCGGATGTTGACATTGAGCACAAGAGGTCGGTGATCACGTCTGGCATGACAGTCGATGAGTTGCAGCGCATCCCCAGCGGAATTCCATACTTCACAAGACTGGATTTGGGCACGGAGGGCTTGGGGGAGCAGGATATAATCCACACGGGAGGTGCTCTTACCGTCATTTGAGTAGAAGGTAGGGCTACAACGAAAGAAAGTATTGCCAAAACACAGATGGTGACGTTCAGCAAACTGTCGCAACAACCGCCCATTCGTGTTCTCTGGCGCCGGGTTGGCGATCCCCACGGCGGCAGATCTGGTGGCCGTGTGAGCACGCTGTAGACCAGGGACCTTGTCGAGGCCGAGATGCGCATTGCCGTCCATGAAGATAAGAGGGACACAACGATGACCATGCTGTGACACCAGCTCGCACATCCACTTGCAAACCTTCTTCGACAAGTCGGTGCGCACATCATTCGGCGGAAGGTACGCCACGATGCACAAAAGGTCCAGCTGTGGCGTCTTGAACCTGGCAGCCCCGACTCTCCCGCGCAACTCGCCATCCCCACTCCAGTGTCCTCTGAAATGTTTTGGCATGATGTATCGTCTGTGGACCCACAGCTCCAACCCAATGGAAGGATCGCCTTTTGCCCAGCGCAGTCGGTTGAAAGGTCCCAATTTTCCCTGCTGAACTGGGCTGTCCAAAGCACGATTAGTACCCACCAGATGGCATTGACTTAAACTGGGCCAAGCAGTCATTATCCCGATTGGCTTGGAGCATCGAGAGCGGATTGTAAACACAGCATCGTATGCTGCCCATGACTCACACTTCGCATGCGAGCTGGGCAGTGGCAGCGAAGATCTGAAATCAGGCATGTGCGCCGGGAAAGGCTGTCATGGCTTTAGGCAGTTCGGTGGGCGCGTGGGGCGCTTGAGGACAGAAGCGCCTAGGGATCAGGGAGTTGACAAAATCATACATTTCTGCTGCTGCAGCAAGCAGTGAGGGTTGATATAGAGTCCAGGATCGACGGCTCACATACCCATTGTGATGAAAAGATTAGAAGAGCTGCGCTCGCAATTGCAGCGGTAGCCCATCTTGGCGCAAGCGAAAAGAGCACGTCACCGAAGTGGCGCTCGCATACGGCAGAGGGGTCAACTGTGTTATGTAACTGTGTTGCTTGTGTCTTTTTTATTGCACAGTGTCGTCTGTGTCTTTTGTTTTGCTGCCTGTGTCTTTATTGTTGGCTCTACCCCAAGATGAAGCCCTAAAGTCGTCCCGAAGATGAAACCCTAAAGCGAGGAGGGCAGAGCAAAGCCTACTGCGTTCCCTAAAATGCAGCCCTAAAGTCGTCCCATAACCCTAGAACCGTCCCGAAGATGAAACCCGAAAGCGGTAAAGGCAGAGCAAACCCGGAAGTCGCCCCCAAGATGACGCGCTAAAGTCCTCCCAAGATGAAATCTTCGTGCTGTAAAGTAGATGAAACCCTAAAGGGACGAAGGCAGAGCGAGCCCGACGACGTAAACCTGAAGCGAGGAAGCCAGCAGAGCAAAGCCGAATCTCGCCCCAGCAAGCCCAAAATGCAGGCCCCAAAAGCGAGGACCCTCACGACCGACAGAAAGACACGGCTACCAGCAGCACAAGAAAAGACACAGGCAAGTTCAATAATGCATTGTTGCATGACCGACACATTCTGCACACCGTTCGTGTCAAGCCTCTCAACAGTCGACACAGCCTGCCTGAGCTAGCCAGCCAGCCAGCAACCCTTCCAGACCTTTACACCACTTCCGATTCCGCGAGGACTGCATACATCGCGCGCAAAAAAAAACAGGATTCGCAAACTCTAAACATCGCCGGAAGACGTGCCGAAGTTGTCTCGCCATCCCTTGCAGAAAGGCGCCGCTCGTTGAAGTGGCGCAGGGGTCGGCAGATTCCTAGGCTGCGTTGTTTTTGAGCTTAGTGTGCAAAGGAAATATCGTCTACGGAGATTAGCAAAATCCTGCTTTGCCAAACGAATCCATGTGGTAAACCTCACGGTTGCGGGCTGAAGTTGGAGTTCTTTGGGGCCTGCACTTCGCCGGCTTCACAGAAAGCAGAAATGCCTGCCTTAAACAGCATCTCCTGAGCACCGACATGATGTTGCAGCAACACGTGGTAAGGCGACGGAGCGCGTAGCAAGCAACCAACGTTTCTTGGAATGGCACGAAATTTCGTGAAGCGCACCTTACTGCCGAGTCAACTAACTATGCAAGCATGAAGATGGGAGGCGACATGCTGAACAAGGGTCAGGGAAGATGTCTGAACATACTATACATGTGCTATTTAGCTTCAAGCCCCCACCACGTGGACATGGAAGACCTGCAAGATCGAGCAGCGGGTTTCGCGCTGTAGGCACGTTGACCACTCCTCCAACCCAGGGCCTTTGTTGCGGCTAGCAACAAGGCTTCATCGGATCACCTTCGCCCATAATCGCTGCGGAGATCTTAGCTCCGCACCATCACTGGTCTCTCCTGGGTCGGTGGAAGTGTTGGCGAAAGAGGACGGTGTCAGATGCAGCGAGTACCTTGTATTGGCAGTCAAGATACAGAGCGAACGACGCAAGCGATGCCGTCGTCTTTCAGCCAGCAATCAAACACCACCATAAAGCCGCCGCTAGACTTAATTACACAACACCGCCTTCCTGTGCTCAGGGCACACCGTGAGCGAGCCGGCACGTGTGGCGACGTAGATCCAGGGAAACGTTGGGCCGGAGGAAACGCCCCTGCTGCACAGACAGGTAGCACTCTTGGGAGCGATTTCGACTCACACGCTCGCACAAGGCAGGCATGGCTTCAGATACTAAGTCCGCTGAGCTTGCTACTAGTACACGAAGGGACAGAGCGTGAAAAGCAACACCAAGACCCAACATTAGCCAGCCAACCAAGTACTAAAGGAGCAGGTACGTTCTGACTGTCCCATGGTGCTTCGAGGGAGAGGCTGATGTGGTCTCTCCAGGCAGTATACTATTTCAACACATGGCAAAAGCGATTTAGGTGTTCATGGTCTTCCCGTGGCTGTGTGCTAACCAGCACAAACTTTAGACAAACGTGCAGCGCAGGATCCAGGGCTTCAGAATTCCGGCAAAAAATTCATCTGGGCCCCGTGCCTGCCCACCCGAGGCAGGAAGAAGGAGCTGTGGGGCATCAGGCCCTCTTGTAGGAGGACGGAGCCCAGTCGCACTCGCGTGCACACACTCAGGTTCACCTCGGGCGTGCCAGCAGCAGCCAAGAAATCAAGCATATACAGCAAACCAGCAAACGTAAACAGCTCATGGCCATGCGGAGAAGAGTTTCAAGCACAGGACTCGCAACAGCAATTTCCACATTCGCCAGGACCTGAACAACAAGACGTGGACAACAACAAGCAACAAACAACAAACAACGACAACAGCAACAGCAGCAACAACAACAACAACAGCAGCAACAACGGCAACAGGAACAGCAACAGCAACAGCACCACCAACAGCAACGACAACGACAGCGACTACAACTATCAGACTAGAACTAGAACAAGAACTACTACTTACTACTGCTGCTACTGCTACTGCTACTTCTTCTTCTTCGACTACTACTACTACTACTACTACTACTACTACTACTACTGCTACTACTGCTACTACTACTACTACTACTACTACTACTACTACTACTACTACTACTCCTACTCCTACTACTACTACTACTACTACGACGACGACGACTACCACCACTACTTCGACTGCGACGACGACGACGAAGATGCCTACGACGACGACGACGACGACTACGACGACGACGAACAATTACCACTACTAAGACGACGACTACGACTACTACAGCTACGTCTACGTCGACTGCTCCTACGACGCACTGGCTGATACCAGATGTAGAAAGAACGGGTGTACTTGCAGGATCACAGCCCGTGAGTATCTGGATGGTCCAAGTGTCAATACATCCCCAGTGCACACTACACACTGCACGAAGAAGCGGACACAAACTTCATTCAGTTTTCCGCCGAATCTGGGCCATGCTTGGAAGAGAAAGACGTGGCCCGTCCAGAATCAAGTCACCGGACCGGTGTCGACGCCTGCCATGCCGGGCACGACCACGGCCCCCGTCTCTAAGAGTTGGTGCCTCGGCTTTGCAGTGAACACTTCTTGGCGTCTAGGACGTGTCAGAAGGTTGCTGTCGGCTTGGGCGTGTCACTTGTTTTGGTCATGACTCGGCTATCTGACGTGCCAGTCAACATGCAGCTTGGCATGTGGGGATGGGGGAAGGGGGGGTGGTCGGAGTAAAGCAGCACACGAGGGGGCATGGAGGCATGCACCATTAGATGGCATCAGCTCATTGGTGGGCTGGGCGATGAAAAACCCCCGTCCAGATCGCAAGCATGTGTATGCATGCATGGATGGAACCGTGGTGTTGCCACAAGCCACAGGTCTCCACAGTAGTACCAGTACCATCGTAGAAGAAGCGAAGGAAGGAAGCTGGAGGATCGGTGGGCGGATGCATAGATGCATGGATGGAAGGGGTCGTTTTAATCATTTATGCGATGTCAAGGTTGGTGGAAGCTCTTTGCGGCCTGTCCTTTTCTGAACTCAAAGGACTTGGGCTCTACTTTGCAGTTTCAGAACCCTTCTGCAAAGACGCTGAAGGTCCCCGAGCCTGCCACTTTCTCCACACTTTAAAACACTCCACACCCAGTTGATGAAAACCCTTCTTCGCTGTAGCATGCTGTAGTCGTCCAGGTGCCGATGTGAGTGAAAGGATGGCAGACGGAAGACGTGGGTTGTTCCCTGCAGGTCACAGGGAAAGGCAACACTCTGAAGTCATTGCAACGACTACTGATTTAGGAGAGGAACATCAAGCAACGGGATCTTGACGCCCTTTGCTCTCAAGCTGTTGCAAGACCAGCACTCTCCTGTCACATGAAGTGTTCGGATCTTGAAACCTCTAAACTCTAACCTTCAAGAAACGAGAACATACACCGTACGCCTTAGCCTGCAAAGATATTCCTGCCAACTTGCAGCTTGGCCTTGGCAGAGGAAACAGCCACAAATTGGCTGTCGTCGGATATGGCGACGTTGCCTTCTTTTCACAGCCAGCTCAAAAAAAAAAGTCAGATTCCTCCTCAGCTCGAACGCTGGCGTCTGACTTCGTGGGTCCCTGAACCTGGGCGCCATCATCAGCCGAGCGGCTTATTACTGCGGGGGTGAGGCCACGAGAGAGCGTGAACACGTGCTGGAAAGTGAGGCTGCCCAGCTGTGGTCCGTCCTCTGGCTTGTTGTGGATGAGGGCCCTTTTCGACCCGAAGGCTTTCCGCTTAGGAGGCCAGCACCCACTACACTTTAGACTCGAAGAGGCCGTGATTGGCCTTCGGCTTCTTGCCCGAGCCAACCCACAGGGGCGGGAAGGCGGCGCTCTGCAATTCCGATGAAAACAAAAGTAAGTTACGGCACTAGTTCGATGATGATTCAAGCTTTGCTGCGATGCCAAAAACACGGCCGACTCCTGGATCCTTGCCGTCCTTGCCACCGTGAATTGACCCGGAACCTGCGTCCTTCGACCTCCATCCCGGAAGTTGAAAAGCTGAAGCAGCCATCGCTGGACATCCTGCCGTCCCTCGTGGCAGGTCCTTCCCAGAGTCCAGGGTAAGGGCGTGCCCTTTTCCCAAGACGGCACGGTGCACGAGAATGCGATGCCCAAGCGCAGCGCATGTCACCTGGGAGTTGTGGACCAGGGTAGTGATGGCTCGTGGCTCAACTTCAGAAATTTGTGGGGCTTGCAGCGGACAAGTCCAGAACATTGCGGGCGAAAGCTTTCGCGCTACCGTGCGTCTCGCGGCTCAATGCGGACAGCGCACCAGCTGCAGGCCGGAAGGATCCCACACCATGCACTCGACTGCCTCCGCGTGGTCCTGCCAGGCATCAGGAAGTGTCTTGAACCAGAGTGTGGATTCAGACTTCTGGAACGAGACCAGCCACTCGGAGCAAGAAGCCATAGGAGTATCATTTCAGTGGCAGCCTTCGCACGTCGACCCAAAATTGACAGTGTGCCCAAGAATCCATTCATCTGCCTGGGGCTCTTGATTTACCTGCTCGCTATTCTTGAGTGCTTGCGAACAGTGGGCTGAGGTCTCAGAGCTGCGGGGCCTCCCACAATTCCTTTGTTTGTGCAGCCTGCCTTCTGCCTTCTCTGTGGGCCCTTGTGGAGTAGAAGTGCCTCGAACTGTGAAATCACCGTCTGCGTCTCCACATCCCGTACCTTCGGGTGTAAAGGTGCGGGGGCTTCTTCGGGACCGGCCACTTGGGCAGATTTCGTCTCTCACTCTCGCACACGGCAGGCAAGTCTCCACACAAGTCTCATCCTGCTCTGCCCAAGTGTAGGGCCCAGCAAGGACTTTCACGACCGCAGGACATTAGACTCTTCTTTTTGCCAGCCTTAGACCAATTGGTTGGGCACTGCAGATCTTCGCAGGCTTGCATGGGAAGATGGTTGTCACAATGGTTGTCAACCTCCCAAGGTCCTGAATCTTATGAGCTTCTCCTCAGACCCCCAGATTTTCCGAGTACTTAAGCCATTTGGTCCCGGGCACGGCAACGCTCCCACTCCTCAAGCTTGCAGAGCCCTGCGACGCCGCCGACTCCGGGGCCGTTGTCGGCGGCATAAGCACCTGGATGTTCCCAGAACGTCGAGTCTCTTGGGTTTCAGATACCTCTGTTTAGATCGGTTGGACATACTGCACGCATAGAAACTATATGCTCAAAGCATGTACGCCTGTGCCATGCTGCGGCCCTGAACTCGAGCCGTGCCTGGTCCAAAGTGCGCTGGCCCACTTGGCCCAAGTACTCGAGACCATCCTCCAGAAGCCAATAGGGAAGTTGCGCATGCTACTTGCAACAAATGCGCTAGACAGCATCACCGAAAAGCCGCAAGGGCAGCCCACTTGCAACCCGAATCGCAACCAACGGCTCGGACACGTAAGCAGGCTTGGGCTAAACATCTGGGACTCGAGGTTTGTCACTCCTGAAAGCTTTGCCGGGATTAAAGTTGTGGGGCCCGGCATCCGACAACAATGATGGGAACGCACAAAGCATTGAGCTGCCATGAAGCCTGAATCGTGAAGTGTAGAAACTCTGAGAAAAAGCTGAATTTGCACTTCACTCTTTATACAACTCTGCAAAAACAGACATGGCTGAAAGCTGCTCTAAAACTGCCTTCGACGAAGCTGCCATGGAACAAAGTCAGGGGCACCAGCTACTGTGTTGGAGAATGAGAAGCCAATTCTCGGCAAGAAGCCACCTAAGCACAGCTACAAAAGCTGCCTGCCAGGCACCCTGCCCACTCAGTTAGGTAGCTCGCATGTCATGTATGCGGACTGCTGTACAGCCAACTACCGCAGGACCTTGACCACCGCTGGGAGCCGTGGTTTCCCTGGAAGGCCTGCGAAACAAAACTTGAACCGATGTCTGCATCGCCTGCTTTAGATGTCCGTTTGGTTCACTCAGAATTCACTAGCAGTGTCGTCAGGGTGCTTTAAGTGGCTGCTAGTATCGAGGCTCAAACACACCAAAGCACCAGCGAACGACTACCGGGTACCGGTTCGGCTGCAACGCGGCCGCGTAGATATGATGTGTCGTCTTGCGCCAGTGTCGTCGTCATCATGCGGCCATCCCTGATCATCCTCGCGATCTTCTTCGTCATCACAACCATAGTAACAGCGGAGTAGCAGCAGCATCATCATAACCATGACCATCATCATCATCATCAGAATGCTTATCAATCAGCAGCTTCACCATCACCAGCGTGACCATTACCATAAGTGGCATCGTGATTGACGCTGTCGTGACTATCATGGCCATGGTCATCACCGTCAGCTTCGCAAGACAAGGTGACAATCACGCTGCCATCGCTGCCAAAAGTGCAATCCTCCAGCTGCGTCCTCGTCACACAAGCAGATCTTTGTCCCTCGCCTGGCTGAGGACCTGCATAGCTGCTACCTGCAGGGTGGTTCATGTACCCAGCTATGTAAAGAAAGAAAAAAGGCAACAAAGACAGAGAGAGAGAGAGATAGATAGAGATGGAGATACAGACGAAGATAGATAGGTAGAAACAGAGGTACCGATGGGGATGGAGATAGCGATAGGGAAAGGGATGCGGATATGGGTAGAGAGTCAGAGAGATAGATGATAGATATAGAGAGCAGGAATTCGAAGGGAGCAGGCGGGGGAGCGGGAGAGGGAGAGGGAGAGACACTGGCGAGAGAGGCATATAGAGCGCCAGGAATCAATACCGAAACCAGATTGAGACAGGACGACGCGGAGAGAGGAAGAGAACGAGAGAAAGGTGAGTGAGAGGGAGAGGGAGCGGGACGAGGGACGGGAAGGAGTGGGGAAGGAAGGGCAAGGGAAAGGGAAAGGGGTGGGAAGGGGGCACAGTATGGAGAGATAGAGAAGTCGCAAGAACGAGAGAGCGAAACAAAACCGACTCGGCCAGAAACAAAGGCTGGGGAAACGCACAGAAGAACGATCTCGAAAGAATGAGATGAAGAGCAGAGACAGCGAGAGATCCAGACGACACATCAACTAAACATGTCGTGGCCGTGGCCTTCGAACTTCGGATACGTGGAGCATAGCCGGACTTCCATTCGCTGGGACATGTATAACACACAAATGCGAGTGCCATGGTGGGTTTGCTGGCTTGCCTAATTCACTCTTTAACTTCAAATAACTAGATGGACGTTATGCCGTGAAACAGGTGCAGACAGCTGTGCGCACTTTACGTGCGCTCACATCCACTCACATCCACACCCTTCGCGAAGGCCCGGGCTAATTGGCCAGAAACCCGTTCAACGCACATGGGCCAGCGCAGCTAGCACATGCCCAAACAAAACGGATCGTCTTTGTCGGCACGAGCCCAGCCAGGCCTGTGCTCACCATCACATGTGGCGGGAGGTTGTAAGCCAGCCAGCCTCGGTTTACGAAGCAGCTTGGATTTCCATTTACAAGCAGCCCGAAAGCACCTTAAGCAGACTCAGGAGCTCAAGTCCAAGAACAAAGCAATCAAAGTAAGCCTCCGAACTTCTTCCAAGTAACGGTGGCTCAGTGCAAAAGTAGGACCGGCCGCCCCGTGGCACTGGACCTGCGAACTGGGCTCAGGGCTGATAGCGCAGAAGAACCTAGAGCTGGAAATTTGGAACCCCTTCCCAACATCTACATCTACTGTTTACGCGCCACACTACAATGACATGCAAAAGTTGGAAGCACACATACCTGTTTCAACAAGCCACCTGCGAACCTATGAGGGAGGCCCCAACCGGTTGTAAGGACCAGCGATCTGCCTCTTGACTTCCAGGTCAAGCCCTTTTTGCCACGGCTTTACATGCCCCGGTCCAGTAAGCAATGACCGGAATCCCGGCGTCTTGGTTCTTGGTTTCGATGCCACGATTGCATTTTTCACCATGCGTAGATGTTCAGGCATTGAACACCATCCGCCCTGGCCTTTCTTCGGGGTGTATGTGCATGCGTGCAAGTATATGCATAAGCCAAAATGTGTGTTCCATGTGTGTATTGCGCCATTACTCATTTCATATGGTCCTATTTTATACCTTTCCTTCACTATAATAAGAATAGATAAGAATCTGGGCTTTCTGCTAGTTGGGTCAAACTGCATTGTGATACATTGCATTATGTTGTGCTATGTTCTGGTAAACTACATTGCGTTACATTGCAGCATGAACCGTACCATGTCATCTTTGATTACGCTTTATGCTGTTATGCTGTACTGTATATTGAGTTATGCTGCATTAGGTCATGCTACACAGTTTAATCACACCAGCATTCAGCTTTGTTCAACTAAGACACGCTATGTCATTTCGAGCTTTTCGGCACTCATTATGTTGAGGTATTTTTTCACACTGCACTGTTTTCAAGCTGTTTGCAAGGCATACCACTGCAGTATGCGATATTAAATCATACGATAACGTATTGGGTTGATTACATTCTTGTTCTACTTCTTCTACTATAGTTTATTCTGTTTTACGCCATTTGTGTATTCAAGTATACTCTGTTGTATCAAACTGTAATAAAAAGTATTTATTGGTGGGTACATCACATTACATGAGACTGCACTAGCTCGTGTTTGGACTTTGCGTGCCCACGTGTATATAGAATATGTATGTGCGACTGTTTTACATCACACTACCCTAAGCGGTAACCACTACATGTCATTGCTAAACCATGCTGAGCTCGTTTTGTATTATCCCATATTAGATTCTACTGTACTATGATGTAAAAACTGTTGTATTAAAACTTAAAAGTATTATGTTATACTATATGGCATTCTATTTGTTTGTGTTCTATGACTACGTTTTGTCGGATTCTATTTGTTTGTAGGCTGTTTCTAGGTTTTGCCGGACCACATAACAAACACATGCAAGAACAAAAACTACTTTCTGATTTGCATGTTTGGGGCCCTCTCTTATTTACCTGCCCTCCAATAACGCCCCACTCCTAAAACACAGGAAAAGTAGAGGGCTAGATTTCTTGTGTCGGGTGCTTCCAACCCCGCAAAAGAGTCTGCAAGCCGTAGTGAAATTGAACAGTATGAGGACATCACACAGTGTGATGAAGGGCCTCCAAGCCTAGGCCCTCAGGCCCAAAGGGAGAAAGAACCCGGATGCGAAAGCCATGAAAGCAAATGAGTGGTAGAAACCCAAACGCGAAATGGAGGTCAGGCATGGAGCATGAGAGGACCTATAAATCCTGGCAGTAGAATCGATGAGCGGTCGACGAGAAGGCAGGTAGCTTAAACTTGAACAAGATGGGAGTCAACTTCAGGCTCTTTTTCCCTGTTCGTCTTCAGGAGCCCAGAGGCCCAGAGCCTTCAATGTAACCCAGCCAGCTCGAGCACTGCTGAAGCCAAGGTGCAGAAAACAGGGCATGGAACTGTAGCGCATCGTAAAGTTCCACCTGCAGAATCCGCGCAAGGGGGTGAAACTAAAACCGGCCGGCGACCGGGCCAAAGCAAGCTTGAGGCCGGTAAGGATTTGTTGCAGGGGACTTGCTGGTGTTGACTGAATGCTTCAACACGACGTTTTCATCTTTCCGCGGGCGAGATTGTTGATTTCCGGTACCCCCATCACCTTTTGCCTCGGGGTTTTCTTGTGGAATCGGGAAGCGAGAAAGAGCATTCGCTAAATTGCAGGTGCCCTTGGGAATGATAGTCTTGCCAGATCTTGCCAGCATACACCAAGGAATTCTGAGCAAGCTTTCGGTAGAGAAGACTGACCACCAGAGTGGTCCAGTCTCAGCTAAACAGCTATGTCCTAGAAACTGCTACGATCATGCCACCACGGATCTCGCTTGCTTTATTGAACTGCCTGTGTATTCTCTGTCACCGTCCCAGATCATATTGAGACGCCTGCTTTGCGAAGCCCACTGCAAAGAAACGCCTTCCAGCCTTGGTCCGAAACTAGTCTCCAACACGCAGGCGGAAGCTTGGCCCAGCTTTCCCAGATCTCTACAGAAGTCACCAACACATGGTGGGCGTTGAAGTCATTCTGGGTCCATGCACAATTTGCGTAACCACCTACTCGACGCATGGATGGACAAGCTTCTTCCCCGGATCCGGATCCGTGTGTCCTGGGACGGGCACCTGCCGTGCTTGCTTGCACCTTTTGTGGCATGCAATGCTTCTTGCCCGAAAGATCTCGCAGACGAAACACTTGCAGACTCCTGGCAGGCTCTGTGAGCCGAAGCAGATGGACGTCGTCGTGGCTCCTCGTGAGCATTCGGGGGGGCCTAATAGGCACCCTAGCATCTGCTACACAAGTGGTATTTTGGAACACCGTTTAGTGGAGCTCGGCCTCAAGGAGAACAGCCGCACCAGGGCCTCTGCTTTGACTCGACCGCTGGGACATGCTGTGTGAAGAAAACACTACTACTGCCTGCCATCGCAACGGCTTTGCTCCATTCTGCTGCTATACAGCTAAGAACCTACCTGCTGACCTCTGCACTCTGCTCTCGAACAACATCAAGGGTCAAACAGATCTTGCGCATTGATAGACGTTCGTGCAGCCGGTTCCGTCAACATGTCGGCACAACATTGCACTACAGTAGCTGCGCAAAGCAAAGGGCCTAGCCCAAAGACGCCCTGGCATTCAACCTCAAGCCTTAAGACTGTTTCTTCAGTAGCTGACAGAAGCGACTGCATGCCGGCGGCTTCTTCTTGGCAGTCCAACTACTCTACGGTATGGGCTTCCGCATGCAGCTATTGTCTTGTATCGAACCCCCTTGTCCGGAAAGCGCGGTTTCCTCAATCTCTGTAGCAGTAGCAGGACTCTTAAGATCTCTCAAGGGAAAGAATTGTGATCTGCTCCGAAAGGGGGAAGCCTCTCAAAGTACAGTACAACGGAAAGGGGTAACAGCCACACGAGCCATCAGAACACACTATAGGAAACGGAGCATGCGTGTGTGAGATGTACCAGTCCCAGCCGCCGGTGAGCCCTTGTGCAAGTACGCCATGAGCGGGGCAGCGCTGACACCCAGGAAACTTTCGCCGGGCTCCTTCAGTCACTTCGGGGAGATATGTGACTTTGCTGCTGCGGTAGGTCATCGTGGCACGTCTTCAAGATGCTCAACATTCGACGCAAGCAAAAGCAGGTAGATAAATGCCTGGCTTTGGATTCAAATCTGGGCAAGCCATGCGCAAGACAGACGGTGTTGAACGAGATATGACAGATATCTCGGTATCAGGACACTCCAACATGCCAAGACCTACACTCCTACACACTCTCCTACACTCACTCAAGTCGCTGGGCTGCACACTCGATACTCACTCGATACTAGCTGCCACGCACTCTGCTTCGCCTGTACATGGACCCCTGAAAGGAAAATGTGCAGCTACTGAAACCAAGCGCAGCAGTGAGATCTCTTGGCTGGAACAAGGACAAACATCCGCGAGATTTCCTGAAATGTGGAACGACCAGGAGGCAACGGCATGATGAATCTGTGTCGGATGTCCGTCTGTTCGGACGCTGGCAGCAGCGGCAAAGGCAGTAGCCGCGCTTGCAGGACGGCCTTGTCCTGACAAGAGCACAGCCACAAAGTCATGCAGAGTCCCAAGGCCCAAGACACCGTCTGCCCAAGCGGCATACTTCGACACCAACTCTTTGGCTGCAGTCGGATCTTGCCTCGCACTCGGCGGGAGTGTAGACTGTTGTAGACAGGTGCTGCAAGCAGGTTCGGAGTGTTCTCCGCTTCGGATTTCTGCGCCTCGTGCTGTTGGTAAATGTGATCAATGCGATGCTCAGTCGCTTAGACTACGACTACGATTACGACGACGACTACTACTACTGCTACTGCCACTGACCACCGCTACGTGCAGTGCGTACATGCCACAGGGCAGCTTGTGCTTAACATTGCTAGATTTGCTGTTTGAGCAGCGGCCGTCCAAGTCTGTCTTGTGCCAAAAATCAACGCCGCCGATTTCAAGCTATCCAGACCCTACCTCGCTACATCAAACTCTTGAGACAGCAAGACCACTGCCCTGAGACGTTCCGAGGCGTGCGAGCTGCGATACGGGGTTGAGGTTGCAAACGTGCAGTTGGTGGTCGTATGCCTTCTTTGGTGCCCGCTGCGAGTGCGACGCTGAACTCCCTGAACAGAAACCCACACCGACTACTTGTACCTGAGCGGTTTATGTAGGGTTCCGTTGCACAAATGCCTCTCCGATACCCCAGTGCCCTCCTGGTTTCGAACGCAGGACAAGATCGTTTCTGAAGCATGTGCCGGGACAAGCAGCCTACTTGCAGGAGTAACAGGAACTGAGGTCTGCAGTCTGCAGTATCGCTCACCGCGGGTTCGGCTTGCAGCAAAAGCTGATTGAGTCTGTGTTCGGCTCTTCGGCTGCGGGATTTGCAAGGCACATCCTGCTACTACGAAGGCTCATTTTGGCAGGGCGGCAAATCCCACAGCTGGAAGCCATCCGTGTAGCCCACGACAAGCAGCTGCCGCGGCGTTTCCTCTGGACTAGTCAGTTGAACTTCAGTGGTCTGAAAAAGCTACAGCAGGCGACCGTGCGATGATGCCGATCTAAAGGGAAGGTTTGGCCGCGACTTTGACCTTCTAACTTGCAGGAGCTGGCGCCGAAACCCTCTCAGGTCATTTACCAGTGCCTAAGTTTCCAAAATCGCTGCCTGAATGAACCAAGAGAGTGCACGCGACCGAGACAGTCACGCAGCCTTGTCAAATGCCCCAAGACAATCGCAAAGCTGATGCCAAAGAGGCAGGGCGGGGAAGACTGGGCGGGGGGACAGGGCGAGAGAGAGAGAGAGAGACACAACAGGGAAGCACTGGAATCTCTAGATGAAGAGAAGAGAGAAGACAGCAGCGGGAGCGACTTGGCTGCGTCTTTGCTAGTTCATCACTCCAGCGTACTCAACCCTTGGAGCCGTGCATGAATGGCCTCAACGACCCGGACACTACCAACGAAGACCGGTACGACGCCGAGCGACTGCCACGGCTGTGGAAACTGCGGACAAGTCTAATGACCTGCTTCCCGACAGCTGGATGCACCCTCCCCGCTGCCTCCGGTGGCCACACTGCCCGCTCCAGGGAAAGCCAAGTTATGTGGCGCACGGCCTGAACTAGGATGCTCTTGGCTCTTCAGGTTGCAATACAGGGTCCAGAAGTGTATGCAGAAGCGATTCCAGATAGACTTAGCAAACGAACTCAGATCAGCTCGGCGGACATTAAGCGCAACTGCGGAAACACGACATCAAGCCGCAGGGCGCAGGCCCAGGCCTCAGAGATCTGGGGGCTTAGGCCCGCTGCGTCGCGAACGCCAGCGGGGAGGTATCCAGAGATGGAAGACACCAGGGAGGCCACACTCATTGGAGATGGGGAGGCTGTGTAGAGGTGCTGAGGCTGTGTACTGGGGCTTGTTGGTGGGTTTTGCGCCGGTGACTATGTCAACACACGGCCGTAAAGCTGTCAGGACTATATAGAGCTCATCTTTTGCCTCCCCATAGAGCTCATCCTGCAGCTTGACCTCTACGTGGTTTCGCGGGCACATGGACGCAACACACAGCTTGAATCGACTCGAGCAGCTCCAACTTCGTGGGAAAGCATGGGATTCTGCGTGAGGTTCTGGGTCGAGGGAGCAGACGGAACCGGCACTTCGCCGCTATCGGCGCTCTGTTATGCCAGGCCGCCAAGATTGGCTCCTGGCTATGTGTGCCCTCGTATGTGATATGGACTTTATGATGTCGATGCCTTATCGTGGTCACGCCATGCATGAGCAATTCTAGCTATCTCACTCTTTCTCCCTATGTGGTGGGGCGGGGTCTTGAGGACAAGAGGGCATGCGAGAATTTGGGGTTGGACCCCTCTATGCGAGCCTGAATCTATGCGTTTCTGCAACCGTTCATGCTCATGATGCCAGCCCACTGCGGGCCTACTTTCTTCGGGGCGCCAATGAAGGCTCCAACCCACCACCTCTCACACCGACCGACGATGCGAACTCGTGCATGTGAGCGCACGTCCCGGGCGGGCTATAGGCATGATGGGGTGCTGGCCGTACTAGGGCGGGCCGTAGTGCAATGCTATGAAATGATTTAAGAGGGGTCAGGGCTAAAACAAAGCAACTCCTTCTCGCCTTGCCCAGTCCCCCGTTCGGAGAATCAACGTCCTTCTGAGAGCTCGGGCAGACTAGGGTCGAGATAATTTCTCCGGCCATTATTGTGCTAGCTGGTGCCATTCCGCAAGCACCACACCCTGAATCTACACTGGCTACGACATAAGTGCAAGGCCATCAACCAAGGTTTGCGACTAGGCCGAAACAAAATTTGAGAGAGCACCCAAGCCACTGCAAATTGACAACTGCATAGCGATTCAAAGCACACGCTCGTTTTCGGCACGCTTGGAGACTGGAGACTGTACAGTGATGAGGAGCCTTGCATGGGCTGCGGAGCGCCAACTCCCATTGCTGTGCGATGGGCCCTTTCTAGCGGAGTTCTCCACGCACTCATCTGCCTGGTGCGAAATGCAGAAATCGATGCAGTTGTACACAACCTCTGAGACGCCCCTGAAAACCCAGAGGGACTTCAAAGCACACCTCGAGTCCAGGGGATATGGCAGCAGCACAACCTGACCACTGCTCTCTCCATCTGCCGTGCAACAGCAGATGCTGTTGAAGCATTCTTTGCTTCACGCGTGTTTACTTCATGAAGAGCATGTTTTGATGGCGTCAGGTTTCGTACATGCCTTGGCCATTGGGCAAACCCCCGAGAGATGGAGTACAACCACCTCTTAGATATCGACGCTTCTGCTGCTTCCACCACCAAGCACAACCGGAGGCCCAGCAGAATAATTCGTCGTCTTGATCATGATCACGAAAGAGGAGTTGCCCTTCCTGTTCAAGATTTGGCTCATGTCCGTGCTGATGTAGCCGGGTGGAGCTTGCCTGGGTTCGCTACTCAGCCGGTACTGGGTGGAGGGTATATCGAGTATTGAAGTTTTGGACAGGTGGCTCGACTCTATATGGGACATCTATTTTTGCAAAGGCCGAGATTCTGACCGCGGCCTCGCACGAAGCAGCACTCAGAAGCAGCGCGACCCACCTGTTTCGAAATCTGTCGCCTACGCGTTTCCGCCAAACGTCGTCGCAACAAGAATCAAGTATCACTCCTAGACTCTTCACTTCGAAAGTATCAGATTTAACCGCACCAAGACCCTGACCTCTTGGTCCTCGTCATGTAGGCCCAAGCCCAGCAGATTCAAGCACAGTTTTCGCTGATCGCACAGCGTCCTCTACAAGCTTGAGTCAGGTTATATTCAGGACTTCCGGCAAGCAGCATGCCAAAGTCCCGCCGGCAACCCCCTGTCGAGCGCTTTGGACAAATGGCGGTGGATTTGCGGGGGGCTTTGAATCAGCTCATGCGAAATTTGCCGGCTTTTTCGCAAATCTCCGAAAATTTAAAAGCACTACCCTGCAAGCAATTGCTGGATTTCGGTCTGCAGGACTGCAGGATGCATGGATGGGAATAGCAAACCTCCCCGCGTTTGTCGCAGCTCCTCGATCTCCGCAGGCGAAACAAAGCTGCCTGCCTGAGAAGCAGAGAAGCATAACAGAAAAGGCTCGACCGGATTGTCTTGCCGAGTGCATGAAACCACACTGGGTTTCTACCCAGCGGCCTTTGTCGTCCGCAAACGCATGAGCTCGGACACACGTTGCAGCTCCTCGCGACAGATGTACCGTAGGGACGACAAGCTGCATTGTCCTACGCGATACTCGTCGCGATGTCGATAGAAGATGATACTGGGCATTGAAAGTGTTAGGCACGCCACGTCCTTTGCGGTGCACTGGGAAGAAAGTTCTACATGTCTACATTCTACAAGGCGGCCGCCCGGGCATCTCCTCCAATTCATCTGGCACCTGCTCCCTTATCAAGGCCTGCACGGAGTCGGCCCAAGGCTACGAGGAATCAGTGGAGGTCTGTTATTCTGTTGTTGTCCGCAGGCAATTGCTCATCGAGACTCCTAGTGTCCTAGTGCACTGCCGGCCGTGCAGTCTCAAAAATGTGGAATAGTCTGGCTAGATAATCGCGGACTTTGTCTAGACTCTAGACAAAGCTGATCGTCGCGGTGCCACGCCTGCTCGTCAGGAATGCCGCGCAAGGTCACGCTCACCTCAGGTTTGTCCGCACCCCACAGCTAACGTCAGTGATAAGGAACTGTCCAATCCCCCCTTCAGAGAAGCGTACCAGCAGGCCAATATTGGACAGCCGGGCGGGTATGAAGCTGTGACGGGGAAGCTAACGTCAGAACATCTTCTTAATCTTCCTTTTTTGTTGTCACCCACCTGGCACGATATGTTGCTATATTGCACCTTACAGCAACAGAGCACCTAGATTCACCAGGATATGGCAGAGTTGTGCTGCGGTGCGACACACTTCTTGCAATGTCATGAGGAGCTGCACTCGTGGGGGTAAAGGAATTGGTAGCTGCAGGTGCGAGTTTTGGCAGAGGCTTTCGTATGATGTTCTCGACATCGTGATTAACTGACTAACGAGGCCAAGAAACCGACATCCAATCCACATCGGAAGCATCACCAACCTCGTTGACTTTGACCGTTCGCGATGCAAAAACTCGCTGCGGCTCGCAGGAGGGTTGCTGCACCTGCCGCGCCATGCACAATTTCGACACAGCGCCTGCTTTTTTCTGGCTTTTCGGGACTTGCACACTGCACGTAAACCGATGTAGTATGATGTAGTCTAGCGGGTTTCGGTCGCTGCGCCTTGTCTGTTGTGAGGCGCCAGAGGAATTGCGCCGCCGCCGTTCGCAGGACGTTGTCCGCCACGAGAAGGGCACCTGAAGGCCTTCAGATCCAAATCGGTAGAGCTTAGCTTTGGTGTTTGCTGTTGAAGCTGTGACCTCATTACATTCCCTGTTTGCGCAGTTTTCCAAAGCTCAAGCGCTTTGACTGCCTAGATGCCTGCATGCGATTCATGTTTAGAACTTTGCCAGCATTTCTGTATTCTGTTCGAACCGTCCGTTTTATGAACCAGGGCGTGCAGTCAGAGTTCTCCCTTCCTGAATTCTTGGCATATCGGCAAAAATGAAGCATGTACTACTGTACAGGACGCTTGCAGTAATTACAAACGGAGATGTGGCAGCGGAGCGATGTCAACTCGAACAGCCCCGAATCATTCCGTCGGGCCTCAGGAGCCTGAGCTTCTCCACGAAGTCAAGATCCTCCTGTGAACTGTGACTGCGTGCATTGACATGAGGATGTGGAAGTTCAAGGTGTGCGCTGCCTAGTTATGCACATGTGGCATGTCAGCAGTTTGAAACGAAGCTCATGCAAGAAGCCGTGGCAAACTCTTGTGCCTGCGAAAGTTGCAACCATGCTACCAGCAGTGACTACCTGCAGCCATGGCGCCGGATATTGGGTGCCCCAGCGGTCAATAAACCTCTGCCGTCCAAGGCTTCGCTTCGTCCAACAAGTGTCTTTCTCTGTAATTCCGCAAGGTTTGATACGGTAACAATTGACAAACTCAAACTCCAGTTTCAACTCTCCAAACTCCAAGCTCGAGAGTAACGCATTCCAGCAGCATCGCATCGAACCAGGGTGCTGTGGGCCTTTCTTGCTGTCTGCCTCACAAAAGGCTCTGTCAGTTGGAGGCTTAGTGGCTTAGTGCGCTCTGAAGCTTACTTCTGTTTTTGAGGAGCTTTGCATAATTCATTTGGTGATGCTTATCATTGTGGCGGGTGTTTATCTCTACTGTCACTTTTGGGCGATCTTGCTCTTGCTCCTGCTCTTGCGCCTGCCTTTGCTGCTGCTCCTGAACCCCCCTGATCCAAATTGGGCTTTTAAGGCGGTGATGACCTCAAGTGGATTTTCCGAAAAGTGTTTTCATTGTTTAGTTAGATACAAGGGGGATTGATTGACTTCGGAATCCTACAAGTGCGACGTTCCTCCATATAATGATGAAATTCGAAACACAACTGAAGCGACCCGAACCTCCAGAAAGCCCTATAACTTCACGCGGATCTGCGGCGCCACGCGGAACCCAATCGCGGGTTAAAGTGTAGAGTTTGAAGTTGGGGCGCTAGGGGCCTTGGGGGCCTTGGGGCTTTGGGGGCGTTGGGCTCGGACGCGTGCGTGACGCGTGCGGCGGGCGGTGCGTTGCAGGGAAGCCCAGGCCGGGCCATCCGGCCCATGGGCTCATGAAAAAAGCCCTAGGGCCAAGGGTGCAGGGCCCTACAGGGCCTAGGGCCGTAGAGAGGAGACTCTCACTCCCACACTTAAACGAGGACGGAACCAGTGCCAAGCATTGCCAAGCCCTTTTACAGCGGAAAAAACCCTAAAGCTGCACAGCGTCGCTTCATCAACAGCGGCAGGAGAAGCCTTGGTAGATCGCCGCAGTGCGCTCCGTATCGCTTGTCGTGATCTGCATTCCAACAGTGGCCATTAACGCACTAACTATCGACAATACTTGTCGAAGCGCTGCACAACTCTCGTGCAAGGACCCATATGCCCAGCATCCAAGAGTGCAAGCCAGAGCAACTACAATCTCAACGGTGGTCCGGTGGTCTTAACGTTCCTCAACCCTCCCCCCCAAAGTGTTTCGATGTTCCGTTCTGTTCCGATATTTACGCAGGGAAGGCCAAAGTCAGGTCGTGATTGGGAAAGCAAGCTTCCAAAGCGAACAACCCTTGGTGCAGCCTTGCAGCCGCGAGTGTCCCGTCCAAACGCGAACTCTTGTGGAAAGGCCCGCATGCGCAATGATGCCTCCGAGGAACCCCTCATATTGCTTGACATTGCGATTCAGCTCTGTAGGTCTGTGCCTCGTGCAATCGCAACGAGTACAGGGTCGATCTCAATGGACGTCACCTGAACGAGCCGCGCCAGCCTCACTCACTCCCCTGCCGTGCCTCCACCGTGTCAGTTATGCATGTCGAACCACATCTCACTCTCCCGATACGCAGACCTTGTCATTGTGCTGAGTGCTGAGATACACTGATGACTGAACCCGAGCAAAAGAGCCCCATCCGCCAACGTGCCTGCCCTCCGCCCTGGAGGCCTGCGCGGAGCTCGCCGTGACGATTGAGATCGCCGAGTAGGAGCAATATGTCCCGATCCTGTGCTCGCGACGGACGTCAACACTTCAAGATCTGTGTAATTTTCTAATGCTTATATAGTGTACTTTCCGTTTCGTGTCAGAGTCTGGTAAACGTTAAACACTTCTACTTTTCGAACTACCAGGTTGGCAGCCCCCGTCAGCATCTCGCTGTTCGGGACGAGGGTAGAGGGCGGCGGGCATGCAAAGACCAGACTTTATCCTGCCAAAAGGATAATTTGCATTCAAAATCCACTGTGCGGGTGCCGAAAGCACGCCGCAACATCATATCGTTCACACACAATCAATCACCCCACACAGATACATGTAGTCCAAAAGACTTATATCAGAGTACGCCATCCTTCCGAGAGCTCCGCCCGTTTCGATGCACATTGGTCCACTCCACCCCCTTGAGTTCAGATGCGAGAACATCCTCCGTGGCCTCCCAACGGCGGACAGCAGTCTAGCAGAACGGGGTCGAAATGATGGCAAAGCCAACTTGTGCCGAAGCTCTCTAGCACCTCTGGCGACCCTGCGGTGCCAGTGGGTGCGACACCACGGAGAGCTGCTAAAAGGCTCTGCGCCTCTCAGAGGCGGAATATCTCCGAGAAGATCTGAACCGGAGTGGTGAGCAAGCCACTTCTGCAGCACACAATGAAGCATCTACGTGTTTGCATTCTCAGGCTTCTACAGAAGGCCGTCCGAAGCTGCTCAAGTCCCCGCCTTGCTGCCGCCTGCGAACTTCGCCTCAGCTGCACAGGCACCGGTGGCTCGAGCCAAACTCCCATCAGAACTACACAACAAGGTGCAGATCAGATAGGTGTGCAGTGTGAAGGCAACGCGGCGCTACATGCTCCAATTCAACAGCCCAGCGTAGCCCAACCATGGTCGAAACACGTGACACAACGCAGGCACGAACCTACCGCTTCTCCTTCCCAAAGCTAGCAACAGCTGTCTCAGTTTGGCTTGTCACCGGTTCCGGCAAATTGAAATCCTGCGCCTCCTCGAGTGCCAACTCTGGTGTATCGAGCTTTTGTGCTTCAGATTGTGCTTGCGAACAGCCGAAACGATCCAACCTCAATCTCCTCGCGGAACAAGGCCGACTGTCTGATATGCTTCGATCTGCTATTAACTCTGGATCGCGTTTGACCTTTCGTCTCTCACTGTTGCCCGGTCGACCATTTGGTGTCCATGTCTCAAAGGTTTGTACCTGCGTCCGCTCCCAAACCCCTGGATCGTCTCAATGCTGAAATTGGGAACCCTTCTCGCTTGGGCTTTCGAATGGCCCATGCGCCAGCTTCGCCAAGCTCTTGGCCGAAATCACCCATGGCCTCGCCAATCCGCGGTGGTCAACTCTAATGATGTCGGGTCAGAATCTATGCACACCGCTCTTTCGTGACAGTCGAAACTATTCGAAACTGTTATCTTGAGTTTTTGCGGTTCCGAGGTAGAACCTCCCGGCACGCTTGGTAGACAGCTTTCAGTTTGCATCAGCCACACATCCGGAATGAACATCGGTCACTCAAGAAAACCTGTGCAAGCCAAGCAATTAATTACTACACCGCCGATACGATGGCCATCGTATGTTGTTAAATAGGCAGAGCTGGCATTGCCTATATCCCGACCATCCTCATTACGGACATGTAAGCTGGTGGTTTGCCTGTTTGGCCTCGCTCGGCCCAGCATCGGTGGCTCCTGTCGCATCCCTTTCGCGCAGGTATCTGAGGCTTCGGTGCATTGCGGCGCAACCTGCGATCTTCCCTGCTCAGGTTCGCCTCCAGCACGGCATCTGGTGAGTTGGGCTCGACGCGAAGAGCACGGCGAAGAAGAGACAGCTCCTATACCGCGGGAAGGAGAATGCAAAAAGAGCTGACATCGACGTCAGTCTCCACTCTTGCTACAAATCCCTCAGTACGGGAAGAGTGCACTTGCAAGGTTAAAGCGACAGAGACTTGGAGGCTTCAACTGTAGAAACTGTGCTCGAAGAATCTGCCATGCGCCCTGTCAATTAAACCCATGCTGTACAGACGGCCGATGGCTGCCATGGAAAATAATCGGAATCTCCGGACTGGCCAGACTTACAATACCTGCACGCCACCGAGCTCACAAAAAGGCCGCAGAGCCTTTCGATACGACGATGACCTGAGCTTCGTGGTGTTTTTCGGAGCCGACAGTTTTCAGCACTGTCCTAGAAGACTCAAGACTGGTCTCAAGTGTCGTGGCGGCGGCATCCTCCGGCAACCCTTGATGACAGGACAGGAGGCGCTCGAGTGATTGCCATGGTGGGAATGCTCGGCTGCGCTGAGCCAAGCAGCCCTGGCTTGGCATCAGGTTTTGCACCGCGGGGGATGTTTCTGCCGTCTTTTTGCTTCGAAGGCGGCGTTGGGACTCCTCGTCATGAAACTAAAGCCCCAGCATTTGCCTGTCTCGCCTCGATACATGGGGCTTACTCTTACAAGGACAAGATTCCAAGCATTAAACAGTCTCCCAAACTGGCAGGGCAGTTCGTCTCCGGAGCCTCCAAACCTTGGGCTGTACACGGCTGTACGAAAAGACTACAGACCATATTTAATCTTGCTGCTGAACACTCAGAGGTCCATTAAGGCTACTTCGCTTGAATCTTGAAGTTTCTATACACTCAAACTTCCAACCAGTTTGACACATCAATTGTGGCCACAACTCTGAAACATGATCCGCCAGTCAGAATCCACAATCTCATTCCCCGCCCCTTTGGGAGACCTGCGCTGGTCTTGCGCAGCAAGACGGCCACTTCTTCTGGGAGTGCGTCGGCAACTGGCCAAGGCATGCGACGTTCACCATGTGCTTCAAACTGAGAGAGTCCGCCGTACAGATCTCGAGGCGGCTACGTCATACCATGCGCGACTCGGTGTCAAAAGGCAGAGTATCAACCTGCCATGTCAAGCCAAGAGGCGCCCCGACAGCACACAGCGCTCCTCCTCTTTATGGCATATTTTTGGGGGCTTCATCGGGAGCAAGGCTCGAGGTTCAGGTGCCACATTACGCAACTATCCGCTGACCACGCTCAGCCGAAGGCCTAACCAAAAGTCCTTCAGCCATGTTGGGCATCTGAGGCGCTACAACTTTGCTCCGAACTCCAACTAGCTGAAGCAGCTAGTCCTGCAACCTGGGATATGTCTCGACAACCCTTCATGTTGCCAGGCCCGGACGGCACCAAACTGTGAAATGCTGAGGCAGAAAACGCAAGAACAAAATCTCACAAAGCTCTGGCCTGATCGTGACCGTGTTGCTCACAGGCCATCAGCAAGGCCTCGAGGCCAGCACGGTATGGTAAAAGTAGAACCGACACCGCTACCATTTCACAATCAATGCTTACGATCCAAAATGCTGTTCGCAACGTCTGTTTTGCCTTCACGTACGCACCAACACATGGCCCGCGGTTCGTACTGAAAGCCGCTAAGCAACAGTCACATCATGCTGACGAAATTGAAGTTGATTCGCGATTCCGTTCTGCCAGCTGGAAGCTGCATTTTGTCGTGCTGATGCCCACAGGTCTCCACCATAACAACAGCCCCAACAACCACAGCAACAATCACAACCACACCACAACCCCAACCCCGACCACAACAACAACAGCAGCAGCAACAAGAACAACAAACCAGGCATAACAGGGGAAAGCTGCAGCAATCACAACCACGTGATCAACCAACGACTACAAATCGACTCCAACAAGCAATCGCTACAGGGCAACCACAGGATCATCAGCAAACGCCATCATCGCTACTGCAACCCGCCACAATCACCACCACAACCACACCAGCAAAGGGAAAACATGCCAGCAGAAATGCAAACCACGGCGTAACCACCATTGCTCAGACGCAAGGGCAGCCGCACGTTCGAACAGGACTTTGGCACTCCCAGAAGTCGGCAAAACCAGGCGAGACAATGAGGCACAAGTGACAAGTCCAGCCATCCAGCCACTTGCCAACATGAGACCCACTACGCCACTTTGGGCGAAGCTTGCACGGGTGCCGAAGCGACGAGGCTCTCTCCAGATTGAACTGGGGACGCTCGTCTGTGTGCCTCATCACGTTCGCACACCCTCAGCGACCCTTGGCAAGCAGAGTGACTCGGAGGCGGATGCAGCCTGGTACGTGCTGCAAGTGGCGAGCTGATCCTGGGCTCGTAGGGCATGCTGGCAGACCAGCTTTAAGCAGAGACTGGCGAGCAAGAGCCCCGGCATCCCACCTCCATGTCACCCTGCTACCTTACTCCGGCTTGCATCCGGGAAGCTCAGGAGCCAAACGGTTTCAACGGATGCCCTGTTGGCCATATCAAGGGCCAAAGGACACCTCTAGCACCTACTGCAGCTAAAGTCCTATATACGGTCCTAGACTGGGCATTTCTGTGGCCCGAGAAATTTAGAGGAGGAAGTCAATGGACGAAGTCAATGGCCAGACTGTTAGTCGATCTTTGGCTGCAACAAATCAGTTCGATGGCCCGGCTTTTTCCCGACTTTCCTCTTGGAGAGTTTCACGGCCCCAACCAATGAGTCTAGAAAAAGTCATGCCGCCGCACGTGGTTTTAGAAAGATACCTACGGACTTTCGACGCACCATCACTCTGTGAACATCTGACTAAAGTGATCACGGACCGCTGTTCGTTGGAGTTCGGTCGAAGTCGACAATCGGGGCCCATCTTCTTATGAACATCCACGGGCACGGATTCGCAGCTCGTTGGGCGAATTCTCACTTTGACGCAGAAACTGCTAGCCTCTTCGCGCATGAGGGCTGTCAGTGACCGATAATCTGATGCAGACATGCCTCGACTCAACTTGCAGTTGATGGTCCTGCTCTGCCTGTGCCTGTGACCTTTCACCACGAGCTGCAACCCGCAGTCGCGTGCGGCCCCTTGCCGTCGGATTCGGATCCTCCTCTATTCAATCAATCGTTCGGTACGGCCATCAATCCGCTAGGTCTGACATCAGCCGTAATGAATCTCTGTTTATGACCTGTGGATGCACCTCGGATTAGATAAGTTGGTACGACCGAAGGTGAGGTCATCGCCATCCGCAGCTGCTTGGGCGTGACTGTCGGACAAGTCTACCTGCTGCTGTAGCTTCTTTATTAGCCTCCAGTCTTGCGTCAAGCTATCGCGGATGCATCTACTTCCGGCAGGTGCCAGTTGTCGAAAGGCTGTTGACCAGGACCAAGCAGGATGCAGGCAAAGCAGCTGCCTGAGAAGTTCATCCCCGCCGCTGTTTTTGAGCTCTGGCTGCCCCTCGAGAATGGGCAGCCAATCCAGTCCCTGTCCATTTCGGGAACATGCGACCGAAATGGCGGAGTTTAGTACCCTCTGGCCAGTTCCAGTAGGACGGCGTGCCCAGCAGCCGAAGGATCCTAAACATCGTGTCAATCTCGGAGTCTCCTGGGAATAAGGCGCCTGCACGACTTAAGGTGCGACTGGTGGCCGTCTCCGCGATCACACAGCCGGCTGACCAGCAGTCCACTTCAAAGCCATAGTGCTTTTCCCCAAGCAGTAGTTCCGGAGGCCTGTACCACAGAGTTATGACTGCTGTAGCACACGGGGCTACGTCCGATGAGCGCGCCAAACCGAAGTCTGCGATCTTCAGCTGGCCGTCGGTACCCAGGAGGATGTTCTGTGGCCTGAGGTCGCGTTCCTTGTGAAGGTCTGTCGGATGAAGCTCGAAGATGAGCCGAATGTCGAAAAGCCCGATATGCATCACGTCGATCATTTTCACAACGTTGGGATGCCTCAACTTGCGCAGGAGAGCCACTTCACGAAGAGTCTGTGGCGAGATGCCATTGTTCAACACGTCCACGTGGTCATAGTGCAGCTTTTTGATGGCCACGGCGTGCTCGGCCCATGTGACCTCACCATAGACGCCCTTGCCAATTTCACCAGGTAGTCACCGCATCGGGAAGGCCGCAACACGTTGGGCAGCGTCCCGGCACCGCAGCATTTCCAGAAACTCCGGAAGATCCAGGCTTCGTGGAGTTTCGGCCATCGCTACCTCCTGGCCCAGCTGTCTCAGCTGTCTGCTCGCCGATCAGCCGTGGGCTGCAGATGGCCCTGCGATGCTTTCTATGGCTGCCTGGGCCAAATGGCTGAATCATGTCAGGCGAGTCAGCCATTCAACATACGACGACCTTCCATGTCTTCGTCCAGCATGAGCCAAAGGGCCGTGGTGCCGGGACCTTGGGTCGGACGAGGACATAGGGCCACCGCCAGCTGCAGCTGGTCAGCCTGAGGCAAGCTTCCTTGAGCTGCGGCTTTTCTTCTCCGTCTCTGGCCTCTGCAAGCGCCATAATGGCCAAGTCCTCCGCATCTGCCTCAGCCGACCCAGTCTAAACCACTCCTGGAGCTTCATCCCCCAGCTGCCTGAAACATCCCCAATTTACTCAGAGGGTTTCCAGTTGCTTTTGCAGAGGCGCTGGCCCTGGCTGACAAGACTCAGATGCAGACTCCTAATGAAAGTATGCAGCACAGATGCAGGGAAAACCTCATGGGCCCGAGATCCTTGTCCTCTGAGCATGAGCTGAACGAAACACATTCGCTAGACCCCATGCAACCATGCACTGCGTGAGACTTCAGAGACTTCCCAAACATGTTCTCGTCGCAGATGCCCCCCGAACGTCCTCTAACCGAACTCCGAACCCTCGAGTCGCTGTTGAAGGTGCCCATTGAAGAGAAAGTACGAGTCGCAGGAGTCAAGGGCATGTAGGCCTAAACACATCCCAGAGCTTCCTTTAAGACGCCAATCACCCCTCTGTGCAGGCACGGCTTTGTAATACGAGCCTGCTCGCCACGTCAAAGGCATCAGCGATTGCACAAGCCTGCAACTGCGCCATGGATCCTCTTCGAGGGTCAAAGCGCCCGACACAGCTTCCCCGGCAGAGCCTGCCATAGCAGACCTGACCCGAAAAGGAACATACTTGCTGCAACTCCCACGGAGACCGCTCTTGGAAGCAGCTTCCAGAGTCTATGAACAAGAACCTGGGCTCACAGTCCGAACCAAGCCCGTCTTTCGGTCTCTATCCACAAATTTACGGGACCCTGAACCTGCGTCAACTCTAAAGCACATGCCCGTGGTTGCTCGGCCGGCTCAGAACAGCTGGTGGCCATTTAGCCAATGCTTCCTGGGTCCGTCGCGCTACTCGGTTTAGTGGGCTGGCGGCTGCGGTTACCTTCTCCACGTTCCAAGCTACAGTCAGAAGTTCGCTGTAAAGTTGTTAGAGCTGCGAAGTGAACAGCGACAGCAGGAGCTGGATGGCTTGCCAAGGTCTGTTTGACAAGCATCCTCAAAAACTCAACCAGAAAATGCTACACGAAGCAGACCTTGGCCAGGAAGGCAAGCAGTGAACAGGCCAGTAGGCGACATGACGGCACTTCTCGCACACTCCCGATCATGCGTTTTGCCGGCCGGAGCCACGAGTATGAGCCTGCCGGCCTACCGAGTTCTGGCTCGCCAGCAAGTTTTCGACCTATCGCTTCGGACTAAGCGGTGACAGTTCCAGCGAATCGCTGACAACCAACTTTGCCTGGGATTCCGGTCCGGCAATGGGAATCATCAAGAGTCTCAATTTTGGATTGATCATCCCACACAAGCTTCCTGTATTGCCGAAATCCTGAATCTCGAACTCACCAAAGCAGGAGAATTCCGAAGATGGGGAACACGGATGGCCGCCCCATTATGATCATCTGACCTGATGTATTGTGACAACCGTTGTGTTTAGCCCCTGCCTTCCACCGAGGCGCACTGGCTGGACCATCCGGGGGCAGCTCCAAAAGCTCCACCTCTCAAGGCCCCTGGTACTTCGCTTGCTGCGCACAGTGCTCGGCTCCGAATCCTCTTCCGGCCTTGCGTTTGCATCCTTCATCGGATGTTGGATGCAGAACGACTCACTTTCCCCACAGTAGAACACACAAAAAAAACAGAACATCCTCGATACACAAGTGGCTAAGTGGCATCTCTCCGAATCCGAACTATTATGGAACTGGCCTTTGTTCTGCCAGCTTCGGTGCCGCCAACTCTTTGGACGGCAGTGCCGCTACTGGCGAACTCGCTGCTTTCTTCCGGCCTCCAACTCAGGCTTTTGTTGCACGCCAGGCTTCTCACTTGCGCATGATGCCCGACAGACTGCAAGGACTGACTTTGGACTCTTGGGAAGGTGGGCCCTGTTGGAAAGCTTGTGGTCTCATCACAGCTCTTTGACGATACGGATTGAGAACGATCCGGCTCAACGGGCGCGAGACGAGAATCTGCAATATACTAATAAACCCTACCCTAGTCAAGCTGAATCAACCTGCGGGGCGACGATCGATCTTCCCACCTCAAGCCGGCGAGCTTCTCGATAAAGACCTTCCGATTCGGCCTCCCGATATCGCCTGATGTGCAGGAAACACGACCCTTGGACAACCTCAAACGGCTTCAGTGGACACATTCCTCCGGGGCTCCGCTGGGCCTGGCTTCGGTGGAGTGCCAAGAAAGCGATAGCAAACTCTGAGTCTTCGCGTCTTCGTATGTGCGAGTGGCAAAGCTTGCAACCTTATTCTGTTATGCTCCAATCTTCTCTTTCGACGAGGATCTGATCAGAACTGCACAGTTCTGCTGCCGCGCTTCAACCACACGCTGCGCCATAGCCTTGCCAGAAGCAGCATCGCTGTGAAAATGCTACGGTAGCAACTGTCCAGTCATCATCAGAACAAGCACTGGGTGCACTATGATGGCCCGACACCGTATCCCTATAGCTACTGCAACCGATGATGTGGACAGGGGAAAGAATGCAGATCTCTCTCCCGAAGATCGGAAGCAAAAGCTGCCACTGCAATTGACCAATTTACAGCTTGGTGCATGCGTGTGTGCAACTTTAGTGTACTTCTACGGGGCGAGGACTAGCGATTCGCGCGACTCCCACAACTAGACGATCAGCAAGACACAACCAAGAGAACACGCCTGACATGGCCCTTCGAGCAAGCCTGGTGCTAGGAGGTGTCATCTATGCATGAGGGAAGACTTTGTGAAACAGACGCCCGCAGGAAAAGACTGCGATGGAACCAACGACTGGCTTGTAGACGGCGAGGTAGTCAGAAAGAAGGACACTTTGTGTGATGCCAGAGAGATCATGAAACATTACAAGTATACAACCTAAACCCAATTGTAGTTCGAAACCCGCACTCTCTGCTTTTGAGGACATTCTACTGTGCAAGGATTGGCATGTGCAAATGGCTGGAGCTTCTGATGTCTCATCCCAATCGAGGGGGCTGCTACGATGCTAGCGGTCTACCCAACTGCGCATGAAGTCCCGGTAGCTTTTTCCACTTTGAAAGGGCTAATTGCTGAGCATTGGCACTCTTTCCAGTCCCTCCCTTCGACTCTTTGGAAACCAGAGCCTCTGCTGTTTGCTTCTCGTAGAGGACATCAGAGGCTAGGACAAGGTCTGCCTGGCAGGCTCATTTGGTGTATACTATACACACAGATACTTAGGTAGATAGGCAACTACTCTTTTGCTTGCTTGTTTATTTGCTTACTTATGTGACCTACAAATATAAACATACATATATATATATATATGTATATACATATATGCATATGTTATATAGACAGATGGATGGATAGATTTGTCGCTGATTTACGCTGCACCTCTATGTGTGTGTGTATATATATATATAATTTAAACTGTATGTGTGTATACATATATATATACCCAATGAGCCATGTACTACACATCACTCATATGTTAGATGGGGCCCCGGCCCACTAATAGTTCAACAATAGGTTTATTATCAAACAGACAGGCCAAAAGTAGCACAAGGAAATCTGATCTCATTCGGCTTTCCAGGGCCAGGCAGTGTTTTGAATCCAAATATGTTTGGCATAGTTTGGCGATTAGGGCTGTGAGATGCGGTCGGACCGGCGAAGAGGTTGGGAGGAGCTATCTGCAGCTTACCAGCGCAGAGGTTTGGAACCACGGTTTCGTTACCATCGCAACCTGGGCCCAGAGACCTTCTTTCAGACGGCCTGGACGCGGGGACTGGACTGGCCCGGCCGCCAGAGAGACAGAGCAAAACTAGCACCAGAAAAGCAAAAAAAAAAAGCACAATCGGACCAAGTCGAGCACAAGAAAAGCACAACAGACAGAGACAATTTTGCACCAGAACTGCCGCGCGCCAATGTGTTTTGAAATCATGGAGCACAAAAAAAAAGCACAAACATACAAACACGTTTGGTTTTTGGAGCACAAGAAAAGCACAAAAAAAAGCACAATCGGACCGCGCCGAGCACAAGAAAAGCACAACAGCCGGGTCGTTTCGAGCACAAGAAAAGCACAAAAAAAAGCACAAACATACAAACACGTTTGGTTTTTGGAGCACAAGAAAAGCACAAAAAAAAACAATCGGATCGTTTCGAGCACAAGAAAAGCACAAAAAAAGCACAAACATGCAAACACGTTTTCGGAGGCGAGCCCCCCAAGCCTGCGTAGATTGCAGAAAGAGTACAGGCAAAGCACAAGAAAAGCACAACAGCCGGATCGTTTCGAGCACAAGAAAAGCACAAGAAAAAAGCACAAACATACAAACACGTTTGGTTTTTGGAGCACAAGAAAAGCACAAAAAAAAAGCACAATCGGACCGCGTCGAGCACAAGAAAAGCACAACAGCCGGGTCGTTTCGAGCACAAGAAAAGCACCAAAAAAAAAACACAATCGGACCGCGTCGAGCACAAGAAAAGCACAACAGCCGGATCGTTTCGAGCACAAGAAAAGCACAAGAAAAAAGCACAAACATACAAACACGTTTGGTTTTGGGAGCACAAGAAAAGCACAAAAAAAGCACAATCGGACCGCGTCGAGCACAAGAAAAGCACAACAGAAAAGAGGTTTCTGTGATCGAAATGTCGCGCCCGGGTACGCCTCTCAGTGCTAAACTTGGTCGAAGAGGCCAGACCCCGGCCCGGCCGTTCAGCTTTCCAGCCCAGCCCCCTCAGCCCCCCCCAGCACCCCCAGCCCCCCCCGCCCCGCCCCCCCTAGTCGCGCAGAGGCATTGCAGCTCCTGATGTTTGCTCAAGATCGAATCCGAGAAAACAACAGGGGTGTGACTGTGTTTGCAACTCATGGGGTGGCAGTTTACTTGTTGTCTCAGTCTTGCGTTTTCCATTCATGCGAGCATGATCACAAACGAGTCAACATTTCAGCATTTCCCTGGTGCTTCATCTTGTGCTTCTGTTTCTGATTGTTTCTGCCCACTCTTAGTGAGGCGGGGCCGCACACAACTCATATGCTTTATGCTATACTTCTTCACACCCCTCCTAGGCCTTCGGCAAAGGTTGGCCATGATCGCGAAGGTCCAGAAGCCGGGTCTCCAAGCGCTCCGCCACTCCGAGTCGCTCGGCCGACTCCTGCAGAGCGAAGAATGGAAAGCTTTGGACAAACATGATGTGCATGTAGGGGTTTTGGATCTATCTTGGTTTTGGGACAGCCCATGTAGATCACTTCGGGCCGGAGTCGAAACTAAAGGGCCGGTTGAGCGATATCTTCCTTTACAGCACCGAGCTTAATTCGCAAGCCAGCTTTGGCTTAGGTTGTACCGGCAGCCCCTGCCATACTTCGTGACAAGGACCAGTGTCTGCACGCAACTTCAGAATCAATGATTCTATGAACTCAACCTCCAGGCAGTACCGTAGCAGTAACAGCGGTAGCAGTGAAACAGTTCCGAAGTCAGGAGTGCCGAACATCTTGCCGAAGCAAGACTGCCCAACACGGCGTTCCTGAAGCAGCTGCAAAGGAAGTTCTCGGAAGTCGGTGGCGACCACCTCCGCCGGGGCACTTTCGTTTGTTACAAGCGGGCAGCCCAGAAAAACAAGGCGCTGCGATTGGTCGAACCAAAAGATGACCACGCATCGATTCGCCGATGGTGCAAAGTGCAAACGTCGAGTAACGCCTCTGATCGCTGTCTTTTGAACCATTGCCACCAAGACTTGCTCCCCCCGCGCCCGAAATCTTGTGTTGGCCAGGTCAATTTGCTAGTGATGAAGGCTACATCAAGTCGGCTGATGCACGCGGATGACATGCTGTGATTGTCGAGCTTTCCAAGCCCCTTCGAACTGCCGAAGTCCCCTCGTTCAAGTCTTTGGCCTCCATGTCCAGGCTTAGCAGAGCAAGGGATGCCAAGCCGCAGCCACAGCCCAGCTCAAGGGCTCCTTGACGCTTGACGCTACATAGCAGACATATCATCCTACCCGTTAGGCTCAAGCTCACAGGTAACCTCTGACCATCTCTGACCCCATGGGCCGAGACCAACTTCTAAGCATTGGCCCAGGTGCGCAAGCGTTCTCCGGAACCTGCCAAGAAGACATTTGGGCTCACGAGTAAACCCAAGTGTCGTGCCATGCAGGTAGCCATTGGCAGAAAACACAAGACAAGATCAATCTACGGAAGGAACGGAACCTGACCACTGAAAAGAATACCACGCATGTGGGGTGGATGTGAATTATGACCGGACTCGCACTGCGACATTGTGAGGCCGGTCTTGCAGCCTCCGCGGACAACCAACCTGCAGCATTGAAAGTCCGTGGTTTATGGCACCTCTGCGGCGGCAGGAAAGAACCAAGCGTCGCGGCCCGCCTCGGGCCCGGAGACCGTAGGCCGCGGCAGCCTGCGCCAGGACCTGTGCAGCCGGCCAAACCTTGGAGAGGCAAAGGGGACTTGTCGAACTCTAGCGCTGGGGATCAGAGCTTCCCTTACTTTCCGGGAAGGAGCAGTGGCTTGAGCTATCCAGCACATCAAAATGTCCGACAGTAGAACTTGGCCCCAATCTTCATGGTATCAAATCCAGGTTTGATGGCAGACTCTCTGCTCATCCCTGCGAAAAACAATGGCCTTTTTACTGCTCATCGAAGCCATGTCCTTGTGCCTGCTCTGAAACGATGGTCCAGCAGAGGCGAGCCTGTGTGTGGGTTGTTGCAGCAGCCGAGCAACTGCCATGCCATACGGGTCGGCTTCCACGCATGTCTCCTGGGTCACGACAGGGTCGGAGAGGGACTCACGACATTCCGAGCGTGTTTTGCAGATTCTGCAGGGGTCTGCAGGGACATACCGAAGCTCCCAGGGCCCGACACCAAAGCATCGAATCTCCAAAGCTATGAATGTTTGGAGCAGCCTGGGCTCATCCTCCTCATTGCAGGCTTCTTCGATCAATGTCTCCTACAGACGGAGCTTTGGCTCATTTAGATTTGACTGGCTGGGTTAGGGCAAGAGTACGTAGGCCCCTCGGACTTAGCAGCCGAAAGTAGTTTGGCACATCCTGGCAAGTTCTGGACTCGGAATTAGGACGGCTGCTGCAACTCGGTATACAGTTGAAGTGTTGGCTCCAACCCCTAAGTGTCCTACGGAGGTTAGAGCGAAGAGGTGACGTGAGATACATTCTGCCAAAATCCCAAAGCGTTTGCCCTAGGGCGAATGCCTGCCAATCCACAGACGCTTCAATGAGACGCAGGCTGCAGGTTGGAGCCACCCGAATCTCCACTTCCACCTTAGTCGGTGCAAGACGGTGTGCCGTCTTGGGCTCGCTGCCCATGAATGTCGATGCCTTTGAGGGCTCTACCAGTATCTCTACCTCGAAGGCTACTTCTCATGGCTGTGGCGTTTCATTAGACGGAAGCAACTCAAGACTGTTCAATCTGGAGACATGCAAAGCCGGACGTGCTACCAAGTGCGGCTGGGGTCCAGGATTGGGGACGCTGCAGCCAAGGAGCAGCGTGGGGAAAGCGGTTGCTCGTCCCCCTTGCAGTTCTGGAGCACCTGATGAGACAGCTCTACAGTAGAAATTCTAATTAGCAGCTTTCAAACTTGAGCTGCGCTTCGACGGGACGGGCGTCGCAACGCGTGGCTCCGAGGTCGTCACCGCGCCTCCGGGCCGTGGCTGCCGTGGCCGCCAGCGCTGCGAGCCCCAGAGGGGAAAGGCGCAGGTGATGGCGGTGGACTGCCAAGACCACAACGAATATGTTGTGGCCCAAGACTAGCCTCTCTCTCTCTCTGGCTAGCCTACATATGCAGATTTATTGCATGTGTGCATGTATGCATGCATATAACCCTGCGACCGATTTCATTGCTTGTTGGAGCACAATCACTGTTTCAGGAGATTGCGCAGGATGGCTTGCGAATTTCTGAGCTGTTTGTGAGATTCAGGCTACAAGTTCAGGTTTTCATCCGGCAGGTTTGATTTCTTGAGGTGGCGGCTCCTGCAATTGGAAGGGGGTGGTGCTGCAGACGGAATGATTGGCCAATTCTAGTGCGGCACACTGCAGCAGGGACCAGAAGTCTACAAACGGAGACTCAGTGCCTGGGCTGTGGATCCTGTCCCTTTTGGGGGGAATGCCCCTTCGCGGCGGGTTCCATCGGCCAGCGTCGCGGCCGAGCGGCCGAGGTCGCAGCGCAAAGGCCATAACAGGAGGGAAGGGAGGGAAGCGTGCGATTCGCGATTTATGGGGTGGAAAGCTGACGCCTCTGACCTGCATGACTGCTGTCCTGGCTTGCCATCTTTCCTAGCTGCATCTGCTGCACTTGTCAGCGGGTGGTTACAGGATATCACAGGAACTGGCTCAACCCAAGAGGCTGTGGAAGCACTCGATATTAAAGCCATGAACAGTGTATTGGTGAAGTAGGTTGTAGCTTCCAGTTGCAGCCTTTTCTCATGTTCAAGCCTGCACTTGCAGAATGTTCGTGGGCTTGTGGCCTTGAGGACGGAGCCGAGTTTACCCTCCCTGAGCAAGAATCAGAACCGAGTTGGACCTGACCACGGACCTCTACGTCAGGAATCGTAGGGCAGAGTGAATCCTCCACTGGACGGGTTTAAACTGAGTAGAGTTCGTGTAACGGACCGTAGCAAATCTGCAGAACACATTTGCTGACAGGGTTCCGTGGAATGCAACCGTAATTGGATTGGATGTCTTAATAAAGACCACTCCAAGTTGCACAAGAGATGCCCTGCTTCCGCATATCCGCAACAGTCGCCAAAGCGCCTTCCCAGCTGCCTTCCGAAGCTCCGAAGCTCGGATGTCTCTGAAACACTGCACGCTCGGAAAATATATGGAGCGTATCTGGCCTGCAAAACCATTGCAGCCAAAAGACCCACCCAAAACTGAATAAACTCAAAGCACCGACTTGGACACCTACCTCCTGTGACGTGTGCCAAACTGACAGCATTCGGAGTCATTACGCCCCCCGTGTCAAGCAACAAAGCCATTAATCCATCGAGCGATCAGGGCGGAGGCATTGCTTGGCTACAGCGAGGCATGTAAGTTTTGCCAATCATCTACTCAGTCGCTCGAACTCCAGCGGGTCGGGGCTCCGGTGTCCAGAATCGGTCCGGACTTGCTAGGCTTTGAAGGCTGCTGGATTCGGGGATGTTGATTTTAGGCCTCCGGGCTTGGCCGAACGAACATACCTGCAATTTCTAATCTAGATGGCACTTTACACATCTCATTCAGAACGAAACCACACCCCCCGATCCCCCCAAAAGAGGCTGGGCGCCGGCTCGCTCTTGGCACGACAACACCTGAGTGCAGCAGACACGAAAGGAACCTACACATGGAAACGATGAAACGTGGCATGCTATGGCGGTGTTCCTTCACAACTAGGAACTATAATATGGACCTGCACCAGAATCCCCGTAGTCGCTCGGCCCTGATATGTTGCATTCTTGAGGCTTGAGGCTGATGCGTCCAGTTCTGCTGCCTGGACATTGGATAATCGTCAGTTCCAAGCAAGACCCGGAATCCTCTGCTGTTTGTGGTCTGATACTCGATTACACGTTCGAATCGCCAACGCCCAGCTATCATCACAACCCGATCTTCCAAGATGAGCCCACGCCTGTGCCAGTGCCGACAGGTTACTGTGGTGAAGGTGATCTCATTGGGTAGGATGTTACGACGGCGCATCTCCTCTGGCTCGTCACGCGAACACATGCACGGCAATCTTCCTGCGCTGCAAACGAGCCCACGGCCCGGGAGTGACTCAGCTTGTTGACGATTGAACACTGGTCCTCCATGAGCACCAGGCAAGCTTTCCAGCTTGCACCTCGGATGCAAAGCAGCGATGAGCATTCCAGGATTCTGTTTTACATATACCCCCTCTTTGAGTTGCATCCTTCTGATGAAGAGCACAACTGGGAAGCACTGACTGAAGGCTGCACGATGCCACCGTGCCTACCCATGATACGCATCCGGAAAATTTTCCGGACTTGTGCATGTCTTAACTGTGTGCATGCCTAGTTGCCTCTTGTTGTCTATGTGTGTGCGTGCAGATCATGCCAGCCCGAAGGCTGCTTCGAAAAAGCCAGGAATGATTACAAGGCCGAGCACATCCGCTGGCGATGGCGTTAAAGCTCGCGACGTCCATGCGAACTCCAGAATCCTCCAAGGTGGCCAGGAGGTTCCTCAGCAGCGAGAATAGTTGTGATAATCTTACAGTACGTAGTATCCGTCGTAGTTGCCGTCGTGGTAGTAGTCGTCGTCACAGGGATTAGAAGGTTGAGGAGCAGCGGGGGAGTTCGATGAGTAGGAGTGGAAGGTGTGCGAGTGGGAGCGGCCAGCAGCAGCACCACCACCACCACCACCGGGAGGAGTAGTAGTAGACGACGTCGTGGTGGTAGTAGTAGTAGTAGTTGTAGCAGTAGCAGTAGCAGTAGTAGCAGTAGTAGTAGTAGTAGTAGTAGTAGTAGTAGTAGTAGTAGTAGTAGTAGTAGTAGTTTTTAGTAGTAGTAGCAGTAGTATAGTAGTAGTAGTAGTAGTAGTAGTAGTAGTAGTAGTAGTAGTAGTAGTAGTAGTAGTAGTAGTAGTAGTAGTAGTAGTACTAGTAGTAGCAGTAGTAGTAGTAGTAGCAGTAGTAGTGGTACGGGTACAAGTACATTGCAAGTACTGGTACAAGTATCAGGAGTTTGTTTGTATCAGGAGTAGTTGTAGTAGTTCCGTAGCAGGAGTCGCACTAGTCAATTGTTTGTTCTACCGCAATACAGTACTACACTAGCGCAGCACGACAGTAATGGCAGTAGCTCAAAGCGTTGCCGCTGCAAAGCGGTCTGATAAGATCAGTGAGGCAAGGGCAATCCAAGCGGCGCAGAATGTCTTCCTACAGCCCATGTTGCCATCGAGTGCATCTCGGGAAGGCCTGACTCCTCAAAGGCTTCAATCAAGCACCAACACCCAAGTCACCCAACCTCCAATGAGAGATCAGGCACTTGGCACGTATCCATCGGCCCTCACGCGCCACAGCAGCAATCGCCACATTGCAAGCCACGGTGTCCGGAGGCAACCTGGCCTGGGAGCCACGAATGTCAGGGCTTTGGGCTTCCTTTGGTTTTGGTTCCGGATGAACCAAGAAAGACACCGGGTTACAACAAACAGGGCCCCGAACCCAAAGCTTGTGCGGGCTGCACCCAGTCCGGCACTCGCTCGGCCCATCTACATGTGGAATTACACAGGCAACCTCGCCAAAATTTGCTGCCGCGGCTACAACTTCGACATATGGGCTGGCAGTTCAGAGTCTCGCGTGGGTGCACATTGAGTGTGCGCATGCTGAGCATCCGGGTAAACTGAAGCTTGTTGATGATTTCCGTGCAATTCCCGACGCGACTCAAACGCTCGACCACGCGTGAGAGACGATGCGAAGGACATCCGTCAGACGAAGGAACCCATGTGTATATAATTCTGCACACCCACATCCGAATACAGCATCTTATTCCAGGAACCCGGGATCGTTAGAGCGGCACATCATCGCTCCAAGTCCCTTCTGCAACAACGGAGTGTGGAGACAGACTCACCGATTCATGGTAGCTCTTGACATTCCGACTTCCTGTAGTGCGAAACTGGTCGAGGCTGAAGTTGGAACAAATCGAGTTTGTCGGCTGTAATTGCCGAGCTCAGGTCTCGCACTGTACGCCGTGCGCCATGCACCCGGCTCCAGGACACCCGCATCTTCACTGCCCACCCCTTTGGAGCCAGGAGTCTGCTTCCATGGCATGGAGAAGATCCAGAACGATCGGCCACTTTCCCACCTCTGGAGTTTCTCGAAAGATCGAACTTCGATCAGAGCCGAGGTCTGCTCACAGCTTCCAGCTCTGTCACAAATCGTGCAGAACCCCGCCGTACAAGGAACTCCGCCTCTCTGCATGCACTCATCGCAGTGCTGTAGCTCACCTGCAGCAGTTGTTGGTGGCTCGCCACCACGGTTTGAAGGTTGGGCTAGTGCCTGCGGTTTCCTTGAAGGCCAGGGAGAAAACAATTCATGTGTGGAGGACAGGGGCGTAACGTTCTCGGGTCTTTCTTGGAGACGGCTGACGCGTCCCAAGGTTTTCGATGCCAAAAGATGACTCGCGTTTTGGAACTTGCAGTGACTCAGGCCTCCCGGAGATACTTTTCCACCACGATCCTGTGTAAATAACAGGATGTGAGCACAAATATTCAAGGCGCCGCAGCAGCGTCGCAGGGAACGCTGCACATTATACAACCCCATGCAAGAAGCATTTACCACAGTGCTTGGGAAAACCGACCAAAACCTGCTTAACCTTTCTGCACCTGGTCGGTGCGGAGCTCCGAGTCCAGCATTCTCCGCAGCAAGTGTAGGCAGAGCCGCCACTGTCCGACCGTCACCTGGACAACTGTTCCAAGTAATCAGCATCAAGATTCTCCCACATCACCTATGCAAGTAAATGGACCTTCTTCGCTGGAAGTTCTTTAGGTCAACCGCGCACAAAAGTAAAACACACGTCTTAGACAGTAACGGGACGAATTCGGTCTGTCCAGCGTGCCCGGCCTGGCACTAACGCGCATTCCTGGAGGATCGATCCCCTAAACCCTAATCCGTCCATCCCCGAAACAGCAACAGAGTCTATTGGCAAACCAACCTACGTAGATACAGACTCTCTGCAAATGCCTTCGACGGTTGCTCTTCATTTCTGCAATGTCTCACTTCAGTTAAACGATGTATTCTGCTCCCGGCTTCATGAGATGTTCTTCCCTGAGGGCGAGCACCACTGCATCCTGTGGACAACTTGCACTTACACCTTGCTATAGATGTTGCGCTCGACGACCTCATGAATGCCGACTGCGGCATGTGCCATGCAGGCTATCCCTACAACTACTTGTATACAGGCACTTGAACGCTGTCAGTTCCCATGTGCTCTCACACCACTATCACATAACACCAATGCGCAATGCGAGCACGTGCGGATTTCAGCCCAGCGGAGCCACGCAGGCGGCCATGGCGGCGTTGAAGCTCACCCCATCCGCACGGAGCTTCCGCTTGGGCATCGACCACCTCGACTTTCGGGTCTCCTGTTTTACCGTGTCACCTCACGGTTGCGTCGGATCTTATCTTGCACGGCTCTCAGGCGCAAATGCCTCGGATTCAGCAGCTCGGTCTACACCTAACCGGAACTGCATTACAAGAAGCAGTGTGTCAAGCGCCAGCTGCCACTGTGAGCCTTGCTGGAAACTGCTGCAAATTTATGCTTTATCCTTTGTCGTTCTTACCTGCGGTTGGGCATCAAGCCTGGGGAGCTGAGTTTAGCGGGTGAGATTTTGGGCCCAAATGAGCTTGAGAGAACAGCATGTTGGCGTTGTGAGTTTTGCGTGGCTCAGGAAGGTGGACAGTGAAGCATTGACTGTGCACCAGTTTGTACATGTACGACAACTTCAATCAACAAGACATGCAAGATCTAGAAATCAGCTTTGAGCCGCTCCTATGCTGAGAAAGTTTCTTCAGCTGGGGCATTATCGGACCGCCGACGTTCGTGCGGTCCAAAAATGTCCGAGCTGAGGAGACAGTCTCAGCATACAGCACCATGGCAACCACACAAGTTGATTTGCATGGGAAACAAGGTCGGAATTGTCCCGTCCCCGGAATCCTTTTGGGTAGTGCGAAGCTCCAATGTTTCAGCTTCGCTCTCCCTGAAGCGCGCCAAAGCCTACTCAAGCCGAAGCCTCCAAATCCTTCAAAACCTCAATGAACCTGACTACAATCTACAACTTCGCACAAACTCTCCGACACATGCGGCCTTTCTGGAGGGCGCTGATGGCAGAGTTCACGGACACGGTGGTAGGACGTAGCTTGGTGCTGCTGAGGCGCCCTGGAGTCGAAATCGAAGGCATGTCAATGCCTACCGGATTGGCTTCTTGCAGTGGGACACTGGCCGGGAAGAAGGGTTGCAAGGCACGGGACTAGATACTGTGCCAAAAGAAGACACAGGAGACGATGTAGGGAAGGTTGCAATTTGTTCTGCTGTTCTTGTATGTAGCGGTAGTCTGGAACGAGTCAGGCTCAAGGCACGCAATATGTCCAGGGCCAATCCACCATTGGCTGCATGTTCGCAGGCACTGATGGCAATGTTGTAGCCTGGGCGTGTAGTATATAATAAACTCTGACAATATGACCTTGAGTGCAAACTACGATGCATAGGCTCGACCTCCTTTGTCACTGAAGCACCCGACACCACCAACAACAAGGAAGGCTCAAGCTTGAACCTTTACATCGATTCTGTGCGCAGAGGTGTCTCATGGGGCGACAAGTGGAGGATCAAACACAGTACCCGTCACGACACAAATCTCACAACCCAAGACCCAAACACACAACCTCCAAGACCATACTCATCCGGCTTTGCACATGGCACAACAAAATGCTCCTCAGGCAAGATGCTGATGGTGCTTGGGGCCACTCTTCTCAACGGCATCGTCTCAAGCAGCCTAGCTCCAGGAGTATCATACGCGGCCGCAGCTCTGGGGCAAGTCAAAATTGGCTCTCGGCACAAACCGGAACCCTGCATCTCGGCTTCCAGATGTGGGACTTGGGGAACGTCGACTCAGAACCCAAGCTGCTCGAGTGCCGAGGCCCAGTGGCCGCCCGTCCTGGGCTGGTGATGCGTCGAATCCATGGGCCGGGGGGGATTCTTGGCACCCCCCTGAGGGGAATTGCGGGAAATAGACTTGAAACTTGTAAAGCAGCCATCCGGTGAAAGGACCCGGAGATGCACCTACACAGGTCATAGCAACAGTCTGCACAAGGTTCTGTAAGGGAAGCTCCGACACGACCACAGCTCCGAAAGTTTGGGTGGTATCGCCGGGTCTCAAAAGGGCCACCATCGCAGTGTTCATCGTAATGACCTTTTGGGACGGGTACGACAAGCTTCACACCCAATCTATGCTGGCTACACCGGTAGCTTCAAGAATTGGGACTTCGCATAGCTCGTCACTGCACAAGCAAAAGACGTTTGACGTTTGCCTTCCGGGACCTGCAGTGGCCTCAAGTTTGCATACTGTAAGATAAACGTCACTCATCAACAAATGCTTGGTGTGATCCACAACCTTCACTCAGAGCCCTTGTCAACTCTTGATACTCTTGGCCGCCTCTATCCAACAAGCCCACTCTGAACAAGCCGAAGAACAAGCCGTGTATCTGTGCAGTCACATGGTTCGCATGTTCAGACGGCTGAGAGCTGAGAGGGGGACGTCTGCCACGAGCATGGCCTCCATGGCCTCCATGAGCAGCCTCAAAGAAAATTCAGGGCATGAAGAAACGCCTGTAACAAGAGCCCGAAACAGCGCAGTGACGCAGTGAGCGAAAGGGTCGACAGAGTCTTTCGAAGACTCCAACCGCTGCGTTGAGCTCAGTAGCAACGCTCGCTGCCAACTTCCGCCCTGCAGCATTGCATTCATCGCCTTGCAGCTTGGTTGACCCAAACCATTTGTTGGGGGCGCAGCCTCCAGACTCTACTCACCAGATTCGGAAGAACACCTCATACATTCCTTCCGTAAAGCCGCCTAAACAGCAGACACCCCAGCACTGAAAGGGAGGCTCAGACAAAGAGAACCGTTCAGAGTTCGGACAACATGTGCTCACTTTGGTGTGTGTGAAGTGCATCATGTGCAAACACCGTACACCCTGATAAGACAAATCCTGGCTTGTCAATTTGCAGTGCAGCTGCGCGCGTCTGATGTCAGCGAGAAAAGGATGGGAACGCGCAAACATATCGCTCAACACTCCGCCCAGAAGTCCGGAGCGCCTGCTCCGACCACAAAGTTCGGCTTCAGACAGACTCGGTCGTAGGTTGTGCAGTTGTCGCTCATCCAAACTAGAGAAGGCTGTCTCCGAAACTCTCCACGTGGTCCCGACATTCGCACATGAATTTGTCCGAGGCGCGCTATTGTAGGTCCCTGCATCCGGATGCACTTCGTCTTGCTGCATCCTACTTCCAGGCTTTATCACAGTTCTGCCAAAGTGCACATTCACAAGACTTCACGGGGGCTGTAAACGAAACTGTTGTCGCTGAAAACGCTGCACACTTTTCAGTATTTGCGAGGGGCCAACCTCGCAAAGTGTCCTGGCTCACTCAGCCATAAGAACGGCTCTGGCGCTTTCGTTTTCTAAGTTTTCTGTAAACCTCCACAGGATAATAGCTTTGGTTTTGGTCCACTCCAGTCATTCAAACGCTGCAGTGCCAGCTCCTCTGCATCAGCTCCAACGGCAGCTGCCAGTATGCCCCTTCCTGCGCCACAAGATCAGGGCCGCACTGATGATGGCCGGTGCAACATTAAGCACACAGACTTGGTTACAATGATTAAAACACATGGATTCGGGCTGGTGGCCTCTTCGATCAGAGGATCTCGTCCAAGCTTACTTACTTGCCTTTGGTGGTGTGTGCGCTGCAGTCCTCACTGGCTTTGATCACGGAGTTGAAGGAAACCACATCGGGCATCAATGTCACCTCCGGATGGTTGCTTCGGCTTCAACTGCAAAGCCCTGAGCAACCAGAGCCTTTTTCTTTGCACGGGTCTGTCCTTTCTGCCAGGTGGAGCAGCCGAAACTTGCGAGTTCGAGATGCTTGGAAGCTCCCTCGCTTGGCCAAGTTCCTATTCCATCCCTGCGGAGCTCCCTCCCAGAATTGTTCGAATGTGTGTGCGCGGGGGTGCGTTTGGTGCGTGGTGCGCATGGGTGGTGCATCGGCCTGAGTCTCGGACTCTGCCTCTGTGTCTCTGTGCATGTGGCTGTGGGGGTGGGGGTGGACGTGGGCATAGGCGCGGGGATGCAGAGGGCCGAATGGGGGGTCTGTGCGTGCATCGTGCATGTGGTTTCTTGTTCTGGTTGGTTGTTCGGTCGGTCGGTCGGTGGGTTGGTTTGTTATTGGTGGGGTGCAAGGCTGAAGACCGGTTGCGTGATCCAAGCCATGCCTTTGTAGCAGTCCTTCTTTCGGCCAAAGAAGCGATAGGAGCTTCGAAACGGTTAAGCTCTCTCTGCTTGCTGCCTCATCTTGGCCCCACAGAGCGACGATACCTCTTGTATAACAGCCCCTGAGTGCAAGGGACAGCCCCTGTGCGCTGGTAGAGAATCCTGAAAGGCTTAAGGGGCATCGCCGATTCACAACTATTGTGACGGCGTTGGCTGTCAGCGATGGATAGCGATTGTCAGGATAATGGATACATGCCTATGAACCCTTGGCTGGATAAGCCCCAAAATCAACCTCTGCCAATCTACCAGCTTGTGCGTAGCTCTGCATGGCCGAAACTTAAACGAATGGCGCTGACCCGACAGTCTATGCATATCTTCAGCATTTGGGTGGCGCCATCTCACTTTCTAGCTGCCTGCTGAGCACTGCAGACATCTCCTTTGCGAAGCCGAAGACATGGTGCTTTGGGCCTTCATCATGTAGGGGCGGTTTGTCTTGCAACTGCGTTGCAGTCGGCACCCAAATGCCGAGGTAACTTCAAGCTTCCAAAAGCCTGAGCTCCAGGCCTCGAGGCCTTTCGAAGTTTGAGAGGCTCACACCATTTGGGTCGGAAGCCCAAGGACTTGTGCGAGACTCAAAGGCAGCAACCGACCACTTCATGCTGGTTACTCCGCAGGTGCATAGCTTGGGCTCCAAGCTGGAAAGCACTCGAAGATGCCAGTAATTCGGGCGGATGGTTGTCTGTACGAAAAAGCAGGTGCTGAAAGCACCGAACTGCGCAAGCTTGAATAGCTTACAGGTGCGGCAAATGCCTCCTACTTACTTCCTTCATGCACATGGCCCCACCGTCTGGAGTCTGACTCGAACGGCCGCATAGATCCCGCATGCACTTTGACAGTGAAATTTCAGTGGCTGGCCACGTGCGAAGAGGCAAGCAACAGCACAAAACACGCCGTGTGCGCACAAGTGGGACGTTGGTTCACCGAGCTTGAAAGAGGTTGCTGATTCGTCGGGTTCTAGCCACTGGCCGAGAACCCTGATTGATTCAGAACTCTTGCTGGAATTTGCTCATTCTATCTAGCTGTTTTTCCTTCCGTCCCCCTTGGCGCGCAGTAGGCGGAACCTCACGGGGACCCGGGAAGATCGGGGCAACAAAGAAGGAGCCAAGGTCACGTCCCCGCAGCTGGCGGCAGGAGTCCAAGGCTATCAAAACAAAACTCCGCTTAAGCCTTGTGCCACGCATGCTTCGTGCTCTTGCTTCGTTCATTGTCCCTGTGTCGTTCTGTATGCTGCCGAGCTCCAACCTATTCCAAAGCACCCTGAATACTGATGTTGAAGCCAGCTGCTTCACTGGGCCTTTAGCTGACACTTGGGACAGAATCCAAAAAGCCTCAACTCATCAGTAAGAAAGCCGGAGAAACGTCAGCTTCAGCACAAAACCGATTCAGGCCATCAGCCATCCAGCATGCTTAGGAACATACACCCGGCCCCTCGAAACGTGCGTAACGCGCGGCTGCCACTGAGGGGCAGCTCGAGAACAACAGGGGCTCAGCCCGGGATGCTCCGGCACCACCATGGCTTGGGGCTTCCAATCGCTGAAACGAGGTTTGCCTGGCTGAGGCGGTTGAGGTCTACTGTATAGCAAGGCAGGGCAGCCCTAAGCCCCTATGTTGAGTCCGTCGGGCCGCGTTCAGGGAGTGTATTGTAGATGTAATGAGGGTTCGGGGCTTTGGCTTCGAAGCGGAATAGAGAAACTGTCGGGGCTCCCGAGCAAACGACCAGAGATGAGATACTTCCACGTCGACGGACATATGACTATCGAGAACAACATAGAAACCAATTCAACATGTGTGATGGGTCACGGTCGGCACCAGGGCCGGCCCCGAAGAACATGGCCACTGCTCGAGCAAGCACTGAAAAGTATGCCTGAACCTTGCAGCCTGTAAAGGCTTCTGTTTGTGCTGAGCTCGCTCGAAAGGGCCAGTGCCGAGGCACGGAACTTAGCTGTCAGTCCGGTTGCGACTCAGCGGGGTCGAAAGGCCTGGCGTTCATGACTTGATGGCCTGGCTTTGCACCTGTTGTCCCGGTTTATGCCTGGGGTCTGGGGTCTGGTGAGCCGCCAAATTCTCAAGCTGTTGATGGGATTCGGCCCTCACGCTCGGACTCTCCAGATGCGGTAGCAATTCGTGAGTACACTCACAACCGAAGCCGAAGTCAAACCCTCATCTCAAGCAACCAACCTATATAATGCTCCAGAGCTGCTTCTTTGTCCTGAATGCCAATCTCTAATCTCTGTCTTTTGTAAATCCCAATGCCATAGTGAGTGCCCAAATAGCAAGTTCAGGTTGCTGACTCAACCCTTCAGGCTGTCATTTTACTCACGGCCCCTCTGGCCTTAACTCATCTGCCTACCCTCAGTATAGTTTGCAGGCATAGGCCACCGAGGCCTCCAGGAACGCCCAGAGCTCAACCCCATCCTCAAAAGGATTTGCCTTGGCATCTTCTGGAAAAGGCTTTGGCCAAGTGATGCTATCAGTGTTGACGGTCCTCTGGAATTCAAGCAAAGACCGCCAAACTCCAAAGCCAGAAAGGCGTCCTTCCTT